GGGCGGGAAAGAGTTAAAACCCCGTGGTGAGGGAGAGCAGAACCAAGGGGAGGTCAGCAGTTTCACTGGGCACCAGCGCCGTGGCCCACGCCTGCCACCCCGGCTCCTCGGGAGGTGGAGATCTGGAGGATGATGGTTTGAGGCCAGCCCAGGCAGTACAGCCTGGGAGACGCCATCTCTAACCGGGGAAAAGCTGCAGTGGAGGCGTGGCTCAAGCAGTAGAATGCCAGCTGAGCAACGAGCCGAGCGGGTGCAAGACCTTGAGTTCAAATCCTAGACCTGGCAGAAATAAAAGGAAGGAGAGAAGGCCGGGAAGAATCTACAAAGAGAACCTCGCGTGCCCGGCAGGTGCACGGCCCGCATCTGACCAGTCAGTCAAGCCCAGCAGGGCGCGTGGCTGGGTTGGCGGGCGGTGGGGTGTGCCCTGTGGGCTCAGGGCAGGAGCATGGGGCTGCCACGCGTGGAGGCTGCCCCCCGGAGTGAGCCTGCTGGAACCCGGCGCGTCTCCGGGCTGCAGGGATGATTCCGGAGGCGAAGGCTGCCTGCGGTGGTTCCCTGGGCCTCTCGCTTTTCTTACCTCTCAAACCCCGTCTCCAGGCCAGCCTGGACCTTGGCCTGCCTGCAAGACCGAAGCGCCAAGTGTAACCACCGAGCTCTGCCGTGTTTTGTTTTTTGTGGGTTTTGTTTTTGGGGGGGAGGGGGAGTCAGTGGTGGGACTTGAACCCAGGGCCTGGGCCCTGTTTCTGAACTCTCTCTGCTCAAGGTTAGCACACTTCCAGCTCCTTCTGATTTTCTGGTGGGTTTTTGTTGTTGTCGTTGTTGTTCTTGAGATAAGACTCTCACAGACTTTCCTGCCCAGGCTGGCTTTGAACCGTGATCCTCAGCTCTCAGCCTCCTGAGTGGCTGGGATGACAGGCGGGAGACCCACCTCTTATTGAAATGGACTCTCGCACCCTTTTTACCTGGGCTGGCTTTGAAGCACTGCTCTCCCCACCTCGGGAGAAGCATCCAGATGACAGGTGTCCGGGCGTGCACACGCCTGGCCTTTCCTGCGGTCCCAGTTCCGGATGCAGAAGACCTAGTATGAGCCACTCCCGAGAGCCCCATTCTCTACTTCCTGCCAGCAGCCAGTCTGGCAGTGTGGAGCTGACCGTCGGCCTCTGAGCCTTGTCCTCCAGCCTCAGCCTTCCTGAAGTCTCCCCCATGGGTGTTGATGGCTCATCTTTTAACTCGCGCTCTACCACTTGAGCCACGCCTCCACTTCCAGGTTCTTGGGTGGCTCATTGGAGAAGAGAATCCCATGGACTTCCTGCCTAGGCTGGCTTCACACTGAGATCCTCAGATCTCAGCTGGGATTATAGGCGTGAGCCACCAGTGCCCGGCACAGCGCACATTTTGCACTTGTGACATAGACAGCGGTTTGAATCCCACCTTCTGCCCCAGTTTCCCTAGAAAGAGGGTAGGGCAGGACGAGGTAAAAGGACTGGTGAGCTCTTACGGGCAGGGGCTGGCTTGTGAGGTCCTTTAGAGACAGACAGACGGACAGCACCCGTGTCCTGCGGTTGTCCTGGTTGATCAGGAACTTGGGGGAGAGGTGTCTGCAGAGCAGGGAACAGACATGTCCCTGCGTGCTGGAATAGAAAGGTAGTCTGGTGCTCTAGCATGCAGACGTAAAGGCCACAGAAGGAAAGGGGGAAGCCGAGGCTCTGCACACCTGCGTGTTCCTTTGTCGCTGTAGAAAAGCAGCAGGTGCCGGAAAGAAAGAAAAGCATTGGAATGAGGGCCATGCTGGCCAGACACAGGCTCAGGCCTGTCAGCCCAGCTCCTTGGGAGGCAGGGATCCACGTCTCAGGCCAGCCTGAGCACGAGAGACGCTCCCTCAGACTCTGGCTGGGTGTAGTGGTGCATGCCTGTCGCCCCTGCCACACAAGGAGGATTATGATCCGGAGAGGCCACGGCGCCACGCGAGACCCTATCCCTAAGACAGCCAACATCAAAAGGGGCCGGCAGGGTGGCTCAAGTGGGAGAGCTCCTGCCTAGGAAGGCTGAGGCCCTGAGTTCAAATCCCAGAGCTACCAAAATATAATTCCCCCCCCCCTCCCCCCCCCCCCCCCACACACACAGGAATTGCTTCTGCCATTGGAGAGCCGACGATGCCGTCCCAAATTAGACAAAGCAATCACTGCGTGGTTCACTATTTCCACTGGAGCCAGTTCTGTCTCAGTGGCTGTAGCTGGGTCTGTCCACTCCCAGAGGAAAGCCCTGCGTCCATCCGCAGTGGGTTGAGCACTGTCAGAGCCCGGGCAGGACAGGTCCTCGGGCCCAGCGGACGAGCATCCTCCTTAAAACAGTAGACTCCAAACATGGCCAGCTCCAGACGCCCGCAACTCCCGTAATCCTGACCGCCCAGGACGGGGAGAGCCAACGACCTGGGCTCAAAGCCAGCAGGTGACTCCCCACATTCTGCTCTCCCAGCTAGTCAGCAAAGTGCCGGATGTGGAGTGGCTCAGGTGGTAGAGCACCAGCCTTGAGTGACGAAGCCCCGATACCCGCATGCGCGCTCATCCACATGCACAGTATTCAGGACACATTTCAGGATGGTTGTCATGGCCGAGCCTGTGCTTGGGCACCGGGGGTCTGGAGGCCCGTGCCGCCCACCGCCCACCTGCAAGTGTACACGTGATCCGCGTGCATGCGCGTACTGGCACACGCACATGTGTGGTAAGCTGTGTACACGTGTGTGCGCGTACACACGCCCTCTAGACCCTCCTCACTTCCTTCCCAGAGACACCCACACGGATGGATGAGCCATCGCTGTGATACACTTAGGCCTTTCCTGACCCGGTTCATCGACTGCTCAGCCATTAAAGGCCCTGGGGTGTTCCTGAACGAGAAACTCAATGCCGGCTCGACTGGGTCGATGTAAACACTACAAGCAATGCACTTGTAGGCAGGGAGCCACGTGACTCTTGTTCCTGTAATTCGGTGGTGGGGGGGGGGGGGGTCCTGGCTTAGGGACCACATCCGTATTTAGTGTGCTGAAAAATTCATGACCCCTGATGAGCTTGGCTCTAATTATTTTATCTTCATCATCTCTAGTTCTTAGCCCCGTACTTACTTTCTCTGCATTTCTCTTCCCGCCAAACCCTTGTACAACCTTTTCTTTTTGTAAATAATGTCCTAACAAGAAAAAACATATGCCCGGCGTCGGTGGCTCACGCCCGTCATCCCAGCTACTCAGGAGGCTGAGATCTGAAGATCATGGTTTGAAGCCAGCCCAGCAGGAAAGTCCATGAGACTCTTAAGACTTTGAAATCCCACAGGATGGAAGACATGCAAAGTTTGGGGGGAAAAATGTCCTGCTAGAACACTGCAGTGTTAGTGCTGAGAACCGCACCCCAAACGTTGCATCTGAAAATCAGAATGACCACAGTCAGCCATCCGGGCCCCAGAGGGCCGTGTGGGCTGGCGGCTGGCGTTCTGTCCTGGCAGATTTCTGATCAGCCATCCATCTGTGGGCTTGCAGGTCCCACACAATTGAGGGAAAGCAATTGCTGGGAACCCCTGTGTCTCCCCAGGTCCTCCTCTGCCCCCCTCTCCTCCCCGCCAGCCTGCAGCCAGGGCCAGTTGACAGGAAAGAGTATTGTGTGTATACCCCAAACGCCACCAGTCCAGACCACGTCCAGTCCACCGGTCCAGACCACGTCCACTTCCGCTCGCTGCTTGCATGCCATCCTCCCTAGCAGAAGCTGTTGGAGGCTGGTCCCTGGTCCCCAGGGGCTGAGGAACTGAGCAGGGTCTGTGTTGTGGACTTCTGACTAGCCCTGCGAAGAGGATCAGTTAGCTCAGAAGCAGGGCACCGGTGGCTCACTCCGTCATCCTAGCTACTCAGAAGGCTGAGATCTGAGGATTGAGGTTCAAAGCCAGCCCAGGCAGGAAAGTCCATGAGACTCTGATCTCCAATAAACCACCAGAAAACCGGAAGTGGTGCTGTGGCTCAAGTGGTAGAGCGCTCGTCTTGAGCTGAAGAGCTGAGGGACGGCACCCAGGCCCAGAGTTCAAGACCCACGACGGACCAGGAAAAAAAAAAAAAAAGGAAAAGCAGTGTCCCTCTGGCTCCTACAGGCTGGGAGAGGACCCCAGCATGGGGACCTGGCCAAAACCCCAATGGCCCATACTGGAGGAGACAAGGACAAGGGGCACCCCCCTTTTCTGATTCGACCCCCCTTTTCTGATTCAGCCCCTGCTGTTTGTACACGTGGCAATTTTGGGGGGGTGCTGAACTGTGAAACCCAGAGCTGCCGTGTCCGTTCATCTGTCTCTCACAGAGAAGGGGTTTGGATGCTGCCTGTTCTACGCAGTGTTTGAAGAGGCTGGCGTTGAGACAGGGTCTCACTGAGGCCAGGCCGGCCTCAAACCCCCGTCCTCCTGCGTCTGCCTCCTCAGTGCTGGGGTGACAGGCGTGCACCTCAGCCCAGCACTCCGTGGACTGGCCAGCCCCACACCAGCTCTCCATCTCAGGGTCATTCAGAAGTTCCTGCTTCTCTCTTCCCTTCTCGAATTAGGTCCCGCTCTATACCCATGATGCTTTTCTGTCTGTTAGAAGTTGGGTGATGAAGCCCAAGAAGATGCGTGTTGTCCCCTGGGGTGGAGGTCTGCCATGCTCCCGGGCGCCCCCTGTGGGTGATGTTTTTCCCCCCTCTTGGTCTGGGCCTCAGCTCTTCAGCTCAAGGTGAGCGCTTTACCACTTTTGCCACAGCGCCACGTTCAGTTTTCTGGTGGTTCATTGGAGATCAGAGTCTCACGGCCTTTCCTGCCCGGGCTGGCTTTGAACTGTGATCCTCAGCTCTCAGCCTCCTGAGCAGCTAGGATGACAGGCGTGAGCCACCGGCACCTGGCTTTTTTTTTTTTAATAGGGTCACACCGATCATGGGGGGGGGAGCGAGGAAACACACCCCCGTCCGGCCGCCTCACCCCGTACTCCATCTCTGCCCCCACAGCTCCACCTGGCAGCCCTGGCGTCGCTCAAGAGCGACATAGAGGAACTGAACCGGCGGCTGCAGCAGACGGAGCGGGAGCGGGACCTCCTGGAAAAGAAATTGGCCAAGGCCCAGGTAAGGCCCCGGCTCTGCAAAGCCGGGGTTCGGTTTGGTTTCTCTCGTTTCCTCTTTGAAATAGAAGGGACGTAATAGATGCGAATGGCCACAAAACAACAATTCCAGCAGAAGGAGCGGTGTCTGCGGTCTGCTGTGGGTTAGCACGGGAGGACAGCCTCCCTCCTGCCCTGCCAGCGCCCCCTGGGGACCCCGGTCCCCTCCCAAAGGCCTGACCGTGAACTGCCACCCCGGGGGGGGGCTCCCTCCCCTTCCTCACTCCCCTTCTCCCTTCCCCCCTCTTCCTCCTGTCGCCGCGCGCTGCCTCCCATGCTTTATTTGCTTGGCTGCGTCTCACTCAGTGCGGTTTGAAGTGCTGAGATCCCCTTGCATTCTCTCCGTCCTATTTCGCGTGTTTTACTTCAGGGAATCTTTAAGGACACGGTCTTGGTTTCGGTCCCCTGGCCTTGCGCAAGGACTCCCGTCCTTCGTACAGTCCCGCCTCAGACCCTTTGTGTCCCTTCTCACGATTCTGCCTCTTCTCCATCTTCTGGGCTTCGGTTGTGTGATATTTTCCCCTCCCCTCCTGAGACTTCCGGCTTAATGTTCCTTTCTGGGCTGCATCTCCAGCTCCTCTCCTGCCCTTCGGAGTTTTCTGATTTTGAGTTACTGTCCGTTATGTCTTGCACCATGTCCTTAAAGCCTCCTGTGTGATCTGAAATAGTGAAGCTGTGTTTGGGACTCTTTTTTTGTGGCAGGTTTTCATGTTGCTCGGCTCTGTCCCTTTCTTTTTTTTTTTTTTTTGGTCGGTTGTGGGGCCTGAACTCTGGGCCTGGGCGCTGTCCCTCAGCTCTTCAGCTCAAGGTGAGCAATCTACCACTTGAGCTACAGCGCCACTTATGGTTTTTTCTTATGGGGTGCTGAGGAATCGAACCCAGGGCCTCGAGCATGCAAGGCACGTGCTCTACCACTGAGCCACCTTCCCAGCCTGGCTCTGTCCCTTTCTACAGCATTGGATGCAGCAGTTTTGTAATACTTTTCCTTGGACATTTGACAGGTTTGCAAAGGCTTTTTAAAAAAAAAAATTTTTTTTTTTTTTGGTCCTGGGGCTTGAACTTAGAGTCTGGGCACTGTCTCTGGGCTTCTTTTGCTCAAGGCTAACACTTGAGCCACAGCGCCACTTTAGGCTTTTTTTTTTTTTTTTTTTAATTTATTGATGACAAGAGTCTCACAGACTTTCCTGCCTGGGCTGGCTTTGAGCCTCGATCCTCAGATCTCAGCCTCCTGAGTAGCTAGGATGACAGGCGTGAGCCGCCAGCTCCCAACTTTCATACGGGTTGTTCATTTGCTTCCTCCTAATAAGGAGTAGCTAAGGCTTGGAGAGGTTAAGGTTTGGTATTTAGCACCAGATGAAATTCAAGACAAACACAACTTCCTCATATCTGAACAGTCTCTCCCCCAACCCCACCAGGCCGTACGCAGTCTGTGGTTGCAGGAAAAACCTAGGTGCTGATATTCGTGGCAGGCAGGACCTGCGATCACGCTCTGCTCTGTTGGCATCTGCCGGAGATTGAATTCTGGCTGAGTGGACACAATTACCCGGAGTGGGGGTGGGGGGAACAAACGGGCACCCCACAAGAGCACGTCACTTGAGACCGCCACTTAGCTCTGTTCAGCCGAGTGTGAGGCTTCTGTGTGGTTCAGGGGAAAGGGAAGCCTGACTGGCAGGCGTCGGTAGCGTTTCTGGAGGTTGCTCACGAGTTGGCTGAACAATTGAGTGGAACCATGTCCATTTCCTCTCTTCCTGCCGTCTTCTCCACCTGCTCTCCCTTGGTCCAGCAGGACTCAGGAGCCCGCGGGAGGTATTTCAGGACACAGTGAGAAGGGACACATCACTGGTATTCAGGAGGAGATCAGACCACAGGACGCTAGGAAGGGAGGATTGGGAACTCAGTTCTTTGAGGTCTAAACAGAAGTCAGGGTTTTCTAAATTATTTTTTAATGTTCGTGTTCTGTTACTCCATTTCCAGCAAATTAACTGAGACATTCCACACCTGCCGGTCTGTTTCCCCACAAAATGATCCTACACCTGGACTTCCATAGCTAACTCAGGAGGCTCGGATGCAAAGGATCCTGCTTTGAGGCTAGCCCTAGAAGGAAAAAGTCTGAGACCCTGTCTCCAAAATAACCAGTGGAAAAGCTGGGCTAGAGGTGTGGCTCAAGCGGTAGAGCGCCAGTTCAAACCTCAGTACCAGAAGAGCTGCACACACATACTGCCCCCCCCCCCCACCGCGGTAGAAATGACACCCTTTACCTCTGGAAGGGGGCGGTGGCGGGGGGGGGGGGTGTTCTTTGCTGAGACCCATGCTGGCCAGCGCAGCCTGGCGTTAGGCCTGGCCTGGCCCTTGTGGCAAGATAGGCTTCCCAGGGCCTGGAAAGCCAGGGTGGTGTCAGCCATGGTGTCACCAGGCTACCGTGTGTAACAGAGTGGCCTCCCACCGACAGGCCACTCCTGCTGGTGTGGCAAATGGCAGCAACCGTGCACATGGCGCTGTCTGCCCTTGGTGCCACCCAGGGTGACACCTTCCTGAGGTGGACGCTGGGTCCCAGTGGGAGCTGTTAACCACAGTGTTTCGTTGCCTCGTTGGCTCCTGCAGGCGAAGACATTTTCACTGTGATGATGTAGGAGCCACTGAGTTTCTCCATGAGCCAATGGGAGCCACTCTTGTTTCTCCCTAAGCCAATAGGAGCCACTGTTTCTCCATGAGCCAATGGGAGCCACTCTTGTTTCTCCCTAAGCCAATGGGAACCACCATGTTTCTCCATGAGCCAATGGGAGCCACTCGTGTTTCTCCATGAGCCAATGGGAGCCACTCTTGTTTCTCCATGAGCCAACGGGAGCCACCGTGTTTATGGGAGTTGCCCTCCCGGTGGGAGTCGTTCTGTTTTTCCCTTGCCAATTGGAATTCTTCTTCTACCTGAGCCAACAGCATGGTGGTTCTCAAGAGGGTTTTTGTTTGTTTTGTTTTGTTTTTTTTTGTCAATTATGGGGTTTGGACTTGGGGCCTGGACATTGCCCGTGAGTCTTCCCATTCAAGGCGAGCGCTCTACCACTTTGAGCCACAGCACCACTTCAGTTTTCTGGTGGTTCATTGGAGATGAGAGTCTCAGGGACTTTCCTTCCTGGGCTGGCTTCAAACCATAATCTTCAGATCTCAGCCCCGAGTAGCTAGGATGAGAACCCGGCGCCGGGTTCTCAGAGGGTTTAGCGGATGTTTACCATCAGCGCTTCCACATCGCTTAGGTTGGGTCTGTGATTTGCGTGGATGAGTGATGGGTGCAGTGTAGAGTCAGGTGACCCCGAGCAGTGTGGTCTCAGCCATTCCCACATCTGTGTCTAGAGAATGATTCCCCTGCGTTCTCCTCTTTCCTGGGACTAGAATCCCAGAGCACCTTTCTGTCCTCTCCTCCCTACCTTGCCCCCAAACTTTGGTCCGTGTTTCTTTTCGCCAAGTCTGGATTCCTGGTGACTTGGATGGTGAGCAGTGGAGGGGAGGGGCGGCGGTGGCCGGGGCGCTGCTGGGGTGTACGCCCAGCCTCTTGAGTTATGGCATCCCTGGCTGTACCTTGGCCACTGGCGGGCAGAGGGCTGAGGAGCCACAGCCCACCCTTTCTCAGCCTGCCACCGGATCTCACCGGGCGGTACCCGCAGGCCTCAGCGTGAAGAAGATGAAATTCAAATGTCTCAGCTGGATGGGGAAATTAATCAGGGCTGAATGTGACCGGGGGACACCAGCTGCCCCGCAGGTCCCTCCCTGGGGAGCATTCTGTTATGCAGATGGGGCCGGCAGCCGGTGACTGGTGGGGTGTGGGACGGGTGGGGGGGAGGGGAGGTGCACGGGTTCCTGAGGGAGAGGGGGGCCGCTCTCCCCCTCCATCACTGTCTCCCCGGAGCAGCCCCACGGCTGAACCATACGGGGCGATTATTCTTTTTATAACACTTCCGGAGGCCCCTGGAGCTCAGGCAAAGGGCAGCCGCCCGTTCCCGCCTTGTGGGAGTTTGGAGTCCCAGGAGAGGAGGACACAGAACCCCAGAGACCCCAGTTGGGCTGCACCTTGTTAGGTCATCTGGTTGGGAAGCAGCCCAAACCGTCCCCAGCAAGCATTGAACTAGGGAAGGAAGCAGTGGATGGTGAGAAGATGCCAGGAGCCGCCAAGAAAGGAGTCCAGAGAGGCCTTCAAGGCCATGGTCAGGCCGCCTTGGGTTTATTTACTTCCTCCCAGTGCCCGTGGCGCACGCCTGTCACCCCAGCTGCTCAGGAGGCTGAGATCTGAGGATTCCAGCTGGAAGCCAGCCCAGGCAGGAAAGTCCCTGAGACTGATCTCCAGTTAACCACCAAAATCCAGAAGTGGAGCTGTGGCTCTAGTAGTAGAATGCTAGCCTTCATCAAAGCAGCTCAGGGACAGCGTGGAGGCCCCGAGTTCAAGGCCAGGACTGACATCGAAAAGGGAAACATACAGCTTCTCACATGGTGAGCCAGTGGACCCCGGGCCTGGGCCAGCGCAGGGCATGGGCACAGTTCTAGAAGGGCCGGCCTCCCAGCCTCCTCCCGGCCGCCGGCTGTGCTGTGTCCCGCGGGGCCGGCCGGGAGGTGTGGGGGCTGGAGGCCGCGGAGGCCGGGAGGTGTGGGGGCTGGAGGCCGCTGAGGCCGGGAGGTGTGGGGGCTGGAGGCCGCGGAGGCCGGGAGGTGTGGAGGCCGTGGAGGCCGGGAGGTGTGGAGGCCGCGGAGGCCGGGAGGTGTGGGGGCTGGAGGCCGCGGAGGCCGGGAGGTGTGGGGGCTGGAGGCCGCGGAGGCCGGGAGGTGTGGGGGCTGGAGGCCGCGGAGGCCGCGCCCCAGCCCCGTCCCGTTCTGGCCGGGAGGTGTCGTCGGCTGGAGGCCGTGGAGGCCGCGGAGGCCGCGCCCCAGCCCCAGCCCCGTCCCCTCCCGCCGCAGTGTGAGCGCTCGCACCTCATGAGAGAGCACGAGGACGCCCAGGAGCGGACGGCCCTGCGCTACGAGGAGCGCGTCACGGAGCTGCACAGCATCATCGCCGAGCTCAACAAGAAGATCGACCGCCTGCAGAGCGCCACCATCAGGTACCGGCCTCCCGGCCCTGGGCCCGGCCACGCCCCGGCCACGCCCCCAGGACAGGCCACGCCCCCGGCCCGGCCACGCCCTGGCCGGGCCACGCCCCCGGTCCCTGCCACGCCCCCGGCCCCAGCCCCTCCCCCCCCCCCCCCCCGCCCTGGCCCAGCCCGCCCCAGGCTACGCCCCGGCCACGCCCCCACCCCAGGACCGGGCACTCCCCCGGCCACGCCCCCCGGCCCCGGCCACGCCCCACCCCCGGCCCCAGCCACGCCCCCGGCCCCGCCCCAGGACCAGCCACGCCCCCGGCCCCAGCCACGCCCCCGGCCCCGGCCACGCCCCCGGCCCGCCCCAGGACCGGCCACGCCCCCGCCCGCTCCGCTGCCTGAGCACCCTGCCCCCACTCTGCCCCGTCACCGCTTCCTCTTTGCCTTTGTCTTCTGTTCTGACTCTGGCCTGCTGAGCCCGTGGACTGGTGGCTGTGGCCTCGGACGGGCTGGTCACCCCGGTGCTGAGCCCGTGGACTGGTGGCCGTGGCCTCGGACGGGCTGGTCACCCCGGTGCCGAGCCCGTGGACTGGTGGGGCGTGGCCTTGGATGGGCTGGTCACCCCGGTGCTGAGCCTGTGGACTGGTGGCCGTGGCCTCGGACGGGCGCAGATGCGCCTGTGAGTTCCAAGCCAGCCGGGCACGGTGGCTCACCTGTCACCCTGGCTCCTCAGGAGGCTGAGGTCTGAGTTCCAGGTCTAGTGCTGGCACCAAAAGCGGGTCCTGAGCAGAGCACCCTGTGTCCCAGAGACACGCAGGCCTCCGCAGTCGCTCGCTCGTCCTCCCGGCCTCCCCACGGAGCTGTGCAGAGATTCACCGCGCGGCTCACAGCCCCGCATTATGGAGGCTTCTAGATAATCCTGGTGTGTGAGCGGATCAGGAGTGACTCATCCTCTTGGCAGACTCAGGCAGGGCGGGATGGGTCCACGGGTCCACCCTCACCGCTCACACAAGTGGGGCTTAGAAAGCAGCTTCACCAGGCGGGGCCGGGGTCGGCCGGGAATAGCTGCGCCCTGACTTGATCTGCTTTCCACAAAAGTGGGGAGCCGAGTTCTTCAGTGGTCAGCCTGGTGTCTCGGCGCCGGGGGCTTCGCTGGCAGGGCGTTTGCCGAGCCCCAGCCCCAGCCGGGGAGGGGTGCGCGTGGCTGGGGGGACACTCGGGACATCTTGAGAGGGGTGGTGGGCACCCACTTCTGCAGAAAGGGCGTCTCCCGCAGGGCTGGCAGAGAGCATCACTGACCGGGCCTGAGGCAGCGGCTCTCACAGAAGCCGGGGGAGGAGGAGGCTGGGTTCCAACTCTGAGGGTCACCCTAATGATGGGGTGCGCTGCAGGGCGCCTGTGATCTGGCCCGAATCGTGGAAAAGTTTGCACCGAGCTGGGCCCACAGAGCCAGCTCCGTGGTCTAATTTAGAACCCCAAGGCTGCAGAGTCGCGCCCTGGTTTGCAGTGATTGCAGGTTGCGAACACATGAGCAGAGAGTTTCCAGCCCAAAGCAAGGCTGAGGCCGGTCCCAGGCAGCCGGCGGAGGACGCAGGCAAGTGTGTAATGTCCATTAAAACACACTGCACTTTTTCCCCCGTTTCCTGCTAGTACGAAGGCTTAGACTGAGGGCCTGGGCACTGTCCGTGACCGCTGGAGCTCCTCCACTTGAGCCACAGCTCCACTTCTGTTTTTTTGGGGGTAAACTGCACTAAGAGCTCCACCAGTTTCCCTGCCCGGGCTGGCTTTGAACCTCTGACCCTCAGCTCAGCCTCCTGAGTGGCTAAGATGCCAGGCGTGAGTCGCCCGGCAACTTCAGCACAGGAAATGACGGAATGGTGAGGATTCAAACAGGGCCGCGTGGGGCGATGGACATCAACCTGATCCCCAGCAGTTCCCAGCCCTGCCGGAGGCGCCCGCCCCTCCTCCTCCCAGGCAGCAATGACCTCATCCCAGACTGCAGGGCAGAGAGCCTGGCCGTCCAGGCCTCTCCTCTTCATCTTTCTGGCTACCGTCAGCAAATTCCACCCGGCCCAGAGGGATTTGTAGAAAATCCGGCCTGGAGAGGCACGGCTAAAGCTGCAGGGGCTGTGTAGAATTTTGTTCGTGTGTAGACGGTCGGCTCTGGAGCGCATGCGCCAACGAAGCGACGTGGAAAGCACTCTGCTCCACCACGGGCTCACCGACGGCCATCACTGGGTCCACACCTGGGGCTTTATAGCTTAGCATGGCCGCTTGGGGGACTGGTGCACGCGCACGCACACACGTGTGCGCACACACACATGTGCGCGCATGCACACACATGCACACAAATACACGTGTGTGCACGCGCACGTGCACACGTACACACGCACGCACACATGTGCACACACGCACACATACACACGTGCGCGCACGCACACACATGCACACAAACACACATGTGTGCACATGCACATACACATGTGCACACACGCACACATACACACGTGTGTGTACACGCGCACACATATGCTCATGCACACACATACGCACATACACACACGCACACACACTTTCCTTCTGCATCACCAGAGCTGGCCACGGCTTCGTTGTTGTCGTTTCTTTGTCTTGGTGGTGGTACTGACTTTGAACTTGGCCTCCCACGTGCTTGGCTGGCACTGGACGCTGAGCCACGCCGCCAGCTGAGTCTTTCGCTGCTCGTTGTGAGGATGGCTTTCCCCCCGCCCCCGCCCGCTCTAGGTTCCGGGCGTCGCGGCATCGCGGCATGGCAGGCGGTGTGCCGCAGGCCCCCGGAGACGGCCTCTCGGGCTTTTCTGCCCAGGCTGGCCCTGAACCAGTCTGTCCAGTCTCAGCGTTGCACACAGCTCAGGAAGCCAGGCCCGCACGGCCACACCCCTCCACGGGCTCCGACGGCTCTCCCAGACTCTTCTCCCCCCGGCTGGCCAAGGACACTTCCAAGCCTTGCCCCCTCCTCAAAAAAGAAAGCCGCTGTCACTCAGAAAGCGGCCCTGCCCGGGAGCCGCGGCCCGGGGGTTCACGGGCCCCAGAGCCTATTTCAGTCCCTCAGAATGATCAAAGCTGCTCTGTCGGCAAGCTGCTGAGCCCTCCCCCCAGCTGCGCTCCTTCGGCCCGTGGTGCTGGCCGCTATCTCAGTCCCCTTGCTCCTCACCAAGAAGTGCGGCTCATACCTCCGGGCCTTTGCACATGCTCCGCCTCTCCATGACCTACCAAAAAGCTACCTGTTTCCAGGTGCGCCGGGAGCGCTGGACACAGCCAGCACCTGGACTGCTCCCCGGATCTGCCTGTCCCCCCCCCCTTGCGTGTGACAGCAGCGTCCCTGCCCAGCTCCCCAGCATGCTCCCCAGTGTCTTCCCCACCCACCCTCCCTCCCCACCCCAGTGTCAGGTTCTCGCCAGAAGTATTTAAGTACAGAGCAGGCGGTCTGGCAGGAACGCTTAGGGTTTGGAGAGCTTCAGGCGGCCGTTGGGGGGATTTGTCAGTGTCCTTTACCCCTGGGAAACAGCGGCTCTGAAGCTGGTCGCGTTGGCCAAGCTACAGAAGCAATTCAGTCATACGCCGCAGTCAGCGAAGTCAGAGCGTGGGGCGCAGGCTCGAGGGAGAGCCAGGGGATCACTGAGCAGACAATTAGCCCCTGGACCCACGGGTGACCGCTGAGAGGGCGGGTTAATTGTCTTCTTTCCGGGGCCTCATCAGGGTGGATTTCTGCGGATGTCTAATAATTAACTTATCCGCAGAACATCCATCTATGCCTTTGGCCTTTACCATTCCCACGTTAATTCCTATGTTTCACAGCCGGGGGCTTCTGTCCATGGAGTCCTCCTGTTTTCCAGAGGGGTGTTTATATGAAAAGCAGGGACTAGGGCATAGAGCAGCTGTAGAGCCGAGGATGGTGGAGACATCTTCGCGTTTCTCCCACTTGGATTTGTACCCTCAGCCGCCCCTTTCCCAAGCCCAGTTGATGACTGCTGCCATCTTGATCTACCATGATGAACTCAATGCTACCGGGCACCAAGTAGCTCACGCCTATAATCCCAGCACCCCGGGAGACGGAGATCTGAGGATCATGGTTTGAAGCCAGCCCAGGCAGACAAATCAGTGAGACTCTTCTTCTCTCCAGTTAACCAGCAAAAAGCTGGGAGTTGAGCTTGTGGCTCAAGTGGTAGCATGCCAATCTTGAGTGAAAAAAACGAGAGAATGTGAGGTGCAGAGTTCAAGCTCCGTTACTAGCACAAATTTAAAAAAAAATTGGGAAGAAGTATCTTAGGATGTAACCTCCATTTCCCTGTGACCCTGTCCACGGACTCCACGGAGCATTGCCTCTGCTCCCAGCTCTTTGCAGGGAATTGAAGATAAGGATCACGCGGACTAATCCCGGCTGGCTTTGGACTGACGGTCTTGGATCTCCGACTCCCAAGTCGCCGGGGTTACAGGCGTGAGCTACCAGTGTCTGGATTTTTTCCCCCATCTTTTTCCTGCTCGTCCCCGTAGTTCTTTTCAACCTCAAAACTCGAGAAGATTGAGAAATCGAAATTCTTCAGGACATCTTTGAAGGGGAAAGGTTTCTAGTGGCAGAGATAAACCAGCCTTGTTCCCAAGCTGGGCCTGAGTTTATCTGGACACAGAAACAGCCTTTTACCATCCACACGTATAAACAGCCTTTCGCCGTGAATGGGGTGATTTGTTGGTCCAAAGCGATCGTGGTCTCTGTGGACCCAGTGAGAGATCTCTTTCCCCCAAATGTCCTTAACAGACACTGGTTCTCAGTGGATTCCTCTCACAGCCTCCTTTGTGGTGACTTTCCCTCCCCCCCTTTCCTCAGGGAGGAAGATGAGTACTCGGAATTGAGGTCGGAGCTCAGCCACAGCCAGCATGAGGTCAACGAGGACTCGCGAAGCTTGGACCAGGACCAGACCTCCGCCTCCATCCCCGAGAACCAGTCCACCATGGCCACTGCCGACGTGGGTGAGCACCCCCTCCCGCCCCCCGCCCAGCCCGCGCTTGGTTTCTGGGTTACAGAATGGAAGTTTAGCAACAGCCGGTGCCCTGAGGGAAGCCTCTGCTCCTGCTGGAGTTGGGGAGGAACTTAATTACTACCTTGCTGGTCCAAAGGGAACCAGGGAGCTGAATTAGCTTTCCCTACCCTGAGTTACACACGTGTCACCTCTGCTGGGAAACTCCAGACGCAGAGAACCACGTGATACAGGAGTGGCAGCGTGGACGCGCTTCCGTGCCGGCTGGGGGTTGGGATGCGTGGGGGGGGGGGGGGGCTGGGGGTACTCAGCGGCTGGCAGATAACAAACAGGAATCTGAAAATCACTCCAGCACGGTGGTCCCCAGTGACGAAGTGGGCGTGCAGAGTCCGTGGTAGGGAGGTTTGGTTTGGAAACAGTTGAGAAACAGACCCTTGGTGTTGGAGGCTCGAGAGGAGCAGCCAGTGGGAATGTCAGCACAGTGTGTCCCGTCTGGACGGTCAGAACCCACTGTAGGGCCGGGCGCCGGCGGCTCATGCCTGCATCCCAGCTACTCAGGAGGCTGAGACCTGAGGATCCCAGTTCAAAGCCAGCCTGGGCAGGAAAGTCCATGAGACTCTTCTCTCCAATGAACTACCAGCAAACTGGAAGTAGGGCGGTGGCTCCAGGGGTAGAGCACTGGCCTTGAGCTGCAGAGCTGAGGGACAGCGCCCAGGCCCAGAGTTCAAGCCCCACGACCAACCAAGAATAAAAACAAGGAGGGGCGGGCCGGCAGCAGCAGGCCGCCCTGTTTGATGGGGCTCGGTGGGCCCCATGTGGAGGCCGCCACCGGGGGTTCCCCGGGGTGGCAGTGGCCTCATTGGGAGCCACTGGCTTCCTGGGACGTGGAGAGAGGCCGAGCTCCAGGCTGGCCGGCTGGCAGTAACCTGGGCTCGGGTGGCCCCTGTGGTTGGAAGGGTCTGGAATCCCAGGGGGGAGCCACGGCAGGTAGGGGGACGGACAGGCGGCTGGGCGAAGGAGGGACGTGGACGGTTGTCACGGAACCCGAAGGCAGGGGAGGTAAGGTTTTCGCCTCTGGTCGCACAGCTCTGTGATCTCCGGCCTCGGTAAGGCTGCAAAGCAACGAGACTCCACCGGGACCCCAGGAAGACCTGCTCCAGGGGGTGGTGTGCGGCTGAGGTGCTGGGCGACCCCCCTGAGCACGGTCCGGGCCCCGCTCACCACACGAGAGTCTCTTCATCCAGAGACGGACGGAACCTCCTAGAAGGACTCAGTAATGAGGACGGGATGGGGTGAGGAGAGGAGGTTTCCGGTCTGTCCATCCGTAGTAAGAAAACTCAGGGATCAAGGCTGAGTTTGTATATGTGGGTGTGTGTGCATGCAGCCGTGTGTACGCAGGGGGTAGGTGTGCATGTATGTCACGTGTGCACACGTGTGTCTGTGGGAGGGGTAGGACTCGCAGGGAGGCCATTGCATAAATGTGGGTGGGTGAAATCATGGCTCAGACGAAGGCGGCGCCAGCAGAGACGTGGAAAAGCAGACGCATGGTGTACCCCGGGGGGCGCGTGGCGGGATTCGGTGGCTGGTGGGAGGCAGCCGTGGTGGCGGCGGGCGGCCGTGGCTTGCGCCAATATGGTGGCGGAAAAGCCGGGCGCTGGTGGCTCACACCTGTAATCCTAGCTACTGAGGAGGCTGAGATCTGAGGATGGCGGTTCAAAGCCAGCCCGGGCAGGAGAGACCGTGAGACTCCTATCTCCAATAAACCACCAGAAAACCGGAAGTGGCGCTGTAGCTCAAGTGGTAGAGCGCTCACCTTAAGCTGAAGAGCTGAGGGACAGCGCCCAGGCCCAGAGTTCAAGCCCCACGACCGACAAAAAAAACAAAAAATATGGTGGTGGGGAGGAAAGGACCCAGTCTCCACCCTTGCGCGTTGCTGCGCCTGGCCTGGGGTTGGGGGTGGGCGGGGGGGGGGGGGCGTCATGTCCTTGGCGGGGCCCAGCGGTGGTGGGGTCTCGAGGTGCCTGGGTGGGGGTCTTCAGAAGCCAGCGGGACTTGGGACGCCTCAGTGGAGACATCTGAGCTGGACAAAACCAGCGGGGAGGGCCGCGGGCTGTTGGCAGATGGCGAGGCGACACTAGTGGAAGGAGAGGAGAGTGGGGGGGGTGGAGGGGGGTGGAGGGGGGGCCGGAGGGGGGCAGTGGAGGCCGCGGCCTGTGCGCACACGTTGCAGGAGGTGGTGGGTGGCAGATGGCTTCTCTCAGCCTCGGGTCTGTGCACCTCCCCAGAAAAGACCAGAAACCCCTGTGTGTGCGTGCGTGCGTGCGTGCATGTGTGTGCGCGTGCATGCATGTGTGTGCACGTATACGTGCGTGCATGTGCGTGTGTGCGTGCATGCGTGTGTGTATGCATGCGTGTGCACGTGTATGTGCGTGTATGTGCGTGCGTGTGTGCATGTGTGTACGTGTGTGTGTGTGCGCGTGCGCGCGTGTGTGTGCACGTGTACGTGCGTGCATGTGTGTGAGTGTGTGTGCGTGTACGTGCGTGCACGCGTGTGCGTGTGTGCGCGTGTGCGCGTGTGTGCGTGCGTGTGCGTGTTTGTGCATGTGTGTGAGTGTGTGCGTGTGTGCGTGCATGTGTGTACGTGCGTGCGTGGGTGCATGTGTGTGCGTGTGTGTGCGTGTGTATGCGTGTGTGTGCGTGTTTGTGCGTGCATGTGTGTATGTGCGTGCGTGTGTGCATGTGTGTATGTGTGTGCGTGCGTGTGCGTGTTTGTGCATGTGCACCCATGCGGGTGCCTGCCTCTGCTGCTCTGTCATTGCCCACTTCCTCTCCTCCTCACGTTACACTGGCGTGTTCCGTGACGTGCTCGTCTGCGTGACTGGCTGTCCCGCTCACCGAGCTCCATTAGGCAGCAGTGTGTGCTTGATTTCTTCATCTCCTGGTAGTTCTCCAGAGCCTCTCCCAAGGTCTGTCCTGAGGCCAGTGTTCAAGACTCCTGTTGGCAGGGAGAGGAAGGGAGGCGGGGAGGGAGGGAGGGAGGGAGGGGATGAAGGCAGGGAGGGAGGGAGGGAGGGAGGGAGGGCGGGTGGAAGCAAGGAAGCAGCCAGTCAGTAGGACTGGGGGGAGGGCCTGGGCTCCGTGCTCAGCCGCCGGGCAGCTCTGCTAAGGGGGATGGAGGTCGGCAGTGCCCAGGCCCCGAGTTCAAGCCCCGTGATTGACCTACAGCAAGCAGCAGCAGCCTGACAGCCGGATGAGAGCTGGAGTCCTCCTTGACACGAGTGTGGGGGGGGGGCCTGGGAGTGGGCGCAGCCCCCCCCCAGCTCCTTGGAGAATGTGGCCAGGCGGTCAGCGGCTGAGCAGCCGCAGGGTCCCGTGATGCCACGGGAACAGCTATAAATCCCAGCAGTCTGTAAGCAGGAACAATTCATCTTTTGCGGGGTTTGCACTCAGGACCTCGCTCTTGCTAGGCAGGGGCTGTGCTGCTGAGCTTTGGGGTACGGTGGCCATCGAAGGCCCCCTCTCCCCCCCGCAGCGTGGGTGCGAGCCCCGGGCAGCGCCCGGAGGGCCATGCGTGCGCCCCGGTGAGCGGGATGTTTGATGACCACGCGTGTACCGGCCTCGCCCAGCCCCGTCCAGGTCCTCATCAGACCCGGGCAGCGCCGTCCCGTGTGAGACCGAGCCCCGCGCTGGGGCCCCTGGTCTTGGTGTGCGTCGGTCCCCCGGGTCTCCTCTGCCCTTCTTCCTGGCTTTGTGCGGACTCCAGCTGCCGGTGCCTTTGGTGTGCGGGCCGGGGAGGCGTTGGGGGTGACCCCCCACGCGCCTGCGGCTCTCGGCGCGTTCCGCCCAGTGGATCGGTACAGAAGCGGGATCTGCCGCAGGGATCGCGGCCTGGTCACTGCACGAGCGAGCGCCTTCCGTGACCTTGCCCAGAGGGGGAAGGGACGAAGCCAGCCAGGCCAGCGCAGGTCGCAGCGCGTCTGTGTGAGGAGTCGCCCGGCGTGTCCACACTCTCGGCCTCAGTTTGCAGAGCAGATGTGCGGTGCCTGTGGCGTGGGTCCGTGGGGGCTTTCTTGGGGTAATGGGGCCCTGAGCAGAACGGCCTCCGTGTCGTCACCACGTCCACCCATGCGGTGGGGGATGGCGGCCTGCTCCTCTTTGGACCCCGATTCTGGGAGGAAGGAGCAGTGTCTCCCCTCATCCCTCCTCCGCTCCCCAGGCTCTGGGGCCTCCCGTGCACGCCGTGCCGGGGAGTGGGGGGGTCCCCTCGGCAGACCCGGCCAGCGGGCCCGCAGCCAGGACGCCCACATGAGGAGAGGCCGGGCTGTGTAGATGACCCACGCACCTCACTCCAGCCAACAGCTTGCTGGGGAAGCGCTGTCCGGCACCAGGCAGGCGTGCTGCTCACAGCGCAGCGCGAGCACGTGCTGCCCTGGCGAGGCCGCTGTGCCCGGCCTGGTGCAGGGCATGCGACCCCCTGTGCCCAAACCCCCGCGCACCGCCAGGAGCCTGCCGCCCTCCACAGCCTCTGGGTTTTCCCGTCGGTTTGGTTTGGTTTGGTATTTTGCCAGTCCTGGGGTTTGAACCCAGGGCCTGGACCCCATCCACAAGCTGCTTTTTTCTCCAGGCTAGTGCCATACCGCTTGAGCCATGTCTCTACTTCTGGATTTTTGTGGTTAATTAGCGTTAAGAGCCTCATGGGTCTCCTGCCCTGGCTGTCTTCAAACTGTGATTCTCAGATCTCAGCCTCCTGAGTAGCTTGGATTACAGGCGTGAGCGACACCTGTGTTTTTCTCATTTGTCGTCTTAAACATCTAATCAAGTTTCACTAATACAACTTTCGCCAACCGCCTGTAATCCTAGCCACTCCGCAGTCTGAGATCTGAGTATCTTGGATCAAAGCCAGCTCCTGGCAGACAAATCTGAGACTCTTAGTCTCCAAAACAGCCAGAAATGGGAGGCAGGCTCAAGTGGTATAATGCCCAGCCTTGAGAGAGAGTGCCAGACGAGGGTGTGAGGCTCCCGAGTTCAAGTCCCGGTATTGCCACAAAAATAAATACTAAAAAGACTTAAACTGTTCTGTCTTGGAGAAGATCCAAGTCCTTTCTTGCAGGAAACGCAGAGAGAGATAACAAACACCCAAGTCAGATCAGATAGTGATAATGGCGGGGGAGAAAAATACAGGCTCCTGCGCGGGGCGTGGGCAGAGGGCACCGCCCCCGGGTGGGCGGAGCTCGGTGCAGAGATGGCATCGGCCCAGCGGGGCTGGCCGGGGACGGGGTCAGCGGAGGAGACGCGGCAGGGCACACAGGAGCGCGCCGGGGCCGAGGGCAGCCGCAGAGCTCAGGCGCCGAGCTTCCGGATTCCCCCAGGGGCTGGACAGGTCGCCCGCGTCCAGGCCGTGCGCCCACGGACCGGGAGTGGATTGTTCTGGGGCGGGCCGGGCACCGGCGGGTCATAAAAGCTCGCCAGGAAACGGCACGCGGGCACCCCAGGATCGAGGTCCGGAACCCTGGTCATGCGGAGTTCTGCAGGCTCGGGTAAGGAGAGTGGGGGCCTGGACGGGAGCAGGCAGGGGGAGGTGGCCGCGGTGGGCGGCTGCATCACAGCAGGGTTGGATGTGGAAGGCCATCTGTCTAAACCGGAGGACGTCGTGCTTGATTCCTGGTGACCGGAGTTACAGGCCGGCTGGGGTGCAGTTCTCCAAGATGGATCCTCAAGGTGCGAGTTTGAGCCCGAGGTGGAAAAACGGGAGAGCACTGTCTGGGCCGGAAGCCTCAGGCTGGTTTTCTCCCTGCATTCTGGAAATGTGGCTGGGAATGACGCGGGGTTGATGAAATCAACCTGGGAAATCCTGTACTCCACGGACGGGGCGCTGTGGCTCACGCCTGTAATCCCACCTCCTCAGGAGGCTGGGGCTCAAAGATCACAGGTCGCAGCCAGCCCAGGCAGGAAAGCCCACCGGACTCTTACCTCCAGTGAACCAGCAAAAAGCTAAAAGAGGCGCTGTGGCTCAAGTGGTAGAGCACCAGCCCTAAGTAAAGCCAAGCCAGAGTGTTGGGCTCTGTGTTCAATCCTCAGAAAACAGAGCCTTGCTCTCAGAGCGCTAAGGCTGTGTTGGATAAGAAGGGAGCCCGGGCGATCCTCGCTTCCCGGGGAGAAGGCTTCGGGCTGGACAGAGCTTCCAGGCCTGCAGGATCATAGCGGCAGGCCTGTAGAGCGAACCCAACAGAGCGGTTTCAGGAATTTGTGTTGGATTTCAAAGGACCCCCCCCCCCCCAACAAAGCTATCTTCTGGGCGCGCCCGAGCGCGTTGCATTCCATCCATGACTCTGCCTTCTCTGGCCCCTGGCAGTGAGTGAGCCTGGGAAGCCTAGCTCAGCGTCCTAGAATTGCCCACGAGATGTGTGCACAAAGAGCAGCGTGGAATTGGTTTGAAACTGGATCCTGATAGAAGGAACTGGATGAACTGGCAAATATGGTACTTAGTTGGCACATGGGACAGGAATGGTCTCTTACGGCTTCTGTTGTGAGGTGTTTTTTTAATGGGTTTCATTGGTTCTATTTTTGTGTATGTGTATAATGTACTTTGACCTCACTCATATACACTGGGTGTGTGTGTGTACACGTGCACCAGATGGCTTTTTTTTGCTCAAGGCTGGTGCTCTTCCACTTGAGCCACACACACCTCCACTTCTGGCTTTTTGCTGGTTAAAGAATCTCATGGACTTTTCTGCCCAAGCTGGCTTCCTTTTGGGAGGAAGGGGGGTGCAGACACCTAGAAAACTCCCAATAGAGTCCCTAGGCCTGGGAAGATGGCTTGTCTGGCATGCACGAAGCCCTGGGTTCCATTCCTCAGTACCACATGCACAGAAAAAGCCAGGAGTGGCGCTGTGGCTCAAGTGGTAGAGCACTAGCTTGAGCAAAAGAAGCTCAGGGACAGCGCCCAGGCCCTGAGTTCAAGCCCCCGGACTGGTTAAAAAATAAGAGTACCCAGGGCCTGCGTGGGGACGCTGGCCTAGGAAATCCCGACACCCTTCCCTGTCGCCCCAGCGAGTCCCCCGTGGAGAATGGACGGGGCCCGTTCGTGGGGGTCTGCCTCCGCCTCACCCCGAGGCCTTCCTCACCCCCGCGCAGATAACTGCAGTGACCTGAACTCGGAGCTGCAGAGGGTGCTGACGGGGCTGGAGAGCGTGGTCTGCGGCCGGAAGAAGAGCAGCTGCAGCCTGTCCGTGGCCGACGTGGACCGCCACATCGAGCGGCTCACCACCGCCAGCGAGCACTGCGACCTGGCCATTAAGGTAGGTAGGCCGGCCTCGGTCCTCCGCCCAGCCTCTGGCACGAAAGACAGGACCGCACCCAGGGAGCGGTCACTGGGATTTGAACTCAGAGCCTCACATTTGCTAGGCAGGTGCTCTACCGCTGGAGCCACAGCCCTCTTCGATGTTGAGGTTATTGTTCAGATATGGACTTAGCTGTTTTGGCCTCCAGCTGCGATCCTCTGATCCTGGCCTCCCAAATAGGTGCACACCACCACATCCAGGTTTTTGTTGAGAGAGGGGCCTACTGGCTTTGAGCCACGGCCTTCCTGCTCTGGCCTCCTGAGGAGCTGGGGTTACAGTGTAAGCCTCCGTGCCTGATCACGCCTCTGCGCCTCAATTCTCACTTCTGCTTCGCAGCCGTCAGCCTCAGGCTTCCCAGAGCAAACTGAACCGTTCTTTCTAATTTTATGAATCATTTTTATGCATGCATACTGTGTTTTAGATGAATTTCTTTTCATTGCTGCTACTGGGTCTCGAACTCGAGGTCTGGACACTGTTGCGGAGCTTTTTTTATGCACTGGCACTCAACCACTTGAGCCACAGCTCCACTTCTGGCTTTTTTTAGCTGGCTAATTGGAGGTCAGAGTCTCAGACTTTCCTGCCCAGGCCGGCTTTGAACCACAGAACCTCAGATCTCAGCCCCCTGGGTAGCTGGGATTCCAAGCGTGAGCCGCCCGGGCTCCCCGCTTTCTGCATCCCTGACCTGACCTGGGGCCAATCCTGTTCACGCCATCCGACCTCTGAAGTGGCGCTGTCCTGCTGAGCCAGCACCCTGGCCATCGTGGGGAGGGGGGTGGGTGAGAGGGAGGGGGAGGAGGGGGAGAGGAAGGGGGGAGGGGGAGAGAACGCAGAATGAGAGGGCCTCGCTGTTGGGCGAGGCGAAGGCCATGTTGAGCCTCGGTCGCCCGGCGGTGTGCAGTCAGGTGACTCGGGAATGGGCCCTTTCTCCCAAGGGAACTTAGCGTGGCTCTTCGTCGCGGTTGTGTTTTGCAGACAGTGGAGGAGATCGAGGGGGTGCTGGGCCGGGACCTGTACCCCAACCTGGCGGAAGAGCGATGTCGGTGGGAGAAGGAGCTGGCCGGGCTGAGGGAAGGGAACGAGAGTCTGACCGCCATGCTGTGCAGCAAGGAGGAGGAGCTGAACAGGAGCAAGGCCGCCATGCACGCCATCCGGGAGGAGCGGGACCGGCTCCGCAGGAGGGTGAGCGCTGCCCGGGCCAGGCCTGCCCCTGCTCAGGGCCGGGCCACCTCGGCTGCCCAGCCAGGGCCGCCCCCCGACCGCCCCGGGCCAGGCCTGCCCTGCTCAGGGCCGGGCCACCTCGGCTGCTCAGCCAGGGCTGCCCCCCGACTGCCCCGGGCCAGGCCTGCCCTGCTCAGGGCCGGGGCGGCAGGTACCCAGCCAGGGCTGCCCCGACTGCGCGGCCTCTCAGCCCTGAGGCCCGCCGGCCTCTTCCCACCCAAACGCCATTCTTAGAAGGAGTTTAGGAATCCTAAGTTGGAGACACAAGACTTTCAAACAGTAACTTTCTGACCAGGCACCATGGCTCACGCCTGTCATCCTAGCTACTCAAGAGACTGAGATCTGAGGATCGCAGTTCAAAGCCAGCCCAGGCAGCAAAGTCCATGAAACTCTTATCTCCAATAAACCACCAGAAAACTGGAAGTGGCGCTGTAGCTCAAGTGGTAGAGCGCGCGCCTTGAGCTGAAGAGCTGAGGGACAGCGCCCAGGCCCAGAGTTCAAGACCCACAACTGACAAAAAACTTTTCTTTGGAATCCCAAATCTAAGTAGCTGGTAAAATCACATCCGTGTGGTATTTTCACACCTCCTCCACACTCAGTTCAGATGGTCATTATGACACCTGCTTCTATTTTTTATGTTTGAAAAATAGTCTTGTCCATCAAACTTTTTTTTTTTAGTCATGGGTTTTGAACTCTGGTCCTGGGCGCTGTCCCTCAGCTCTTCAGCTCAAGGCGAGCGCTCTACTGCTTGAACCACAGCGTCACTTCTGGTTTTCTAGTGATTTTTATTGGCAATAAGAGTCTCATGGACTTTCCTGCCCAGGCTGGCTTTGAACTATGATCATCGGATCTTAGCCTCCTGAGTAGCTAGGATGATAGATGTGAGCCACTGGCGCCCGGCTTCCATCAAACATTTTTTCCTACAAAACTTGCACTTTCTAGTAGGTGCTCACTTTTATGTATGCTTGTGTCAGGTGTGTGATCTAGCATTGGCTTGTGATAGGTTCAGTGATCACGAGTGTATGTCTGGGTGTGGTGTAGACACACATGAGTGTGTTTGTGTATGTGGGTATGCACATGTATGCACACATGCGCATGTCAGTGTGTCTGTATATGCATGTGTGTATATGTGCCTGCATGTGTGCGTGTATACGTGCATGCGTGTGTGCAGTTTTTCTGTCCAGCAGCCGTGAGTCATTCTTTTCTATCTGCCTGCATCGTGGTCAGTCCTCCTGTAGGCGTGTGGAAGAAATGACAGGTTTTGCACTTTTATCAGCTTCCTTTGGGGCTGATGTCAAGTGAACGCCTCGGCAGTCCTGTCTCAAGTCTCATTGGACATTATCAGCTCCATCCATTGTTTTGGGCTGACGTCCTAATGAGTGTGCTGGCAGGCAGCGTCCACACAGCCTCTGGTCTCCGATCTGGGGGTGTGTCTGGGGAACCTGCCTGGTCACCTGTGTTCCCCAAGCTTCTGTCAGCAGATGTGAATCGCCCCAGTCAGCCAGGGCCTAAGCCGCAGGCCCCACCCCCCCAGCCCTCCCCCCTCCCCCCCTCCCCGTCCCCCTCCCTGATCTCCAGGGCCGATGCCCCTGGTCGGGACCTGCTGGCTCTGGGAAGGTGGTTGCTGAAGCAGGTGCTGGTCTGAAGTGTGACTACGTATTAGGCCACACAACAGATTTCTCCTGCTCACTCCAGACTGGAAAGCCGGGAGAGAAGCAGACAGCGCCGCCCTCCCCGCAGGGCGGCCGGCTCTGGGACCCCACAGCTCTGGGCCGTGCGTGGAGCGCGGTCTACAGATCTCTCCACGCGCTTGAACACGGGCACTGGGAAGATGGGGAAGGGCCGAGCCGCAGGTGGCGTGTTCTGATCGTGATACTTGTACACGGGAAAGACCACGGCAGAACCCCAGGGGCAGTCGGAAGACACTTAAAGGAAGGAATGTCTTCCAGTGGGCCAGCCTCCCCGGGAGGGGGGGGGGTGCGGGAGGGAGGGGCAGCAGGGTGGAAGAACAATGAAACCTATTGAAATCATTCTGAGGAAGGGAGGGGCTGGCTTTGAATCAGGATCTGCAGATCTCAGCCTCCTGAGCAGTGGGGAGGACAGGCTGACCACTGCCCCCAGCTCTTGTTTGTTGGTTTGTTCTCTAAGTAATGGTGGGTCTCAGATGACTTTTTCTGTTTGTTGGTGGTGGTGTCGGTCGTGGGGCCTGAACTCTGGGCCTGGGCGCTGTCGCTCAGCTCTTCAGCTCAAGGCGAGCGCTCTACCACAGCACTGAGTCTCACAGACTTCCCTGCCCAGGCTGGCTTTGAACCACGATCCTCAGATCTCAGCCTCCGGAATAGCTGGGATGACAGGCGTGAGCCATTCTTACAACATGAGTCACGCAAGTCCCTGGGGCGCGGCTGCGGCCGCCCCGCTGGACTCCTGGTTTGATCTCACCCAGGGCTGGGCTTGGGGGCCAGGGGTGCTCACACTGTTCATCATTCAGGACTTGATCAGGCCTTTTTTCTGCTGTACAAACGGAAATCGCGCCTCTTCCAGGGAGGTTCTAGTGTGTGGTGGGGAGGGGGGTGGGTCCCCTCTTAGGAGAATCCCGCACACCCTCCATCAACCCACACAGTTTCTGGAAAGTTCCCCTACCGCCTGAGGCTCTTTTCCAGCTGAGTGCAGTTTTCTCCCAGGGAAGCTTCGGCCCCTCTGGGGTGGATGAATTATGGAAAGTTCAATTACTTTGGTCCCCAAGTCAGCAGGGTGGAGAGGCGGCGGGTGGTGAATGGGAGGAGCTCTCCTGCTGGGTGGTGAGCACAGGCGGGAGCTGTGTCGGAGGGGCTGCGGTGGCCGGGGTGTGGCCTTGGCCCCCGGGGGCCCGGTTTCCAGCACCAGCGTCTTCCAGGGGCTCATCGGCTGTGCGGGGCGGTGCACAGCGCTGCCTGCAGTGTCTCTGAGCGCTCCCTCCCCGGGCCGACTCTGTGCTCTGCTGGTAAACTGAGGCTCAGAGGCTGCACCTGCCACGCGCCTCCCCTCCTCCTGGCCCCCTGAGCCCCCTGACCTGTCAACCACGCTGGTTTCAGGTCCGAGAGCTGCAGACCCGTCTCCAGAGCGTGCAGGCCACGGGCCCCTCCAGCCCGGGGCGGCTCACCGCGGCCGCCCGCCCGGTCAACCCCAGCACGGGGGAGCTGAGCACCAGCAGCAGCAGCAACGACATCCCCATCGCGAAGGTGGGCTCCGGGGGAGGGCGGGGCCGGGTGTGAGGGGCGGAGCCCCAGGACGGGGCCACGCCCCCTCCCCCAAGGGTGGCACCGCGCAAGTGCAGAGTGAGATGTTGGTGCATGCGACAGTGGGTGTGGACAGCGGCTGGCCAGGGCCGAGGCCCAGTCGAGCGCGGGACCCTGAGTAGTGAGCCAGTGACGGCCCCACTCACAAGACTGACAGCCCTGCGGGCCAAAGAAATGGCTCGGGAGGGGCGGGCTGTGGCGCCCCCTCTTCCCTAGGTGAGCCGGCTGTCCGCTCTGAGTTCAGCCCAGCCTTGGCGTCCCACGGCTGGTTAGGCTGATGTAGTTTGGGGGTTTCGGTGGTGGCTTGGTTGGCTGATTTCTTTTGCAGTCCTAGAATTTGAACTCAGAGCCCTGTGAGGCTGGGAAGGTGCTCTGCTGCATGAACCACGCCCTCGGTTCCATTTAGACTTGGCTGGCCCCGGACTGTGATCCTCCTGTTAACACTCCCCTTGTAGCCGCCCCTCCCCAGCTTGGTATCGGTTGACACGGGCTCTCATGGGCTCCCTGTTGGGGCCGGTTTGGAATTATGCCCCCCCTGAACTCTGCCTCCCCAGGAGCAAGGATTACAGGCATGAGCCACCACACTGGGCAATGAGGTTTTGGTGGTGGTTGATGGTGGTGGTGTGTGTGTTTTAACAGCAACAAATCAGTTTAGCTGGCATAGCTGACCCTGGCTCTGGTAAGCGTGGTCTGAACCATTGCTCTGGGAGCGGGGTCTGCAGCGTTTGATCATCCTGTGTTTCTTAAGATCGCTGAGAGGGTGAAGCTATCGAAGACGAGGTCGGAGTCCTCATCGTCTGAGCGGCCGGTCCTGGGCTCAGAAATCAGCAGCGTCGGGGTGAGTGTTGGCAAGCGGGCGGCCAGGGAGGGAGGGTTCCCGGGCCACAGCGCCCGTGTGGGGGGGACAGGGGTCTCCTGACATGCCCGCCATTGAGCAGGGAGAAATCACAGCACCCCAACTGTGGCCAGAGGGGGCGTGGCCTCCACGGCCGCTGGCCCTGCGGCTTTCCGGCCTTCTTTGTTCTTCACTCCTCTGGCAATCATCCAGGAAGCTGTGATCTCTGTCCACTCCTGGCACTGGGGCACGGATGGAATTCCCGCGGTGTCTGGTCTCCACCTGCACCCCAGAGTGAGGGGAGCTGCCAGAGAGCCGGCCCATGCACGTTGCTCCTGGAGGAGTGCTCACGCTGGCCCTGGGCGGGGGGTGGGGGTCGATTCCTTTAGGCATGAGGGAAGAGCCAGCTCTTTGATGGCAGGGATGAGGTTAACAACAGGAAAAGGTCTTTAATTTTCTTTTGGTTGGTCATGGGGCTTGAACTCCGGGCGAGCGTTCTACCACTTGAGCCACAGCACCATGTCTGGTTTTCTGGCGGTTCATGGGAGATCAGAATCTCACGGACTTTTCCTGCCTGGGCTGGCTTTGAACTGCGGTCCTCCGATCTCAGCCTCCTGAGTAGCTGGGATGACAGGCGAGAGCCACCAGCGCCCAGCACAATTTTTTTTAATTATTATTCTAAAGGTGACGCACAGCGTGGCTACAGCCGCGTGAGTCAGGAGCTGAGCACGTTTCTTTTTGGCTGATGTCACCCTTCCTGGGAAAAGCTCTCTGAAGACCCAGTTCCTTCCTTCCGTTTTTGGTGGTGCTGGAGAGACTGGCCAGGCAGCCACTGGGCCCCTCGGGCCGCTCCCCGGCCCCTTTGGCGTTGGTGATGGTGTTATGCCCATGCCGGCCAGGGAGCCGAGCGCCAGGGTGCCAGCCATGCGGGGGGCGGGGGAGGGGGGCCTCCCTGCACGCTGGGGCGCTGGCACCGTGTGGGTCTGACGGCAGGGACGTCCCGCCCTGCAGGTCTCCAGCAGCGTGGCTGAGCACCTGGCCCACTCGCTCCAGGACTGCTCCAACATCCAGGAGATCTTCCAGACCCTCTACTCGCACGGCTCCGCCATCTCCGAGAGCAAGATTCGCGAGTTCGAGGTGGAGACGGAGCGTCTGAACAGGTGAGCGGCCGGCCGGCCAGCGGGCTCCTTCACAGGGCGCTGCGGCGTCCACCCCCGGGCCGCGAAGCACCGACCACGGCCAGGGAGAAACGTGGACCTGTGCACAGGAAGTCGGGCTGGGAAGGTGGCTCAGTGGTAGAGTGCTTGCCTCGCATGCACAAGGACCTGAGTTTGATTCCTCAGCACCATATGCGCAGAAAAAGCCAGAAGTGGCGCTGTGGCTCAAGTGGTAGAGCGCTCGTCTTGAGCTGAAGAGCTGAGGCACAGCGCCCAGGCCCAGAGTTCAAACCTTAGGACTGGCAAACACACACGCACATGCACACACAGTACAGAATACACGGAACGATCCTGCTGGTCCTCCCCGATTCGTGGCTGTTCTGTACAGGGCTTGAGAATGAAGGGAATCCAGCCATCTAGGTCACCTGACGGCTTGATATAAAACTCTTTCTGTATTAACCCCTAAGTGGTGATCTCCACCCTGTGGCTGGGGAGCAGAGGTCATGGGTGGGGTCGCTGGCCTGGGGTCTGGCCACAGAAGCCCTGCGGAGAAGGGATTAGTCAGCCTGAGCCTCTGAGCCTGGGCCTCCACACGCCTGGCCTCCACATGCCTGCTCCGTGCTAGGCTCAGGGGAGGCCGCTTTCCTAGTTCTGTGCACCCAGGAGAGACTGAGGAAGCAGGAAGTATTTGTTACGTGCAGCGCCAGTGATTGTGTCTAACAGTGTAACTGGGCTCGCGTAGAGAGGAGAGCACCGAGGTCTCAATTTGCAATGGGTCGGGAGTCTAGTGACCCGCTGTAAAATAGGAGGCGGGGGTGAAGTCCAACCTTTGCCCTTTGACCTCCTATCAGAGGAACAGCTGGGACCCGGGGGCTCCTAGAACACATCTACCGCATGTCACTAACGTCATCCACGGATGTGTCCTAGTGCGTCACCAAATTGCTCATCTCCCCGCGGTGTGTCCTGGTGTGTGTCACTAAGTGCTCATCAACCCGCGGTGTGTCACTAGTGTGTGTCACCAAATTGCTCATCTCCCCAGTGTGTCCTGGTGTGAGTCACTGAGTGCTCACCTACCCCGTGGTGTGTCCTGTGTGTGTCACTAAGTGCTCACCTCCCTGCGTGTCACCGGCCGGTGTTACACTGGTGTCACTGGCGTGTCACTGGCGCGTGTCACTGGCGCGTGTCACTGCGCTCACCTGCTCACCAGCGGCGCGGCCGCCCCGCGTCTTTCCTGCCTGCGCAGCCGGAGGAGGCGCCGTGTGCGCGTGCGCGGCCCACGGCCTGCAGGGCCGGGACCTGGACGGGCTGCGGCCGGGCTGCGGGGGGCGGGCTGCGGGAGGGGGGGGTGCTGCGGGGGGCCGGGCTGCGGGAGGGGGGGGGTGCTGCGGGGGGCCGGGCTGCGGGGGGCCGGGCTGCGGGGGGCCGGGCTGCGGGAGGGGGGGGGTGCTGCGGGGGGGCCGGGCTGCGGGAGGGGGGGTGCTGCGGGGGGCCGGGCTGCGGGGGGGGCGGCGCTCCGCGGGGCCGGGCTCCTGGGGGGGGGGGGCGCTCCGCGCGGACAGCGCCTGCGCGCCCCGGCTCCGTGCCCGGGCTCCGTGCGGACAGCGCCTGCGCACCCCGGCTCCGTGCCCGGGCTTTGTGCGGACAGCGCGTGCGCACCCCGGCTCCGTGCGGACAGCGCGTGCGCACCCCGGCTCCGTGCCTGGGCTCCGTGTGGACAGTGCCAGCGCACCCCGGCTCCGTGCGGACAGCGCGTGCGCACTCCGGCTCCGTGCCCGGGCTCTGTGTGGACAGCGCGTGCGCACTCCGTGCCCGGGCTCCGTGTGGACAGCGCGTGCGCGCCCCGGCTCCGTGCGGACAGCGCGTGCGCACCCCGGCTCCGTGCGGATGCCCCAGCCGGGAGCTGACGGCCGTGTCTCTCTCTGCAGCCGCATCGAGCACCTCAAGTCGCAGAACGACCTCCTGACCATCACGCTGGAGGAGTGCAAGAGCAACGCGGAGAAGATGAGCATGCTGGTGGGCAAGTACGAGTCCAACGCCACGGCGCTGCGGCTGGCCCTGCAGTACAGGTGAGGCCGCTCGGGGCTGCGATCGGAGGGCCGCGGGCTGCAGCCAGAGCCCGGAGCTGACCGCCAGGGAGCGGCGGGCCGCGCTGCCCGGGCCGCAGCCAGAGCCCGGAGCTGACCGCCAGGGAGCGGCGGGCCGCGCTGCCCGGGCCGCAGCCAGAGCCCGGAGCTGACCGCCAGGGCGCCCGGACCCCGGCCGCACTCGGCCCTTGGCCTCGGCCTGGTCCACCCAGCGGCCGCCGTCCACTGACATGCGCGTCCCCGTCCCGTCACCCCCCCCCCGGAGTTGTCCCGCTGAGATGCGCGTCCCCGTCCCGTGTCCTTGCTGACATGCGCGTCCCCGTCCCACGTCCCGCCGCCCCGCGTCCCCGTCCCGTGTCCCGCTGACGTGCGCGTCCCTGCCCCGCGTCCTTGCTGACATGCGCGTCCCCGTCCTGTGTCCCGCCGACATGCGCGTCCCCGTCCCGTGTCCCGCTGACATGCGCGTCCCCGTCCCGCGTCCCGCTGACGTGCAGGTCCCCGTCCCGCGTCCCCCCGCCCCCCCGCCCCGCGTCCCCCCGCCCCCCCCGCCCCGCGTCCCCGTCCCGCCGCCCCGCGTCCCCCCGCCCCCCCCGCCCCGCGTCCCCGTCCCGCGTCCCGCCGCCCCGCGTCCCCCCGCCCCCCCCGCCCCGCGTCCCCCCGCCCCCCCGCCCCGCGTCCCCGTCCCGCGTCCCGCCGCCCCGCGTCCCCGTCCCGCCGCCCCGCGTCCCCCCGCCCCCCCGCCCCGGGTCCCCGTCCCGCGTCCCGCCGCCCCGCGTCCCCCCGCCCGCCCCCGGCCCCTGAGGCCCGCGCTTCTGCTTCGTTTCAGCGAGCAGTGCATCGAGGCGTACGAGCTGCTGCTGGCGCTGGCCGAGAGCGAGCAGAGCCTCATCCTGGGGCAGTTCCGGGCGGCCGGCGTGGGCTCCTCCCCCGGTGAGTGGCCGAGCCCCGCCCCGGGCGCCCCCCGCCCCCCCCCCCGTCCCCCCGCCCCTCCCGCGGGTCCCGGCCGCGTGGAGATGGTGTCCGCTGAGGGCGGCAGGACCTGGGGCGGAAACGGGATTCCAGACACAGGAGAGCAAAGGAGCCCCGCGGGCCCGGGACAGATGGCGGACGGCCTACTCCTGAGCAGCCTGGAGGCCTGTCCCCCGCCCCATCCTCGGCTCCTGGCAGCTGAGGAGCAGGGAGAGCAGTGGAGGAAAGGAAGTGGACGGCACGGCCCCACCGCACCTCCCCCAGGCCGGACATGCCGCCAACGTGCCCGTTAGAACCTCATTGTCCTCCGTCGCTTAATGCGACTGGAAGCTTTATTCCTTCTCTGAACAGATCCCAAGACAAGGCTGGGCCGCAGTCATGCTTTATTTTTGTCAGTCGTGGGGCCTGAACTCTGGGCCTAGGCGCCGTCCCTCCGCTCAAGGCGAGCGCTCTACCACTTGAGCCACAGCACCACTTCATTTCCTGGTGGTTCATTGGAGATCACTCTCACGGACTTCCCTGCCTTTGAACTTCGATCCTCAGATCTCAGCCTCCTGGGTAGCTAGGATGACAGGTGTGGGCCACACAGTTTGTATAGTGATGCAAATTAAGGAAAACAGCTAACGGGGGAGTATTAATCAGCTTTTAGTTCGAATCAGAGAACTGTCTTAGAGCAATCCATCCACAAAGGACAGCTTCGTGAGTCTTCCGTCCCCACACCAGAGCTCTGCGGGGAGGGCAGCTCTGGCGGGGGCAGCTCGCAGCAGCCCGGGGCGGGCTCATCCCTGCAGTCTTAGCTACTCTGGAGGCTGAAGTCGGCGGATGGCAGTCCAAGGCCTGCCAGGGCAGACAAATCGGAGACTCTGATTCTCTAGTTAAGCAGGAAAAAAGCAGGAAGCAGAGGCATGGCTCAAGCGGTGGTAGCGCACCAACCCTGAGCAGAAAAGAGCTCAGGGACTGGGCAGGGTCCTGAGTTCAAGCCCCAGTGGATGCTCCAGCCCTGCCCCTCCACCAGCTCCACCTCCCGCCCAGAGTCCAGGGCTCTCGACCAGCCGGGCATCTGTGTGAGCAGAGCCGAGCGGAGCTGGAGACACCCCGTTCCTTTGTCCCTACACGCACAGCCCCTCCCCCACCCCGACCCAGCTGTCGCAATGGGCCAGGGACACGGCTGGTGGCCGTGGTCATCTCAACGGCCAGGGCCACTCGGTGCTGGCTGTTCTGTGGACGTGGACATGGGGGTCATGGCAGGACGCTGCCCCTCTGGGCGAGGCCCAATTCCTCCACCTTTCGTGCTTTAGACAGAGCCCTGCACCGCTGAGCGCCGCCCCAGCCAGCCCAGCTGCGGGTCTTGGTGGGCAACTAACAGGGCTGGGGAGGCGGCTCAGTGGTAGAGCGCTCGCCTTGAGCCGAAGAGCTGAGGGACAGCTACTCAAGAGGCTGAGATCTGAGGTTCAGGTTCAAAGCCAGCCAGGGCAGGAAAGTCTGTGAGACTCTTACCTCTGGTGAGCCACCAAAAAGCCGGAAGTGGGAGCTGTGGCTCAAATGGTAGAGCACCAGCCTTGAAGGAAATAGCCCAGAGACCACGCCCAGGCCCCTGTTCAAGCTCAGGACGGGCGCGCACACAAGCAGCACACAGCCAGCGTGACACACGAGCAGCACACAACCAGCGTGACACACGAGCAGCACACACAGCCAGCGTGACACACGAGCAGCACACAACCAGCGTGACACGGGAGCAGCACACACAGCCAGCGTGTGACACACGAGCAGCACACACACAGCCAGCGTGTGACACGAGCAGCACACACAGCCAGCGTGACACACGAGCAGCACACACACAGCCAGCGTGTGACACACGAGCAGCACACACACAGCCAGCGTGTGACACACGAGCAGCACACACAGCCAGCGTGTGACACACGAGCAGCACACACACAGCCAGCGTGTGACACGAGCAGCACACACAGCCAGCGTGTGACACACGAGCAGCACACACACAGCCAGCGTGTGACACACGAGCAGCACACAGCCAGCGTGTGACACGAGCAGCACACACACAACCAGCGTGTGACACGGGAGCAGCACACACAGCCAGCGTGACACACGAGCAGCACACACACAGCCAGCGTGTGACACATGAGCAGCACACACACAGCCAGCGTGTGACACGAGCAGCACACACAGCCAGCGTGTGACACGAGCAGCACACACACAGCCAGCGTGTGACACACGAGCAGCACACACACAGCCAGCGTGTGACACACGAGCAGCACACACAGCCAGCGTGTGACACGAGCAGCACACACAGCCAGCGTGTGACACGAGCAGCACACAACCAGCGTGACACACGAGCAGCACACACAGCCAGCGTGTGACACACGAGCAGCACACACAGCCAGCGTGTGACACACGAGCAGCACACACAGCCAGCGTGTGACACGGGAGCAGCACACACAGCCAGCGTGTGACACGAGCAGCACACACACAGCCAGCGTGTGACACACGAGCAGCACACACACAGCCAGCGTGACACGAGCAGCACACAGCCAGCGTGTGACACGAGCAGCACACACAGCCAGCGTGACACACGAGCAGCACACACACAGCCAGCGTGTGACACGAGCAGCACACACACAGCCAGCGTGTGACACACGAGCAGCACACACAGCCAGCGTGTGACACGGGAGCAGCACACACACAGCCAGCGTGTGACACACGAGCAGCACACACACAGCCAGCGTGTGACACGAGCAGCACACAGCCAGCGTGTGACACGAGCAGCACACACAGCCAGCGTGACACACGAGCAGCACACACACAGCCAGCGTGACACACGAGCAGCACACACACAGCCAGCGTGTGACACGAGCAGCACACACACAGCCAGCGTGTGACACACGAGCAGCACACACACAACCAGCGTGTGACACACGAGCAGCACACACACAGCCAGCGTGTGACACGAGCAGCACACACACAGCCAGCGTGTGACACACGAGCAGCACACACAGCCAGCGTGTGACACGGGAGCAGCACACACAGCCAGCGTGTGACACGAGCAGCACACACAGCCAGCGTGTGACACGAGCAGCACACACACAGCCAGCGTGTGACACACGAGCAGCACACACAGCCAGCGTGTGACACGAGCAGCACACACACAGCCAGCGTGTGACACACGAGCAGCACACACACAACCAGCGTGTGACACGGGAGCAGGGCCTCAGTTTCCCCCATCCTTAGCGGGCCGGAGCCAGCAGGCGCGCGTCACGGCCGCCCCTGGCCCCGGCCACCCCGGCCCCGGCCACCCCCGGCCCCGGCCACCCCCGGCCCCGGCCACCCCCGGCCCCGGCCACCCCCGGCCCCGGCCCCGGCCACCCCCGGCCCCGGCCACCCCGGCCCCGGCCACCCCCGGCCCCGGCCACCCCCGGCCCCGGCCACCCCCGGCCCCGGCCCCGGCCACCCCGGCCCCCGGCCACCCCCGGCCCTGGCCACCCCCGGCCCCGGCCACCCCGGCCCCGGCCACCCCGGCCCCGGCCACCCCCGGCCCCGGCCACCCCGGCCCCGGCCCCGGCCACCCCGGCCCCCGGCCACCCCCGGCCCCGGCCACCCCCGGCCCCGGCCACCCCGGCCCCGGCCCCGGCCACCCCCGGCCCCGGCCACCCCCGGCCCCGGCCCCCCCCGGCCCCGGCCACCCCGGCCCCCGGTAACCCCCGGCCCCGGCCCCGGCCACCCCGGCCCCAGGTAACCCCCGGCCCCGGCCCCGGCCACCCCGGCCCCAGGTAACCCCCGGCCCCGTGCCGCCGCAGGGGACGCGTCGGGCGGAGAGAGCGTCACGCACATGCTGCAGCGCGCCCACGACCGGCGCAAGTCGGCGGAGAACGCCACCAAGGCCCTGCTGGCGAAGCTGGACGGCAGCTGCGCAGGCGCCTTCGCGGTGCCCGGCTGCGGCGGGCAGCCCTGGGAGAGCCTGTCCTCCAACAGCCACACCAGGTACGCCGCCCCGCCCCGCCCCGGCCCCCGGCCAATCGGGAGGACGGCCCGAATACGCCCCGCCCCGGCCCCGCCCCGGCCAATCGGGAGGACCTGATACGCCCCGCCCCGCCCCGGCCCCCCGGCCAATCCGGAGGAGGCCCTGAATAACGGGCTTGGTGGCTCACTCCTGGACTCCGCCCACCCTCCGTGCCATTGGAGGGCAGCCCTGGTCCAAAGGCGGGGAGGCCACACCTCAGCAGTGAAAGGCGGGGCGTGCTGCCGAGAGCCTGTCCTCCCCGCCGAGCCCGAAACCTAGGTAGGGAAATTGTAGGAAGACGCACAAAAAGCAAGTCCCTGCAAGGCCGCGTGTGAGGCTCCAGGGCGGGCGCGCTGCCCGGCAGGGGGCAGGCGGGGTCCCAGCCCCGACCTGGCTAGGCCGCGCCGCCGACACTCCACCCGGGCTACGCTGGACGCGGCGGGAAGGGGACGGCCACACGCCGGGATCACAGCTCAAAGCCAGCCGGCAGGAAAGGCCGCGGGACTCTCATCTGATGTTAAACAGCCAAAGGCCGGACGAGGAGTGCGGTGCAAGCCGTAGAGAACCCGGCTCAGACCCTCCCCCAGCACGCAGAAAGCAGCCCGTGCCAGCCTCAAGGGTGCACACCATCGCTCTCCATACATGCTTCCCAGTGTGGCGGGCCAGGAAACGGGCTCCCTTGTTACTGCACGTGCGCGCGCGCTGTCCCGCCCCTAGGGCCCAGCTCCATTGCTGTGAGATGGGAGCGAGGCAGGCTTTCGTGCTGGGCTGGCTTCGAACCGTGCTGGGTCTGGGGCCGCGCCCCCCGGGGCGGGGGTGGAGGGCGCGGGCCCACGCCTGTCGGGTCCCCGGCAGCACCACCAGCTCCACGGCCAGCAGCTGCGACACGGAGTTCACCAAGGAGGACGAGCAGCGGCTGAAGGACTACATCCAGCAGCTCAAGAGCGAGCGCGCGGCCGTGAAGCTCACCATGCTGGAGCTGGAGAGCATCCACATCGACCCGCTCAGCTACGACGTGAAGCCGCGCGGCGACAGCCAGCGCCTGGACCTGGAGAACGCCGTGCTCATGCAGGAGCTGATGGCCATGAAGGTGCGGGGAAGAGGGGTGCGGGGTGCGGGGGGAGCGCCGTGCTCATGCAGGAGCTCATGGCCATGAAGGTGCGGGGTGCGGGGGGAACGCCGTGCTCGTGCAGGAGCTCATGGCCATGAAGGTGCGGGGTGCGGGGGGAACGCCGTGCTCGTGCAGGAGCTCATGGCCATGAAGGTGCGGGGTGCGGGGGGAACGCCGTGCTCGTGCAGGAGCTCATGGCCATGAAGGTGCGGGGTGCGGGGGGAACGCCGTGCTCGTGCAGGAGCTCATGGCCATGAAGGTGCGGGGGGGGGGGGGGGAACGCCGTGCTCGTGCAGGAGCTCATGGCCATGAAGGTGCGGGGGGCGGGGGGGAACGCCGTGCTCGTGCAGGAGCTCATGGCCATGAAGGTGCGGGGAAGAGGGGTGCGGGGTGCCGGGGGAGCGCCGTGCTCGTGCAGGAGCTCATGGCCATGAAGGTGCGGGGGGGCGGGGGGGGGAACGCCGTGCTCATGCAGGAGCTCATGGCCATGAAGGTGCGGGGAAGAGGGGTGCGGGGGGAGCGCCGTGCTCATGCAGGAGCTCATGGCCATGAAGGTGCGGGGAAGAGGGGTGCGGGGGGAGCGCCGTGCTCATGCAGGAGCTCATGGCCATGAAGGTGCGGGGAAGAGGGGTGCGGGGAGAACGCCGTGCTCGTGCAGGAGCTCATGGCCATGAAGGTGCGGGGAAGAGGGGTGCGGGGGGAACGCCGTGCTCATGCAGGAGCTCATGGCCATGAAGGTGCGGGGGGCAGGGTGCGGGGTGCGGGGGGGAACGCCGTGCTCGTGCAGGAGCTCATGGCCATGAAGGTGCGGGGGGCAGGGTGCGGGGTGCGGGGGGGAACGCCGTGCTCGTGCAGGAGCTCATGGCCATGAAGGTGCGGGGTGCGGGGGGAACGCCGTGCTCGTGCAGGAGCTCATGGCCATGAAGGTGCGGGGGGCAGGGTGCGGGGTGCGGGGGGGAACGCCGTGCTCGTGCAGGAGCTCATGGCCATGAAGGTGCGGGGTGCGGGGGGAACGCCGTGCTCGTGCAGGAGCTCATGGCCATGAAGGTGCGGGGTGCGGGGGGAACGCCGTGCTCGTGCAGGAGCTCATGGCCATGAAGGTGCGGGGGGGGGAACGCCGTGCTCATGCAGGAGCTCATGGCCATGAAGGTGCGGGGAAGAGGGGTGCGGGGGGAGCGCCGTGCTCGTGCAGGAGCTCATGGCCATGAAGGTGCGGGGAAGAGGGGTGCGGGGAGAACGCCGTGCTCGTGCAGGAGCTCATGGCCATGAAGGTGCGGGGAAGAGGGGTGCAGGGGGAACGCCGTGCTCGTGCAGGAGCTCATGGCCATGAAGGTGCGGGGAAGAGGGGTGCGGGGAGAACGCCGTGCTCGTGCAGGAGCTCATGGCCATGAAGGTGCGGGGGGGGGGGGGAACGCCGTGCTCATGCAGGAGCTCATGGCCATGAAGGTGCGGGGAAGAGGGGTGCGGGGGGGGGGGAACGCCGTGCTCGTGCAGGAGCTCATGGCCATGAAGGTGCGGGGAAGAGGGGTGCGGGGGGGGGGGGGGGGGGGGGAACGCCGTGCTCGTGCAGGAGCTCATGGCCATGAAGGTGCGGGGGGCAGGGTGCGGGGTGCGGGGGGGAACGCCGTGCTCATGCAGGAGCTCATGGCCATGAAGGTGCGGGGTGCGGGGGGAACGCCGTGCTCGTGCAGGAGCTCATGGCCATGAAGGTGCGGGGGGCAGGGTGCGGGGTGCGGGGGGGAACGCCGTGCTCGTGCAGGAGCTCATGGCCATGAAGGTGCGGGGTGCGGGGGGAACGCCGTGCTCGTGCAGGAGCTCATGGCCATGAAGGTGCGGGGTGCGGGGGGAACGCCGTGCTCGTGCAGGAGCTCATGGCCATGAAGGTGCGGGGTGCGGGGGGAACGCCGTGCTCGTGCAGGAGCTCGTGGCCATGTGCGGGTGCGGGGGAGAGGGGCGCCGGCCCCGCAGAGCCTCTCACCCCCCCCCCCCCCCCCCCCCCGCAGGAGGAGATGGCGGAGCTGAAGGCGCAGCTGTACCTGCTGGAGAAGGAGAAGAAGGCGCTGGAGCTGAAGCTGAGCACGCGCGAGGCGCAGGAGCAGGCCTACCTGGTGCACATCGAGCACCTCAAGGCGGAGGTGGAGGAGCGGGAGGAGCAGCGCCTGCGCGCGCACAGCCCGGCGGCCGGGGCCCGGGAGCGGCCGGCCAAGGTGGGGACGGGCGCCGCCAGGGGGCTCAGATGGGGGGGGGCTGCCCCCGGCCCGTCCCCGGCCCGTCCCCCCGCCCGCCCTCCCCGGGGCTGCCCCCAGCCCCGCCCCCCCCGCCCCGGGGCTGCCCCCGCCACCCCCCCCCCCGCCCTCCCCGGGGCTGCCCCCAGCCCCGCCCCCCCCCCCCCCCCCCCCGCCCGCCCCGGGCGCCGTCCCGCAGGTCTCAGCCTCCCGTCCGTCCGCTCGTCCCTCTCCTGGCGCCAGCCTGCGTCTGCGGCCGGCGCCCAGTCCCGGGCGGGTGGCTGGACGCGGGGCCGCGGGGCCCCCGGGTGACGCGGACGCTGCTCCCCAGGAGGGCGCGGACGCCGCCCCGCCGCCGGCCGAGCCGAGGACGCCGAGCAGCGAGAGCGAGCTGGCCGCCGAGCTGGCCAGCGCCCTCCGGCGGTAAGCGCCACGCTGGCCGCGGGCCGGGCCGGGAGGAGGGCGCTGGGCGGGAGGAGGGCGCTGCGGGCCGGGCCGGGCCGGGGCCCGGGCGGGAGGAGGGCGCGTGGTGAGCCCACAGCGCATCCCGAGGGCGGCCAGGGGTCCCGGGGGCAGCCCGGAGTTGGCCAGCAGACAGCCGGCGCCCCTCGCCTGGCCGGGGTGACCTCGGCCGGCCCCAGTTCCGCGCCGGGCAGCGCGGGTCCTCTTGGCTCCCGCCAGCCTCCCTCCTCGGCCGCTCGAGCCGGGCCGCAGCTGGTGTCTGCGCCGCAGGGAGAAGAAGCTGAAGGCGCGGGTGCAGGAGCTGGTGAGCGCCCTGGAGCGGCTGGCCAAGAGCAGCGAGACCCGGCACCAGCAGTCGGCCGAGTTCCTCAGCGACCTCAAGCAGGCCAACAGGTGAGCGGGCCGGCGGGGAGCGGGCCAGCAGGTGAGCGGGGGAGCGGGCCGGCGGGGGGAGCGGGGGAGCGGGCCGGCGGGGGGAGCGGGCCGGCGGGGGGGGCGGGCCAGCAGGTGAGCGGGGGAGCGGGCCGGCGGGGGAGCGGGCCGGCGGGGGGAGCGGGCCGGCAGGGGAGCGGGCCGGCGGGGGGGGCGGGCCAGCAGGTGAGCGGGGGGAGCGGGCCGGCGGGGGGGCGGGCCAGCAGGTGAGCGGGGGAGCGGGCCGGCGGGGAGCGGGGGAGCAGGTGAGCGGGGGAGCGGGCCGGCGGGGGGAGCGGGGGAGCGGGCCGGCGGGGGGGGCGGGCCGGCGGGGGAGCGGGCCGGGGGGGGGGGGGGAGGGGGGGCCGGCGGGGGAGCGGGCGGGGGGGGGGGGGGGGGGCCGGCAGGGAGCGGGGGGGGGGGGGGAGGCCGGTGCCCCAGGCCTGCGACCCCTGCGGCCAGGAGCGTCACTGAGGCCTTTTTGGAAGGGGGGGCGGGGTTGGTTGTGGGGCTTGAACTCTGGGCCTGGGCGCTGTCCCTCAGCTCTTCAGCTCAAGGCGAGCACTCTACCACTTGAGCCACAGCACCACTTCTGGTTTGCTGGTGGTTCATGGGAGATCAGAGTCTCAGGGACTTCGCTGCCCGGGCTGGCTTTGAACCGCGATCCTCAGATCTCAGCCTCCTGAGCAGCTGAGGTGACAGGCGTGAGCCAACTTTGAACAAGCGTCTGCCCTTCAGCTCAGAGCAGCGCTCCGCCTGGCTCCGTCCCCTGTAGGTTAACAGCGCTTTTGTCTGAAGGCGGCTTCGCGTAGGTCAGCATAACAGATTGGGTTCTCGGAGCCCGAGTGACCCCACTCTGACGGTGCAGCTGGAGGGGCGCTGAGCACCAGAGGAGATGGCCGCCTTGGGCGCGGCCTGGCTGGCTGTCACTGGGTCGGCGGCAGCCGGGCAGGCCGCGTGCCTTGGGGTGTGGCGGTGCGGTGCAGGGTCCTGTCGCGCTGGGTCTCGGGGCCCAGCCTCACCCCCCACCCCCGCCGCCTGTACCCCCAGCAACCTGGTGACCGCCTACGAGAAGGCAAAGAAGAAGCACCAGAACAAGCTGAAGAAGCTGGAGTCCCAGATGATGGCCATGGTGGAGAGGCACGAGACGCAGGTGCGCATGCTCAAGCAGAGGATCGCGCTGCTGGAGGAGGAGAACTCGAGGCCGCACACCAACGAGACGTCGCTCTGAGGCCGCCACAGCCACGCGCGCCACCCCCCGTGCCTCGGTGGAACCCAGGGGCTTCTTCCCGCACACGGCGGGGCTCTCCCCGGTAGCCGGGCATCTCCCTCCACCGGGGGCCCCAGCCACACGCAGACGGCGGCCCCGGACTCCGGATGATGGTACAGACACACACACGGGGGAGCCTCCCTGTGCCAGCATGGGGCTCCCCAGCCCCGAGAACGGGGCAGGGGTGACCGTGGCTGTGCGGCCTGTTTTTCCCCTTCTTCCTGCAGCCCGCCAGCCGAACACAATGGTTGGTCGGACAGGCCGCATCCGCCCTGTCCCCTCGGCATCTCCCAGGGTGCAGGGCTCGGGCGCGCTGGCAGGCACAGTCCGGCCCGCAGGCTTCCAGGACAGGAGACGGCCCTGCCGTCCCACCTCCCACCGCAGGCTACGTGCGCGCCCCGAGTTCTAGCCTTGGCACGCCGCTTGTGCAGTCGCCATCCACCCTGCTTAAAACTCAATGCGAGGCTACGGCTCGCGCTTGCTCCTCGCAGATGCCATCTTCCTCTGAGCCACAGCAGCGCTGTCCCACCACCTTGGAGAAGTCCGAGGTTAAAAAGCCCACACCAGCGGGGGAGCCCAGCTACTCAGGAGGCTGAGATCTGAGGATCGCGGTTCAAAGCCAGCCCAGGCAGGAGAGTCCGTGAGACTCTGATCTCCAATAAACCACCAGAAAACCGGAAGTGGGGCTGTGGCTCAAGTGGTAGAGCTGAGGGACAGCGCCCAGGCCCAGAGTTCAAGCCCCACGACCAACCAAAAAAAAAAACAAAAAAAACCACCCCATGCTAGCCCCAAAAGGCTTCCGGACACTGCTGGGATGAGGAGGGTGGGGGCCATGGCTGCGGTACAGGGGCGCCTCACAGCCACACTGCAGAAGACGGGGAAGTCTGTCCATTTCCTTTCCAGGGCGCTCCAGAGTCTGGGGTGTCATGGTGACCTGTGAAATCAAGAGACCACACACACACTGCTGCGGACACGGGAGGGGCTCTCCATGCTGAAGAACAGAAACTTGTACTCACCTGGGGAATGGCCTCTTGTGACAAGTGTCCCATCTGACTCTCCGTAGTCTGTAGAAAGGCTGACTTGCTACAGAGCGAAAGTAACCCATACTACACAGCCGGTGCTTGTCCGTGGGGATCCAGTGGCAGCAAGGGTTCCAGTAGCTGGGGTCAGCGCTGGGCCTGTGGCCTCCTGAAGGACCTCAGCTGCGTGAGCCCGCAGGCCAAGGCAGCCGCTTCGCAGGCACAGGCGTGGTCTCTGGTGCCCTCTACTGGAGCCGGGTGGTACATGGCAGGCACTGAAGCTCATGCAGGTTCACAGCCCACAGCACGGCAAGCTGGCACGGCCCTGCCCAGGCCGAGGCGTGAAGAGCTCCTCTCCACCTTCACCTCTGCACTCAGTCCCCATCACAGCGATCGCGCCCCCGGCCCATCTGCTTCCTTGGGCCCCCAACCCGGAGGTTAGGAAATGCGTCCACGTCCCCATCGCAAATCCGTCTGCAGACATCTTCCTCAAGACTTACTTTGCCCCCTAAGTCACCGACTGAAAGCGTGCTTTGAAACCACTGGCGTTCTCAGCGCGCCGCCTGGGTGTGGCCAGCCTTGTGCTGTGTGTTCTGAGCGCCGCCGTGTGACTCATTTTCACGTGCTTCACTTGGACGCGTTCAGTGTTGGCACACGCCTGTAGTTTTAGCTGCTGTAAAATAGCTCTGTGTTATTTGATACAAAACGTGTCTTTTTAAAAACCAAAACACCATTTATTTATACAGAGACATTTATAATGTTTTACATTCTTATATTCTGAATAAATATTTCTAATTCCATGCTGCCGTGTGTGTGAATGAAAGGGTAAAGCCGTCCACCCGCACAGCTGTGGCACATTTACACACCAAACCTGTGACGATGCATCAGGTTAAAAGGTACTGGAGGGAGAAGATGGAGGCGACCAGTGCCGCTGAGCAGCAGGGTGCACCCAGTTAACCATCTTTCAGGACACCATACCCGGCTACAGGACGGCTGACCGCCTTCGATAGGGAATCCCAAAACCGTTTCCCATTTTCATCTCTGCAGACCATATACACGGTAACACTTCTTCCTGTCAATTCCCCCTTTTATCCAAATTTCTTGTCAGTCCCAAGACAGGACAACCCAAACATGACAAGTGAGCAGCAGCACGCACGCGCCGGCAGCCGGGCTTATTGGCATGATGCTATAAATGCCAGGATTGAACAGTCCTCGCTTCCCGCAGCGGTGCTTTATAAGAGAGAGCTGTCGGCTTGTCCACTTGTGACAGGTATATGTAAGTCACGGGGCTAAACTCGTGTGGACCAGAGCACAGGCCAAGTCTCCGCAACACTGTGCCGAGACACAGACCCCAGCACGGCCTGGGGCTGCTGGGCCGTGAGGGAGCTGCCCTCGCCCGGTCAGTAACCAGTGAGCAGACAACCAACCCGAGAAAGCCAGAACGAGCCCGCTCCAGACACAGCGAGCCCCACGGCTACTCTGGCTTTCCCTAATGGTGACAATTAACAGCAAAAAATCAGCAAGATCTTTACAGCAAGAACTTTATTACTGCTGTGGGGTCTCCCCCCCTCCCCGCACTAAAATACACCATACAGGTTAATTCAGGCACAACTAATATTACATCACTTCACAGAAGACGAAAGTGGTTACCCAAGAGGCAAGCTTTACAGAGTCATGTAGTGACCCAGTTTTCTCACTGAACATCAGATATTCAGTGAAGCCATCTCAGCAATTTTCGTCTACCAGCTTTTGTAGTCCCAAATCAAACAAGTCATGCAAGAGTGAAGACTATTCCACGAACATCTTCAGGGCACAATGCAAAGAAGCCAGTTTAAATGGCACAATATTGGAAAATGACCATTCTTCCTCCCTTGACCACTCAAACTAAACTGTTCTGTATTTCGGTGACAGATAAAAGCCCATCCTATTTAACGGATAGTTCTCATAAACGAGCTAGTATATGAACATTATTCCACGTGAGTGACTGATCATCCTGAATTAACATTGTTTTACTCATGAAAACCAAAAATTAAATTGGAACAGATCTAGGATCAGACACAACCTGAAGACGTTTTAAAAGCACAGTAAGGTTGTCATTCAGTAAGCAAACTTTCTAAGACAAAAAAAATGTAGGTGGGGAGGGCAGTGAGGACCGGAGGGAGGCCGGGGGAGCAGTGCACGACACTCCCAACACACAGTGCACAAAACCCAACGTGCCGCGGGGCGTCGGGATGGGGGGCGGGGGGGGGGGGGTGAAGGCGACACTGCTCAAGATGGAAACCTCGCTGTACAACTTCTGTGCAGGCACAATCTATGAATCCCACCGAGACACAGGCACATGTAACTCGAAGCTTCCCTGTCCTCCCTTGCCTGTGACAGGAGTGTAAATCAGGCCAGCCGTCTCCTGCCCTAACCTGAAACAAAAGGCTATGCCGTCCCCTCTTGGGACACTAGCGTTTGACATTTAATCGTGACTAGGGCAACGTTCACATACAAACCCAAGCTGAGCCTGCAGGACAGCAGCACGCGACTCCTGTGTGTGTGTTTTTTTCTTCCTATCAGTGCATGAAGAGTCCACATCTGTGCTGTGCTCAACGTACTAACCTTGGCTCTGCTCTGGTTGGCTGCCCCCTGCCCTTTACTCCTAGGATCACAGGCAGAGGTAGTTTCTTACAGCTTGAGATGATAGGATCGGGGCTGGGAAGGTGGCTCAGTGGTAGAGTGCTTGTCCAGCAGGAATGAAGCCCTGGGTTCGATTCCTCAGGACCACACACACAGAAAAAGCTGGAAGTGGTGCTGTGGCTCAAGTGGTAGAGGGCTAGCCATGAGCACAGAGAGCCTCAGGGACAGCGCCCAGGCCCCGAGTTCAAGGCCCAGGACTGGCAAAAAAACAAAACAACTTTGTAGGCTGGGTCCTGAATGCTTTACCACCGTGGTTTGTGGTTAGGGATATGCTGTGTAAACTATTAGACCCAAGTGATCAGAAGGAAAAAAACGTTACCTTGCACTGACAAATCCACCTTCCAAACAAGACTGCCCGAGACTCAAAGATGGGTGGAGCGCAGTGCCCTCTCATCCGGGGGCGCAGAGTGCCCACGGCTCAGGAGCGAGCCCCCGCTGTCCACCTGTGGCCACGCCAAAGTGACATCTTCTCCACGAAGCAAAGTGTAATCACACAAATGTTCACAGCGTGGGCAGACTCGCCAAACAGATTATTTCATAGGGGGACGGATCATGGGAGGGGGGGAGGACAAATGGCAGCCTCTTAGCCAGCCACACCAACACCAAGGATAAACAAATTTTCTCAAATGGCTCCAAGAACAGATGAGCCAAAAGCCAACAAAATCCACTCAACTATGTAACTGCCTGCAACAAATACTTCTAAGTTTCCTGGGAGGAAAGTCACACACACACACACACACACACACACACACACACGCACACACACACGCGCGCGCGCCCGCGCCCTGGGAAGGTGATCATTCCTTTAGGCTGGGCTTTTAGGCACCACCATAGACAGCTCCCACTCTGCTGTCTCAGGAGACGACTCTTCGGCCTGAGGACTGGGGTCTGGATTCCATTACGAGCATCTACGGCATGATGCTGGGCCCGCTTGCCTGTACATCCGTCTGTCTGAGCAGAAGCCAATCCTTCAACTCCACGCCACCGCCCCCAGGCGCCGGGCAGCCGCTTCCCTTTCCCAACCACAGAACCCTATCTCATGCTGGGTGCAAACTCCCTTACACGAAACATCTTCACCGAGCACAAATGCACGCACCCTGAGTGATCTTCCTCTAAGACACTAGAATTTTGGGAAATGTTCTTGAAAGTCACAGGATGAACAACACACAGACTTTACTAAGCTACCAGGAAAAAGGTTTAAGAGAACTTTTGTTTTGCTAACATTGTTTACCCAGGCACATAAAAGGCTACTTCTACATAAAACTCATAGCTCGATTTACTTAACATGAATTTAAGATTTACTTAACATGAATTTAAAGTTACAATGAAACATAAGAGTCTCTTCTCACAGGCTAGAAAATAAAGCAAAACCACCAGGAGAAAGCGTTGATGAATATAACTATGATTAACACGTGAAGGAAACGCTGCCTAAGAGAATCTGAAGGCTCCACAGAGGTCAAGGAAACGTGATCTCTTAGAGATGAATTGGTTCAAGAATAAAGATAAAAAGTCAAGGAAAACAACTTGGTAAGTCTCATTTTTCATACATTTTGCTTTCATACTATTTAAATGTTGAAGATAGAAATAAAAGGCAGGGGAGGAGAGAGAATAAAATCATTTCAATGCACACAGCTCCTGTTACTGGCTTCAGATTTCATCTTTGCGACATTACATATTGCTAACGTTAACCTTCAAAAAGAAACGGTACAAACCAATCTTACAAAATAAAATTAATCTGCTAAATATCTTCATTATCTGCATTTACTAATTGATATTCAATATAAAAATAATGATATTCAAAGCACAAAACAGCAAGAAGTGGCCACAATCCCCTTGACAGCATTGGGAGAGTTAGCCATTATATATTAGTACAAAAATCAAATTTAATTTTCCAATACGTTTAAACCCAATTACACCCATGCAGGCAGGAAAACTACCCATGGGCCACGCACCACTTGTAATCCTAGCTACTCAGGAGACTGAGAACAGAGGATCAAGGTTCAAGGCCAAGCCCAGGCAGGAAAGTCCATGAGATTCCTCTCCAGATAACTACCAAAAAGCTGGAATTGGAGCCTGTTAGCTCAAGTGGTACAGCACTAGCTTTGAGTAAAAAAGCTCAGGGACAGCACCCAGGCCCGATTTAAGCCCCAGGACTGGCACAAAAAGAAAACAACAACAACAAAAAAGCACAACAGCTCTCCGCCTCTCAGACATACACTCACTATTTAAAATCCTATAATCACTAACCTGCTAGATCTAAACAAAAACTCACAGAAGGTGTGTAAACTGTACCCTTATCTCTTGGATTACAATGGTTAAGTACGGAACAATTCCTTTAACATTGTACAAATCATTAAAGGTACACGTAAAAGCACCTACAATTTTCCTTTAAAAATAAAAGATTGAGCTGGGTGGCGGTGGCTCACACCTGTAACTCCTATCTACTCAGGAGGCTGAGATCTGAGGATCCCAGCTCGAGGCCAGAACAGGCAGCAAAGTCCACCTCCAATTAACCACCACAAAAAAAGGGGGGGGAGGGTGGGGAGTAGAATTGGTAGAGTGCTCGCCTTGAGCAAAAAAGCTCCAGGACAGCGTCCAGGCCCTGAGTTCAAGCCCCAGGACCTGCACACACACAAAAGAAAAGATTCACAGTGCACACACACAAAAGAAAAGATTCACCCTGGAACGTACGTGGCGTGTGAATGCAAACAAAGCACAAGGAAGCCAACCTAACCTGCGGTGTGCCATCTTGCTTCTTAAAATCCCGCTTTCTCAAGCAGGAAGGAGCCAGCTCACATCACGCCCCCGTGTCTCAGGAAAAAGCACGCAGCGGCTCCTAGGGCTCCTAGGTACCGGGACACCGAGAAGGAAGTACAACAGGTGCACTTAACACAGGCCCGTTGCCGCTTCACGCTGTCTGCGGGGTTAAGTCCCACCACAAGCTCAAACCATCACCCGAGAAGTCTCGTGTCACCACACCACAGGCCGATGCACACCCCTGATCTGTCCCACGGGCGTTAAAGCAGCGTGTCAGCAAATGCTGCTGGCATTCAAGAGCTCATTTGTTGGAGCTTCAAAATGTCAACAGCGTTAGCAGCCCTGGTTCTGGTTACTAACCCTACATCTCCGAGCGTGAGTCAGGAGAGGCGAAAAGCCGAACTCTACAGGCACCAGGAAGGCTGACTGAGGGCCTACTTAAAAAGAGAGACATGACACACACACATAGGAAACATTCATTGGTTTCCAGAGACAGTAAACAAGTGAAAATGGTTCGTCTGCAGGTTCATGAAGTTTCCACTCCCTTAACCATTTAGCAGAAATCTGGAATGCTGGGACCAACCGTAAATAGAGCTCGAGGAGACACGGGTTTCTGGAAGGACCAGTAAGGGCTTGCAGTGCAATCGTGTAACACATCGTAAAGCTAGCTCACAGGATTCACAGATGAAGTCACATTAAAAGACGCAGGATTCTGGAGAAGCTAATTCCACACCAAAATCATTGTGATTTTCCTGCTCAGCACCAAGTGACATTCTCATGAATAAATATGATTGCTCCTTTAAAATTAAAAAAGAAAAAAAAAAGCTAAAACAAAGAAGTAATACCAAATGAACTCTTTACAACAGCCCTTCTTCTGAAAGCCTGCAGGGTTATGGCGGAGCCCTATTAAACATGTCACTTACACAGAACTCAGGTTTCTACGGGAACGTTCACAAGCAGACATACCTTCTGTAGATACACTTGTAAAAAGACTATGAAATCCCACAGGATGTAAGACATGCAACCCCACCCCCCACCCCCCACAGTAACTCTAGTGAGGTCAGGCGCAGCCCGAACAGTATTGCTTCCTTAAAGCTCTGCTGATTGTCAACTATGGGTGACATCCTTTACCACAGGCACTGCTGTTCTTATTTGGAGTTAAGAATCTTGAAGGAGCAAAATACATTGCTAGGCGTTACCCGCGTTCCTCCCAGAGCTCGACCTCCCCCAAGTGCTTCACTTCACGCTCTGCTACTCTAACATCAGTATAAAATCAACACTGAGATGCAAGGTAAAACTAGTGACATATTTACACAAATGGACTATCTAAGTTCACACGCGCAGAATCACTGCACAATACTAAGGCGGCGGGAGGCGGATGGTAAGCGCATCACCACGTAGCGGGCCGCACGCCGCACTCTGCGCAGACTGCGGGGAGCACCACGCCAAACCCTCCTGTGGTGCCCTGGACACAGTCCTTGCGAAGGGCCCAGAGTTCACTGCACAGGAGTGCCGCTTCGTAGATGCCGGCTCTACCATCTTCCATAAAACTCCACGACAAGGGCCCAGCGTGCTGAGGCAGAGAAATGAGCAAAAGGCGCCGAAACAGAGGCCTGCGACCGCGCCAAGAGGCCCGTGCGCAGCTCAGCACAGCACATTTGAAGTCGCTCTGCAGCGCTCCCGTGCAGCAGGGCACATTCCCATCCACTTGGCTGCTTGTGGTAAAGCCAAACACCACGCTCCTGACCCGGAGACAAAACACAGCCCAGTCACACAGGAAATGTCCTCAGAAGAAAACAAAGCAACTGAAACCTTGGCTCCAAGCACTGCAGAGGTCAATGTGAATCTGCAGCTCTAACTGCGTTTGCAGGGCGGTCGCCGCATCCTCGGCCTCCTCTTCTGCCCAGAGCCTCTCCAGCAGCACGGCCTCCGGCTCGCGCTCTGCACCGGGGAAGGGAAGGCTGGGGGGCGCAGCAGGCCTCTCCAGCATCTCGGGACTCACAGCGCCCCCACGGCTGTCAAAGGTCCAAGATCCTCATGATGGCGTTTTGGTCAAACTTAAAACTCAGGAAGGCTCTGGATGAGAACGGGGGCCGGCAGTGGCCGTTACATGCCACCGATGGCCCCTCGGCGCGGTCCGGCCCTGCCTCCTCACCAGAACCGGGGAGGTCGGACGCAGCATCTGCTCAGAAAAATGACAAATATCAGTCCGTAAGCTCAGTGGAAATGCTACGCTGCCCCGGCCCTTGCACAGAAAGAAACAGCGCAGACACAGATGCGTCCGTCCCTGTCCACAGGAAACCAGAGGAGATCCACCAACGTGGCTTCCCTTCCCTCAGCAGGGCCCAGCTGACTCTAACCTACTTCCTCCCAAATCTTTTTTTTTTTGGGTCTGGTCGTGGGGCTTGAACTCTGGGCCTGGGCGCTGTCCCTCAGCTCTTCAGCTCAAGGCCAGCGCTCTACCACTTGAGCCACAGCGCCACTTCCGGCTTCTTTTTGCTTATGTGGTGCTGAGGAATCGAACCCAGGGCCTCATGCATGCGAGGCAAGTGCTCTACCACTGAGCCACCTTCCCAGCCCCGTTCCTCCCAAATCTTAACCTCAGCCTTGGACAGCCTGGGCCATTTTCAAAATGGGTGTCATTTTGTCTTACATCTGTATTTTGTGCCCAATAATGAGACCTTTTTTTTTTTTTTTAAACAGATCTCAAAATAAAAGTGCTGTGAAAAGACCATCCCACGGAAGACGGGAAAGACGACAGCACCAGAAAGCAGTGCTGAAGGCTACCAGTCGTTAAACAACTTCAGAAAACCTGAGACTGTAGTCTCAGTAACTACTCCAAACTTTCTTAAGCAGAGCAGGATGTCTCAGGAGGTTTCAAATGGACATCGAGAAGCTAGGACAGAAAGTTGTCAGAAAGCAGGGTTCTCCAGCTAGGAAGGTGGCTCGGTGGTACAGCGCTTGCCTTGCATGCATGAGGCCCTGGGTTTGATTCCTTAGCACCACATAAGCAGAAAAATATCCAGAAGTGGCGCTGTGGCTCATGTGGTAGAGCGCTAGCCTTGAGCTAAGAGCTGAGGGACGGTGCCCAGGCCCAGAGTTCAAACCCATCACAAACACACACACACACACACACACACACACACACACACACACACCCAGGCCCAGAGTTCAAACCCAACACACACACACACACACACACACACACACACACACACAGGATTCTCAAGACAAGAATCCTTTGGTACTTCATTCTACATGTTTTGTATATCCATTCCACACCCAACTAATAACCTTCTGTAATGTTCTTGAACATGTTTTGTGTTTTTTTTAAGGTTCTGTTAACTGACTTCTGAATAGATGTTAAGAGTTAAATTAACAACAGAGCCCGTTTTCTATCACCGAGGTGGTCCCCAAAAAATGCTACTAAAAGGACTTCTCTCCCAGCTTCGCTGTGGTGAACTCTTGCTGTGCAGGCGGTGGTGGGGGTGGAACTCGGGGCTCTGTGCTGTGCTATGTGATGGCTGTGCAGACTCTGAGTGAAGGGTAAGACGCTTCAAGAAAAGCGCCAGGAAAACAGCATCAACGTGCAGAAGAAACTGGACCCTGAAAGGGGACAGTCAGCCCCTCCAGCCCATGTGTACCGAGTGTAGTCTAAACCAAAATAGACCATGCCTCTCCCCCCCCTCCCCCCCAAGCCGCACCCGGCACCACACACAACAGCGACCTGAAGTGGCCTGCAGGGAAACCTGCAACCACGGAGGAACCTTTCTGCGGATGTTACACCAAACCCCAAAACAACTGAGAGAAGACCACATCCAACTCAACACCTGGGTCTCCCTCCTCTCCACCAACCCCCAGCACTGTCAGAGGGCTCGCGCAGGGCTTGGCCCAGCACACAGCACCAGCACCAGCACACAGCACCAGCACCAGCACCAGCACACAGCACCAGCACACAGCACCAGCACGCTGGACCGGCCTCTCTGGAGCACTCACGCCACGCACACTGCGCACCCCACACGCACGCCCGCTCAGCAGGCAGCAGCCCGCAGGCACCCGGCTGAAACCTCACCTCAGGAGAACCAAACCCCACCCCATTTTCTTAAAAAACAGAAAAGGACTTGCCTGTTTCAAAGTTGTCCTGAAGTTTTCGTGGGTGCAGTTTCTTTTCACATTTCTATTAAGAAACACAAAACACACACAAGAGTAGTTACCAGTTATTTTTTACTTATTAAAAATCAGGAGCACCAGACTCTGGTGGCTCACGCCAGTCATCCTAGCTACTCAGGAGGCTGAGATCTGAGGATCGCAGTTCAAAGCCAGCCTGGGCAGGAAAGTCCATCAGACTCTCATCTCCAACTAACCACGTGAACTGGAAATGGCATTGTGGCCCCAAGTACGAGAGCGCTAGTCTTGAGCAGAAGAGCTCAGGGACAGCGCCTAGCTTGAGTTCAAGCCCTAGTACTGGCATGTACACACACACACACACAAACACATGCATGCACACACATACACACAATCAGGAAATACATATAATCAAACCTCTCTCGAAGAAAATTAAACCAGCAATCCAATCACCATCCCCATTCTGAGTCTTTTTTTTTAAGCCTAAAACTTACTTTAATTCTGGTTACAAATACCCTATGAAGACACCAAAGAAAAATATATATCCTACAACTCAACCCAGAAATAGCACTATTTCAGTTACAGCTTTCCAGCTTTTATCCCAGGAGGCACAGATAAATGCATTTTTATATAGTTAACTCTGAAGGGAACTAATTATAGCACACCGATACTGTTGTATGACCCTCCGTGGGGCCTGACATGGGGGGGGGGGGGGGACCTGTTCCTGTCCCTGGGTTACATCCAAGGCAGTTCTAGAAACCTGTAAAACAAAACCATGTTCTAATCAATGCCAATCTGCGTTGTCTTCTTTCTTTTGTTGTTGTTGTTTGGGGCAGTACTGGGGACTGACCCCAGGGGTTCCTGGTTTGCTACTTAAGGGCTCTACTGACGTGGAGACACACTCCAGGCTTTGTACTCACACTATTTTTCACAATAGTCCCGTTTTTGCCTTCCCAAGTAGCTGGGAATACGCTCCACCTCACTTCTGCTGACTTAAGGGTAGTCTATTAATACAGCACCCCGCGTCTGTGCAGCTCTTCTGTATTTTCATAATTGCAAAGAGAATTCCAGGCCTTTCATTCAGCCCAACACTTTTCTAGACAGGCTGTACACTTTACTAGTATTTACGATTTGCTAATTACTCAACAATGTGCAACTTGGAATTACCGATGTCTTTATATTTGTCTGTGATGGGGAAAAATCACTGCGCCACAGTTTACATTCATGGAGCAGAGTTCAATACTTTTATGTGTTTGTACTTAGAAACTTGTATTTCTTCTCTTACAAACTGTTCATACTTCACTATCACTTTATTAAGACAAAAAATTCAAGTTTTTCTACACAACTTTGAGAGTAATTTGTGAAATATCTAAAAAAAAAAATCCCACAGGAATTTTGAATGACTAAATTCTAGATTAATTGGAGACATGTACTGTCATTAAGGAAGCCCTTGCTGCATCTTATTGAAGCCTATTCATTATGATCATCTGCTCGCTCCTGCCAATCCTTTCTCAGAGCCAAGTAAATAAAAATGCGAAGTCTGACAGTAACTGTAACATGTTTACTGGTGGAATCATGATAGCCAAGTTGTAAATAAGCCACATTCAGGGAATTTGGGTGAAAATACTTTGCTCAATATTTGTCATCACCACTTTTTAAAGAAATGACAAAAAGAAACCCCACAGCACAGGCAAACAAGGACATGAGAAATTACTAACTTATACAGCAATTACAAAGTAAAGTTACAGGACTGGGAATGTGGCTTAGTGGTAGAGTGCTTGCCTCGCATGCATGAAGCCCTGGATTCAATTCCTCAGTACCACATACACAGAAAAAGCCTGAAGTGGCGCCGTGGCTCAAGTGGTAGAGCACTAGCTTAAGCACAGGGAGGCTCAGGGACAGAGCAAAGGCCCTGAGTTCAAGCCTCAGAACCAGGGGGGTGGGGGGGAGGAGTAGAGTTACCCTATTAGGAATCTTACATAATGGATTACTGTATGAGAAAAAAAAAAAGACAAAAAACTACCTAAGCTGGTGGCTCACGCCTCTAATCCTAGCTACTCAGGAGGCTGAGATCTGAGGATCACGATTCAAAGGCAGCCCGGGCAGGAAAGGCTGTGAGACTCTTATCTCCAATAAACCACCAGAAAATTGGAAGTTGCGCTGTGGCTGTGGCTCACGCAATAGCGCTCTCACTTTGAGCTGAAGAGCGCAGGGACAGCGCCCAAGCCCAGAGTTCAAGCTCCACAACCGACACAAATAAACACAACCAATACAAACAAACAAAAAGTACCTAAGGAGTTGCTTAGATATATACCCAAACCAATGTCATAAGTCAGTCTGTAATTCAGAGTAGCCGGATTTTTGGGTACATGAACACAGCAGTACCCAATTTGGACCTAAGAAGCCCTGCAGATGCATAAATCAGAGTAAGAACCGAGTGTGTGACCCCCACGCACCGTGACCCCGCAGCGTCCTCCTATGGGAGAAGCGCTGAACGCTTACCATCAAGGGATTCTGTTGCTTTGCTGGTTGACTGTGGATTCCATTTGTTCTTTTCTTTTGATTAGGCGAGTCTTGATACTGCTTCCTGCCATTTCCCCGCAAATTCTGATTCTGTTTTTCCCGTAAAAAGAAGTAAAATGTGAGTTTGTGGCACAATGTTGTTATACACAAGAATCTCTACGCCTGTGTTTACAGCTGCTTAACCCCAGAGCTCAGCTGTGGCAGACACTCTCCTAACTCCACATCCACGTATTTCTTTTTTTTTTTTTTTTGGGTCCGGTCCTGGGGCCTGAACTCTGGGCCTGGGCGCTGTTCCTCAGTTCTTCAGCTCAAGGCTAGCGCTCTACCACTTGAGCCACAGCGCCACTTCCGGCTTTTTTCTTATCTGGTGCTGAGGAATCGAACCCAGGACCTTGAGCATGCAAGGCAAGTGCTCTACCACTGAGCCACCTTCCCAGCCCCGAACATCCACGTATTTCTTATGAAAGGTAGTTTGTTCTAAAGCCACAGGTACAATGGCCTCTCCCTGCCCCACCTCTCCCCTTCCCCACGGAAGGCTGAGACTGGCTGTGAGTGGCTCCATGCTTGAGCTCACCAAGCCAGCCTGCGTGAGGCGGCCCTGGCTACAAGAACAAAGAGAAGCAAAAGCAAAACCACAAGAATGGAGGGGACGCAGCGCCCACGGGAAGCGACAGCACTCAGGAAGGAGGAGCTGAGGCCACACAGGCGCAGGATTCTTTTTTATTTTTTAGCTGGTCCAGGGTCTTGAACTCGGGGCTTGGGCACTGTCCCTCAGCCTCTTTGTGCTCAAGGCTAGCTAGCACTCTACCACTGGAGCCCCAACGCCCCTTTCAGCGTTTTCTGAGGACTTTATTGGAGGTAAGAGTCTCACAGACTTTTCTGCCGGGGCTGGCTTCAAACCCACAATCCTGAGTAGTTAGGATGACAGGCCTGAGCCCTGCCGGCACAGTTAAGAGTAGAAAACAGGCAGTACATGTGATCAGTCATTAGTTACTAGGAAAATCTGCCGTAAAGTTTTAATCAACGATTCTTAAGTGAATAATCTTCCACAAAATGGTCAGGTTGGGCCTTTTGAACTTTTGAGTGTTTTGTTTTTTGCTGATCTCAGGTCTGAGTGCTATCTCTTAGGTAACGGTGAATCTACTAGAACCATAGCTCCACTTCTAGTTTGGGGTTTTTTTTTTCTTTTTGCTTATGTGGTGCAGAGGAATCGAACCCAAGGCCTCATGCATGCAAGGTAAGCGCTCTACCACTGAGCCACCTTCCAGCCCCTAGTTTTGGTTTTTTTTTAAACGGTAATTCAAGATGAGTCTCGTGGACCCTCCAATCTCAGGTAGGCCACTGGCATCCAGCCAAACAGCAACTTTTAAAGCACTTCATTTTCATTTACCTTGAAAGGATGACTATTTAATGGGACTAACTAAAATGGGGTGACTCAGCCAACTATAGGTACATATATATGAAAAATGAAAATGACAAATGAAAATTTCTTATTTACATTCCGCCTACCTACAGAAGAAAACCAAGCAGCTACTAAGACAGGTGGAAACAGTAACAGACCTCAAGTAAGGACAGGAGAAATGGGTGCCAGATCCTGCCGCGTCCTGCTACCACACAGGCTCACGCCGGCATCTGTCTGGTTCTCCTGTTACACTGTGGTGTAACACACACAAAATTCACCACGGAACCGACTTTATATATATTCCAGTGGCACCTAATACAATTTTAACAACAACTGTCATCACCGGGCCCTTCCAAACTGTTTTGGCGGTGCTAGGATCAAATACTTTACCTTGCACAGGACAAGCATGAGCCCACAGAGCTCCACCCTAGACAGAAGCTCCGCACCCACAACACAACACAACTCCCTCCTCCTCCTCCTCCAGCCTCAACTTCTGCTCTAACCTGTGCGCTCAACTCTACCTGGCAGGATCTGTTCTGCTGTGCCTATCTGTTTAGGGCACTGCTTTTAATTCTTTTAAATTATACCCTAAGCATGGGAAGACCGAGTCACCTGATAACCACATTTAACTGGCTGAGGGACCACCGGCTGTTTTCCCTAGCCAGACGGGTTCACATTCCCACTGGTAATGCAAAGGGCTCCAATTCTTCCTGCTCTTACCAACACTGGTCACTTTCTTCGTGTGGGCTCTATTACTACCAGAGCGACTCTAATTCGTAGTAGGCATTTTACTCTAATGCTGTCTTGTACTTCCCAAATGGGAACGTGGGCCATCTTTCTGTTCGTAGGGACCCCCTGAATACTTTCCTCAGAGAGTTTTCTAATCAAGTTGTCTGCTCTCTTCAAACAGGGTCTAGCTGTTTTGTACGACTGTCGCTCCTTAGTTTTAAATCACGTGTAGATATCTATACATACACATACTTATCTCTGGATATTAATCCTTTACCAGATACATGACTGGCGTATACTTCCTCTCATCTTGTGCGTTTTTACCCCCACTTCCTTGACTTTGAGCAATTCAGTGTGTATGTTTTTTAAAAAAAATGATTACCACTCGGAAGGCAAAAACAAAAAGACAAAAATATTAGTAAGCAGATGGAATAATTCTAACTCAAATACTGTTCCTAGCGTGTTCTCCCTTGGTGACGTTTACGCCATTTGTCCCATACGATTCCCATCAAGGTCAGCTTCAGATCACATCAGAACACTGGAGGCTTTGCTCGAGAGTTCAGAGTTCACTTAGCCATGCACACGAGTTCCGTCAGAGACCGCTGTGCCATTCCTCACTCGGGAGTGAGTGGGACGCGCGTGCACGCACCTTGGCTTTGAGAAGATCGGACGCCTCGTGGCCGCCGCCGCCGCCGCCGGGCTTCTGCGGCTGCCTGTGCTTCCCCCATTGGTCACCAGGAGATCCTTCGGGGAACAGCTGCTGACTGTGGCGGAATTTGGTTCGACTACACCAGGATTTAAGAAGCAAAAGTCAGACGAGAAAGTTGTCTGGGCCTGGGGGCGCTGTCCCTGAGCTCTTCAGCTCACGGTGAGCGCTGCACCACTTGAGCCATAGCATACCAGTTCTCTGGTGGTTTATTGGAGATGAGTCTCATGGACTTTCCTGCCTGGCTGGCTTCCAACCACAATCCTCAGATCTTAGCCTGCATGATCCACCAGCACCTGGCTTTGTAACGATCTCTTGAATATTTAATCTTCTATTTGTCTTTTAACTAGACTTTTCTAAATTTTTAAATTTTCCAATAGCGGGTTTGAACTCGGGGCTCACCCTTGCTAAGCAAACACTCTGCCTCTCGAGTCTTTTTTGATTTTTCAATTCAGGTCTCACATGGCTAGCCAGGCTGGGCTGGCCTGTAGGTCTCCTGATACTTTTCATGCAGTTAGGAGTGCAGACATGAGCCACTGTAGGTGACTTTTATTGGTTGAGGTGAGGTCTCAAGAACTTTTTGCCTGGGCTAGTCTTGAACTTCGATCTTTCCCAATATGCTCTCCCTGAGTAGCTGGGATTGCAGACATATACCACCTGCCTAATAGCTTTTTTTCTTAATTGGACACAACTTATATTCTTACTGAAACGTTTCCAGTATGGAACTTAACCCTACACATATTAGTTACACAGTACAGCATACACTTAACTTTAGTGATCGTGCCACACAGGATGGCACACATGCGTGTGTCGAGTCACAAATACCAAGACCACAAAAGAGTAGTAGCTTTCCAAAACACATTAAGAGTTCTTCAGGGCTGGGAATGTGGCTAAGTGGTACAGAGCTTGCCTCACATGCATGAAGCCCTGGGTTCGAGTCCTCAGCATCACATACACAGAAAAAACTTAGAAGTGTTGCTGTGGCTCAAGTGGTAGAGTGCTAGTCTTGAGCACAGAGAAGCTCAAGGACAGCGCCCAGGCCCTGAGTTCAAGGCCCAGGACTGGCAAAAGAAAAAAAGAATTCTTCACTATTTCACTGAAAACCTAACAAAATCTCAGCCTTTTTGTCCCTTTAGACAATAATTGAAATGCTTCTGCCAACACCTTGTGGCTGCGGCTGCATGGTAATACATGTCCACCTGCAATCAGAAGTGGGGGGCCGCCTTCACACCGCTGCACCGCCGGGGCAGAACACAACCCTACCCTGGCAGATTCCCCGAATAATGATCATTTCTGAAATTTTTCTTTTCTAAACCCCTATTTCAGAACTTTGTGATAGCATCTTTCTTTTTAACCTTGGCTACATTCCTGTCTGCCTTATGGCTTCGACACTTTGGTATTACCAAAGGAAAAATAAGACTCTTAAGCTCTTGTTCTCATAAAACCTAAGTAGAACAGAATGGTACCCATTTTTAAAATGCAGCTGTGATCATGGCTTGTTCCTACTGTTTAACTGTTGAAGCTCTATGGGAAACGCTGCCTGTCCATTTTAGAGAAAAATGTGAAAAACAGTTCTTGATCCTATCAAAGGCAACATGGTGGTTAAGCCAATTGGAAACACACGCCTGTTTATGTGACTTTCCCTGTCTGTATAATTGTGATTTGGGTGCATGAGCTTGAGTTCACACCCATATCACAAACACACCTCATACTACATAGCCGATGGCAGGGAAGTACGCAAAAATGCAAACCAAGTCTTCACAGTTCTGTGTGAAGCTGTAACCATTTACCAGTGCCCTGGCCTCTCCTGTGCAACCAGAGCTCAGCACACCCCGCCTCATACCTGACACCATCACCTCTGAGGGAGGACGTAGAAGAGAGCGACACCAGGAAGCCCTTGCTTCTAAACTGCCGGCATCCTCTCGATTGTTTTAAAAGTGTGTGCGAAGCTCAAGCTACCTGTTCTCATCAAAAACCTCTGAAAATAGTCTTCCACGAGACCAGTTAAGAAAAAGCACCTCCAAAAAGGAATCTGTACCTCTGCAAACTTTAAAAGCAAATAGCACTGCAGTAGAAGTCACGATAAAGTCAGAATTCTGTGAACGCATTTCTGTACCTCAACTTCTCCACGGTGGGCTTAGCTGGGGTGCTTCCAGCTGAGGAAAAGCCATTGTCGCTGTCTGAGGAATCCCCGAACCTTCGAGAAAGCCAGTCCCTTAGCGGTCTGTGAAAGTATTAAAAATTCACCTTTAACACCTGCAGTCTCAGATCTATGAAAGGCGGCTTTGTATGTCAAGTAATATCTATATAGAGAAATTACAGCCAGCAGCGTTACTGAATGGGGAAAACGGCAATCGTTGCCCAACCTCTCAAGTCAGAGCAAGACTCTTTCCGTCCTTAGAGTACTTGAAGGCTTAGCCACGGCAGTACTGGTAATAGAAAAACATAAAGGGGATGCACTTAAGAGGAAAAAGTCCGAAACAGCAGCAGCAAAAGGAAAGAAGAAAACGGGAGGGGAGGAGAGTGGGAAAGGGGGAGGAAAGCTCAGCATACCTGATAAAGGGAATGGCCATAAAAAATTTGTTAGGTGCCAATCCAAGTTTGGATTTTGGAGTCATATCATTTCTATGACAGGGCAATTTCTCAATGGAAAACCATTCAATGTTCTGAAACACAGAAAGAAAAAGGGAAAAGATCATTTAATGATTATCAAGTTCTTAAAGGAATTTCCCACTTCACTCACCAGGGATGAAGGCGCTCAACGGTTACATACACGAATCTCTCTTCTTGTTTTGGGGTTAAACTTCGTGTCCTTGGGGACCCCTGGAATGATGTACAAGCGAGCGAGCTGGTCATTGATGCGCAGCTCAATGTAGTCATCCTTACAGATATACTCCTTGATATCAAAACCAGTTTCCTCAAAGACCTGGAAATCAATTTGAATGAAACGTTCAATTTTAACGGTTAAGAGTTCCAGTGCGATGAAATCTATTTGTGCGATGAAATCTATTTCAAAGACGAAAACTCCAGAAATATCCAGTCCCTACAGGTACACAAATGCTAAAGCAGGACTAAAGACGTTCTTGCATATCTGCAGCTTCTTTTTGGGAGTTCAGCTCTGGGGCTTGAACTTTGGCCTGGGTGTTGGCTGTCCCAGAGGCTAGCGCGCTTCTACCGCCACGCTGAGCCACAGAGCCACTTCTGCAGCTCCTTTTTAAACATGCAGAAGTGACTGGTAATGGGAACTCATTCAGATGCACAAACTGCAGGAGGAGAGCACCACATCTGTGTGCTTGTGCTGCCTGGGAAGAACAGAAACAAACATGCAGAGTGAGGAGTGCAGCCGTGCCCCTCCTGAGAGAGGGGGAAGGAGGTACATGGGATACAGGAAAGACACGAGGAATGGACTAGAGTTCTAACGCAGCCTTTCTTAGAGTGGGGGGGGGGGGGGAGGGCTACAACACAGAAATCTCAGGATTACTATTACACAAAACCCTCACTCTTTCCTTCAGCTAGAAAAGGAAGATGTGTTTGCTCTAACATACTAAGCTGCTTAAGATAAAGACCAGTCGGGTGCCGGCGGCTCACACCTGTGAGCTAGCTACTCAGGAGGCTGAAATCTGAGGATTGCGGTTCAAAACCAGCCCAGGCAGGAAAGTCTGTGAGACTGATCTCCAATAAACTACTCAGAAAACTGGAAGTGGTGCTATGGCTCACGTGGTAGAGTGCTCTCCTTGAGCTGAAGAGCTGAGGGACAGCGCCCAGGCCCACAGTTCAAGCCCCACGACCGGACCCAAAAAGAAAAAAAAAAAGTAGATAATGTGATACTGAGAGGTAAAGAGGGACTCTCCTCTGGCCTGCGTTGGTATCTACAAGGTATTGCAGGTATACAGGAAGCAAGTGCACTGGAGAGTAATGGCTGACATTCAAACACATCTTACACACTTCCCAGAACAAAATATCAAGTGCTCAGTGCAGAAGCTCCCTAGCTTCACACTTCCCCAAATCCTAACACTCACATACACAGGGGAGCGTAATTAAACTGTCACTCACGGGCGTCACGGCTCACTCATGCTGCGGAGCACGCAGCGGGGGACCAACCAGATGTTTTACCAAGATTTAATCTACTACTTGAGACAGCTTAAAAGTGTTTTGACTGGAATGCGGGTGCAGCAGCAGTGGAGTACGTGCGCAGTGTGCACAAGGCCCTGGCTCAGCCTCCAGCAGCGCAAAACAAGCCACACACACAGTGTGACTAGCACGTCCATCTTCGGAGATGAGATTGGTTATTATGACAACTGAGACCGCTGTAACCTAAAAACTTTCACACCGATGACAGTAGAAAATATCTCCTCATCAGAAGGGAGGACCCAAACCAGAGGGCACAACAGTTCATAAGCAGAATACATTAAAAACTCTAGGCTATCAACTAGACACGTGATCCACTATAAAAGGGGAAAGTCAGCTGAGGGTAGTGGCTCACACCTGCTATGCTAGCTACTCAGGAGGCTGAGATCTGAGGATTGCGGTTCAAAGCCAGCCTGGGCAGGAAAGGCCACGAGACTCTTATCTCTAATAAACCACTTAGAAAACCGGAGTGGCGCTATGGCTCAAGTGGTAGAGCACTCGCCTTGAGCTGAAGAGCTAAGGGACAGTGCCCAGGCCCAGAGTTCAAGCCCCAAGAGTGACAAAATAAATAAATAAATAAAAATGGGGGGTGACGGAAGAGTTAACGTGTAAAAAGACACTTTAGGAAGGAGACGTTCAAGCACCAAGTAAGATGACATCCTTAAATTTCAGGAAATGCAGTGAAAGCCACAATGACACACACCACGGTTAAAGAGCTTAACGTGTACTGTTTCGGCCAGGACACAGCACCCTGCCGCTGGTAGGTAAATTTGTACAGCCTCCTGGGAAGCTCCTGGCAGTGGCCCGTGTGATTCAGCCCGGCCACGCCCAGAGAAATAAGGATCATTTCCCTTCAAGACAAGCATTCACGGTAGCCCTTATTCATTTATCAAGAACTGGATAGACTGCAATGCAAAGAAGACGGAGGAGGAAGTGTGACACAGGTATACACTGAAATTCTGAACAGCGTAAGAACCAAGTATCGACAGGTGCTGCGACACACAGACCAGAGCTGGGAAGGCCGCAGCCGGCGTCAGACCCTAACCAGGAAGGTCAGGAGCCAGCAACACTCAGCTACCGTTTGGAAGAAAATGTTCATTATCGCTGGCTCTGCACTTGTATAAGGTCAGAGGAGTTACTGGTTTCTTTTTACCCTTCTGATAAGCTTGTTGAACAAAGATTATAGGAGGAACTGCATGTCTCACTGCGTTTTTTTAACTCTTCAAAAAGAAATCTGAGTGGAGATTTAGTCTGATTATGTCTGAGAAGTTCCTGTTCTCTGCGTGCCAGGAGGAAGCCAGCAGCAGTGGGGCTGTTTTGTTTCTTCTGACCAGGGGCTTCTGGGAACCTGGGGAATGTTTTTCTCTACTGAGTCACAGTGAGGAAGTGCGAGGGGCAGGAAGGGCTGGACTTGCCCTGTTGTTGGGGGTGGAGGGGGGGATCATGAGCCGGTGCAGATGGGCAACCAAAGAGGTGCATTAGAGCAGGAGCAGGCCCATGCGGGCAGAAGGGAAAAGCCCCTCAGCTCTCCCACAGCCCCCGGCCCAGCCCGTACCAGTCAGTCCACGGGCTTCATCCCAACATGCAGCCCTGTGCTGACTGAGACTGAGAGCAACGGACACTAGAACAGCTTTCCTGGGAAATTCCCTCATCTGCAGAAGACCACCTATGAAGTCAGAGAACCACGGCCTTCAGCCTCATCCGGGGTTTCATTAGCAGAACTCACAGCCAGGAGGGGAAGACAGAAACGTAACCACAGCTGAGCAGTCACAGCGCCGTCCTCTTCCAAACACCATCACTTCCAATCTGTTCCCAAGGATCATGCACGGCCCCTCCAAACCAGCTACTCCCCCAGCTCTCTGACTAGGGAGACAGGGTCTGTGCCCCAAAGCCTGCAGGCGGCCCCACCGGACACATCTTTCTCCTATCACAACAGTCATCGGGAAACTTCCAAAGGCAAAGGCGTTTTCTAACAAAAACAACCGACACCTCCTTCCCAAAGTGCTCAAAATGGACTGCGAAATGAGGCGTTCACTCTCCCCAAGTATTTACCGAGATAAACTTTTGATAGCTGACTTACGAGCCAGCCACTTCTTCACTGTGACTCAGAGTAGGGAAAAACATTCCTCGGGTTCACAGAAACCCCGTGGTCAGAAGAAACAAAACAGCCCAACTGATAAGAACAGTAACTTCTCAGATATTATCAGACTACATCTCCACGTCAGATTTCTTTTTGGAGAGTTAAAAAAAACACAGTGAGACGTGCAATTCCTCCTATAACCTTTGTCCAATAAGCTTATCAGAAGAGTAAAAAGGAACCAGTAATTCCTTTGACACTATACAAGTGCAGAGCCGGGGTATGATGAACGTTTTCTGCCAGATAATATGCAACACTATACTATTCTGAAAGTACAAGCTAACTGTTAAGTACCATCTGCTTGACCTCAAGAACAACATGGTGTCCGGTGTCCGTGTGGTCTGTGAGCAGGGGGGTGTGGAGAGGAGCTCTCCCCAGCTGGCCAGGATGGCGCTGGAGGGCGGCCTGCTCCAGAAGGCGCAGCTCCTTCCCATCCTAAACAGCTCCCCTAGCGCGTTACTGTTGCCCTGCTCACAGCCTGAGAAACCCACACTTTACTGCCTTTCTTGCTATACCTGCGCTACCCTGGTGGCCTGCACCTGTGCCCGCCGAGAATTACTTGTGGTTACAGAGATAAACACTTTATAGAGCTCCCTTCTCATTACTTAGGTGCTGGTACTAGAGCTTGAACTCAGACCACATTCTTGCTCAGGATTTTGGCTCCTGGTTGGTGCTCTGCTGCCTGAATAACACCTCCAGGCTGGCATTTTGCTGGTTCATTGGAGATCGGGTCTCTTGGACTGTCCTGCCTAGGTTGACTTAAACTAGGACCCTCCAGGTCTCAGTCTCCTGGGCAGTTAGGTGTGAGCACAGAGATTCTTGTGTCATTAACAGCGATCCTCAAGACTAATAAAGATACAATCCATTCCAATTCCATTTACTCTATGGAAAGGTAAACATTTAATCTTTCTCCCAATAATAAAGCTAGTTAATAGTAACTGAGCATTTCTATACACCAAACAACACACTAAGCATGGTATCTAGATTTTAAATTCATTACATGCCACATGAATAAATTTCACCAGGTGATCCTTAACTTTTTCATGACCAACAACAAGAGTTAGTTAAGGACAGAAAAATCTGTGTGTGGAGGGAGAGGGGGTCAGTCGTGGGGCTTGAAGTCTGGGCCTGGGTGCTGTTCCTCAGCTCTTCAGCTCAAGGCGAGCGCTCTACCACTTGAGCCACAGCGCCACTTCCAGTTTTCTGGTGGTTCATTAGAGGTAAGAGTCTCACAGACTTTCCTGTCCGGGCTGACTTTGAACCACAATCCTCAGATCTCAGCCTCCTGAGCAACTAGGATAACAGGCGTGGGCCACCGGCACCTGGCAAAAATCTGTGTTTTTAAAGAACTTTTACAAGGTATATATCCAGAATTACTGTTCTCCTTCCTGTTAGTGAAGGGAAAAGAGAAACTGATGACTCACCATAAGTAAGGGTAGAAATACAGACGTTATCCTAACATGTCAGCAATACCTAGAAATCATTTCTGACATCTGTGTCCTAAATCTCTTGGTACCAGGGTATCTGTGGCTCACACCTCAAAGCTAGCCCAGAGACTCCATCTCCAATTAACCAGCTATCAACCGTGATCACATTGTCTGCCTACTTTTAAAGCAAGGGAAAAAGACTGAGTTTAGGGCACCATTCTAAGTCTAATTTAGAAAATGGAGGGGGGGAACCTTTCCCTGTATGTTAATTGAAAGTCAAAATGAAGAATGAAGCACTGATAAATGATTATGAAAGTGGGAATCTGGTTTTCAGCTAAGACTGATCTTCTGATTCTACAACACTGTAACGCCACCAAGTGGCAGACGGACACACTGCAGTTCTACAACTGCTAAAGACCTTCATCATTTTGAAAGTGGCAATGCTCGGCAGGACCTGAATTGTGTCTTGTAACCAGAACAATTCGAGTTAAAGCCCCAACCCTCGCGGTGATGAAGTTAGCGGCCCACCACTGCACCACCCTTGGCTCACAGGTACCAGGCTCCTCTGGGCCTGTACCCGTATGAACACACAGCTAGAAGGTGACATGTCTCTTGGGCCATGGAGAAAGCCCTCACCAGGAACCAATCTACTGTCCTGGAACTGTTGGGTGAGGGACACACTTCACAGTTCAAACAATCTGAAACACACAAGTCCTCACAAGCTATCGCTTATGGAAAGGAAAAGCTCTTGGGCTGGGAAGGTGGCTCAATGGTAGAGTGCTCGTCTCACATGCATGAGGCCCTGGGTTCAATCTCTCAGCACCACCTAAGCAGAAAAAGCTGGAAGTGGCGCTGTGGCTCAGGTGGTAGGGTGCTCGCCTTGAGCTGAAGAGGTGAGGGACAGTGCCCAGGCCCAGAGTTCAGCCCCCAGGACCAACCAAAAAAGCCCTTAAGAGGATGGAGTAATTTCAAAAAATGGACAAAGAAAATTAAAACCATAAGCGATGTGGACCGAATTCCAGTGATAGCCCGTTACCTTATGCACTGAAATGCAGCACCGGGAGCCTAACGACCAGATTTACCGCTGGAACCGCAATGACTTACCTCTCTCGCAGCACAGTCGTGAGGAGCTTCTTCTTTATTGACTTTTCCCTTTGGAAAGCCCCAGCCTGACTTTGCTAGGTACCCCTGAACCAGCAGCACCTACGGAACAAGCACAGATGAAAATCGAACGTGCCCCTCCTGCCCATGCTCCTTCCAAAACCAGAACTGGAGCTCTTCAAGGATGTTTACACAGCACTCGGCTTCACGGTGTTCCATGATTCAAATACACTAATGTGAAGAAAGGCATTCTGCCCACTTAAAATTCGTTTGCTGACAATAGCGCAACACTTTGACACTGGTACTGGGGCTTGAACTCAGGGCCTGGGTGTTGTTCTTGAAATTTCCCCCAAGACTAGCAGTTTACCACTTGAGCCACAGCTCCAGCTTTTTGCTGGTTAGCTGGAGACAAGAATATCATGGGCTTGTCTGCCCCAGCTGCCTGCAAACCTCAATCCTCAGCTCTCAGTCTCTTGGGCAGTGAGCATTGATGACAGGTGTGAGCGCCTGGCTCACTAAGCAAGTCTTAAGACTCAAAGAGCATTTACAAGGCAAACTCTGGCCTTTGACCACTCAAAGTTCTAAATATGCCAGAACTTCATAACTCTATGCAATAAACACTAACGCCTTATGATCATTTCTCTCAGTCTTGTCTCATACTCACATTTTCAAGGGTCTCATCAAGAATAATTGCTCCATATGTTGGCACTCCCATTTTATATTCCTTCCATTCATCCAAAACTTTCTCCACATCTTCGCCTTGTGGCAGCAAAAATGGACAATGGCTGAAGAGTATAAACAGTGTGAAGGAAGTTTCTTTCTCGTTAACATAGCTTGACAAGTTCTCTACAGAAAGAACTATTTAACTAAATTGTGTATGAAATTATTCAAACCTTCATCTAACATTTGTTTTTAACCCACATTCATCTTCTCTTGAGCAACTCACTATCGATGTCTACATTTACCACAGACACTAATCAGGTATTGTTTTGGATGTTCAGCGAATGAAGGCCTCAAATAACAATTACCTTAAATACTTCTCACCAAATAGTCTATTTAATGCATCATAGCAGAGTCAACAGACACTGAAAGAAACCAAAGCACAAATATATTGCTTTGTGCAAATATATTGTTAAAACAAGAAGCCATCAGCCACAAAAATGGCTAAGGCGTTTAACTCTGTAGTCAGTGTTCATTTCCTAGGAGCACAGATCTAGAAATAGGAATGCTCCTAATTCTGTTAGACAGAACCCAGCCCTCACACAGAGCTAAATCACCAGCTCTTGCTGCCCGTCTGACAAAGGCGAGCGCTCTACCACTTGAGCCACAGCGCCACTTCCGGTTTTCTGGTGGTTCACTGGAGGCAAGAGTCTTACGGACTTTCCTGCCTGGGCTGACTTTGTTGTTTTTTTTTTTGCCAGTCCTGGGCTTGAACTCTAGGTCTGGGCACTGTCCCTCAGCTCTTCAGCTCAAGGCAAGCACCCTACCACTTGAACCACAGCGCCACTTCTGGCTTTTTCTGCTTATGTGGTGCTGAGGAATCGAACCCAGGGCCTCATGCATGCAAGGCAAGCACTCTGCCACTAAGCCACCTTCCCAGCCCCCGGGCTGACTTTGAACCACGATCCTCAGATCTCAGCCTCCTGAGTAGCTAGGATTATAAGCATGAGCCACCAGTGCCCGGCTCTAGCACGTTTCATTAACAAGAATGAAAGACCATCTTTACAGTAACGAAAAGGATATCAGCTTTAGCAAAGTCTCTTATCCCACACTGAGGTAGTCCTGGTGTGTTCTGCATGTAGAAATCCAAGTAAAACCAATGGGCAAGTTCAATCTGAAAACACACTCGGATCGCATTGTCTCGTTCCTCACTGGGGATATGCAAAATAAATCGGCTGTCAAAAACAAAGAGCAAAAAAGTTACACTTAGGAACTGTACCAATTTATTCTAACCCATTAAACTGCATGCCCAAGACCCTCTTCCCTGGGAGAGACCACAGTAGCAATGGGTATATGGGGCAAATTCCCACAGGAGGAAAGAGCCCTGGACAGAGGGGCTGGGCGCAGGCACACACGCCAGCAGGTGGGAGGCGGCCGGGGCAGGAGCTGGAGAGGGGCCCGTCTGGGTGGGCCACAATAGTCAATCCGACTGGGGCGGGGGTGGAGGATTCACAGACAGACACAGAAACACAAGGAGAGAATAAAACACACGTGCATAACCTGTATCTTGGGCGAGATGTGGTTAGAGTGCCTGCCTAGCCCAACTCAGAGGCTCTAAGTTCAAACCTCGGAGTCACCAGTACGTAAACTAATAGATTTCAGCTACCTGAAATAATGTGTATCTCCATGCACAGTATCAAGGGGGAAGGGAAGTTAAGTGCACAGAAACGAAGCACCGCCGGCACGCGGCATGCACGGCCAGGGCATCGCTGAGGATGCCAGAACGCAGTGTGCTTCTGGTGCAGCGTCTGGGATGGGTCTCTGCCCACGTGCTCAGTTGACACCACTCTGAAGGGTTATCACATCCAGGACTGGTAGGTCACCACCCCCCCTGGCCTGTCCTCCTCCACCAGCACCTTGAAGACTTACCCTGGGAGACGAGCACACAGCTTCCACCATGAAAGCACACCTGACCCCTCAGGGCAGCCTATGCAGACCCCCTGGGCGGCAGTGGTCTGATGGCACCTGCATGCCCCGTTCTCCTCAGACGTCCAGGGGCCACGCTCACCCCCCGGGTCTTCCATTCTGACCCAATTCCCTTCTACGCTCACAGGTTTTCATTCTCTTGTAAGCAGCACTGCTCCAGGCTTCAGCCAACAGCTCGGCCCTCTCCCATTTCCCTGCCTACACCTCCTCCATGTGGCTGTGCACTCAACCCTGCAGGGAAAGACGCGCCACTGCGTGAGAGGTGGGTGAAGCTCAGAGGCGCAAGGATTCCTACGACAGTCTTTCATCTCTGCATGTCAGCCCCTCCCCCAGCCCATAAAAAGTTAGAAAAGTAAACAGCAAACTCCAAACCTCTTTTTTCACATATGGCCCACAGACTCCTGACATTAGTTTTTTTCCTTTCTTTTGGTGTTGAGTCTGGGACTTGAACTCAGGGCCTGAGCTTTTGTGCTTAAAGCTATAGCGCTCCACCACTTGAGCCATAGCCCCACTTCTGGTTTTTCGGTGGTTAACGGAAACAAGAAATTCAGGGACTTTCCTGCCCAGGCTGGCTTCAAAGTGGGATCCTCAGATCTCAGCCTCCAGAGTAGTTAGGATTACCGGCGTGAGCCACCGGCGCCCCACTTAAAAGACTTTTCCTCAGGTTCCTGACACACATCTTTCTTTTTTTTTATTTTTGGGTCTGGTCATGGGGCCTGAACTCTGGGCCTGGGCGCTGTCCCTCAGCTCAAGGCTAGTGCTCTAACCACTTGAGCCACAGCACCACTTTCGGCTTTTTTCCTTTTGCTTATGTGGTGCTGGGGAATCGAACCCAGGGCCTCAGGCATGCAAGGCAAGCGCTCTGCCACTGAGCCACCTTCCCAGCCCCACACATCTTTCTCAAATACTTCACTTTCCCTAGTCTTTTATATAACCTCAAAAAAAAATTTTTGGAGTAACAGTTAACATTTACTGGCCTTAACTATGTGTCCACGGGCTTTTCCAAACTTGCTCGGTGGCAATATACCTTGCCTTTGTATTATTTTACCATCTAGCAAATTGGTCCACATCCATTTCCATCTAACCTTTCATGTCAAAAATTATGCTATATCAAAGTCAAATATCCCATAACGTCTACAGATTTACGTATTACATATTTTACACGTACTCTATAAATTATAAAGCAAAATTTTCCCACTGTAAAACGTCTTTTTTCTGAATGCGTATACACACACTTAAAAATCTAACAAAAGGCACCACGTGACTAAAAGCTCTTGCCCTCAGTAGTATCCATCTTTCAGTACACAAAATACTCCATTTCTGTCTCCTGGCTGGAAAACAAAATTCTGTATTTTGGATTACAACCAGTCGAATGGGCAGTTGGTTTTGAAATTTTAATTTTCTACTTTCTCACATCAGTAAATTTTACATTTCTTCAAAACTTAATTCATATTGTAATCACCAAAATAGGCAAAATAACTTGAAATAGTAAAATGTCCTAAGTGTACACCAGCAATAGAAGTGGAGGAAAAAAATGCAGCAAAAATGACAGGCTACACAAAATTTATATATTAACAGGTATGTAGGAATGCAAAGAACACCAGAAAAATAAACTATATGATTTAAGTTTTACTTTTGTAAAAATAAAACAAATTCATTTTTTTTCTTTTTTGGCCAGTCCCAGGCTTAAACTCAGGGCCTGGACACTGTCCCTGAGCTTCTTATGCTCAAGGCGAGCGCTCTACCACTTGAGCCACAGCACTACTTCTGGCTTTTTCTGTGTATGTGGTACTGAGGAATCGAACTCAGGGCTTCATGCATGCAAGGCAAGCACTCTACCACTGAGCCACTCTACCACTAAACAAATTCTAAGTGGGGGGAAAAAAATGGAGAGGCAAAAAGACCCAACTTGGCTCAAGACTCTTTGTGTCTCAAAAGAAAAAAATATATATGTTTAACTCACAATCAAAAGCCTGATTATTAACATCCAGCCTCAAATTAATCAGCAAGCATTAACTTAAAAAACAGCATTAAGCTGGACGCTGGTGGCTCACGCCTGTAATCCTAGCTACACAGGAGGCTGAGATCTGGGGACCGAGGTTCAAACCAGCCCGGGCAGCAAAGTCCGTGAGACTCTTATCTCCAATAAACCACCAGAAAACCAGAAGTGGTGCTGTGGCTCAAGTGGTAGAGTGCTCATCTTGAGCTGAAGAGCTCAGGGACAGCGCCCAGACCCAGAGTTCAAGCCCCATGACTGACAAAAAAAACAAACAAACCACAAAACAAAAAAACAGTATTACTTTTAAACCCTGAAGTTTTAAGATATAGTTATTTCTTTCATTACAAGTTTATCAAGTACCTAGTCCTAATTTTTTTTTCTTTTTTGGGTCCAGTTGTGAGGCCTGAACTCTGGGCCTGGGCGCTGTCCCTCAGATCTTCAGCTCAAGGCTAGCGCTCTACCACTTGAGCCACAGCGCCACTTCTGGCTTTTTTCTTTTTGCTTATGTGGTGCTGAGGAATCGAACCCAGCGCCTTAAGCATGCAAGGCAAGCACTCTACCACTGACCCCCTTCCCAGCCCTAGTCCTAATTTTTATTACATTTATATTATTTTTCTTGTAACAGAAAATAAAGATTTATCTAAGAATAGTTTAATTACGCTCATTAGAAAATCGAGGCCTAACAGATGTTTATATAAGAGTGTAATGGGCTGGGAAGGGGCTCAGTGGTAGAGTGCTTGCCTTGCATGTATGAGGCCCTGGGTTCGATTCCTCAGCACCACATAAGCAAAAAGAAAAAAGCCGGAAGTGGTGCTGTGGCTCAAGTGGTAGAGTGCTCGCCTTGAGCTGAAGAGCTGAGGGACAGCACCCAGGCCCAGAGTTCAGACCCCACGACAGGACCCAAAAAAAAAAAAAGAACATATAAAACAGTGTAATTATTCTGTGAACAGTCTATGCCTACTTACAACAGCTGATGTCACTCCTTAAAGTGATGTAACCCTAGGTAATATATAAGAACCCCAATGTTCACGGGAAGACTTAGCTTAGATGCCTTGGAGAATGCATAAGGTCATCCGATCTTACCTCTAAGTCAATTTCACCTCCCAAGGACTCAGCTTTGTTTTTCCTGACTACAAAGTGCACAGCCTTTCAAGTAGGACTGGAGGAAGGTCCAGCGGTAGAGGGTCAACCTACCAAAGCCAAGGTCCCGGAGTTTGGACACCAGCACTGGACAGAAACGATCATCATCATCCTCACCCTCATCCTGAGAGCACTGGGTATGAGGGTGGCATCCTGTCACCCACTGACGGTGGCGATCCTGTCACCCACTGAGTGTGGCGATCCTGTCACCCACGGAGGGTGGCGATCCTGTCACCCACGGAGGGTGGCGATCCTGTCACCCACGGAGGGTGGCGATCCTGTCACCCACGGAGGGTGGCATCCTGTCACCCCACTGAGGGTGGCGATCCTGTCACCCACTGACGGTGGCATCCTGTCACCCACTGAGGGTGGCGATCCTGTCACCCACTGACGGTGGCATCCTGTCACCCCACTGAGGGTGGCATCCTGTCACCCACTGAGGGTGGCATCCTGTCACCCACTGAGGGTGGCGATCCTGTCACCCACTGAGGGTGGCATCCTGTCACCCACTGACGGTGGCGATCCTGTCACCCACTGAGGGTGGCGATCCTGTCACCCACTGAGGGTGGCGATCCTGTCACCCACTGACGGTGGCATCCTGTCACCCACGGAGGGTGGCGATCCTGTCACCCACGGAGGGTGGCGATCCTGTCACCCACTGAGGGTGGCGATCCTGTCACCCACTGAGGGTGGCGATCCTGTCACCCCACTGAGGGTGGCATCCTGTCACCCACTGAGGGTGGCGATCCTGTCACCCACTGAGGGTGGCATCCTGTCACCCACTGAGGGTGGCGATCCTGTCACCCACGGAGGGTGGCGATCCTGTCACCCACGGAGGGTGGCGATCCTGTCACCCACGGAGGGTGGCGATCCTGTCACCCCAGTGGTGGCATTTTCCCGCCTCTGCGTCTATCTGCCCATTTCTTTTTCCTTTCATCACGGAGGCGCGGCGTTGGACGCCGGGCTGTCGTTCCTTCCGCAGCGTGCCTGGGCCAGCCTCCTCTCCCGGGGTGCCGCGGGAGGGCGAGCGGGGGGGGGGGGGGGGGGGGGGGGGGGAGGCAGCGAGCGGGGCTCGGGCTGCGCGGGCCTCCGCGGTCGGGCGGGGGGGGGGGGGGGGTGTGAGCGCACGCGCCGCCCCCGCCGGGGTCACGCGGGGTCACGCGCCGCCCCCGCCGGGGTCACGCGGGGTCACGCGGCGCCGCCCGGCCCGGGGAGGCCGCGGCTCGTGCCCGGGGCCTCCCGCGCTCGCGGCCCCGGACGGAGGCGGCGGAGGGCCCGCGGCGGGAGGCGCTCACCTGCAGAGATCGTCCAGGACGCTGCCGGGAATCTCCACGCGTTTGGTCTCCATGATGAGGCCCCGCAGCAGGAGCAGCGCATCCCGGCTCCGCGCGGCCGGGGACCGAGCTACAGACGGGACTCGGGCTCCGAGCCGGAGAGCGGGGCGGCAGGGGGCGGCGGCGGCGGCTCGGGCTCGACTGAGGCGGGAGCGGAAGGGGCGGGACCCGCTGACTTCCGTCCCGCTGCCCCGCCCCCTCCTCGAGGCTGGGCCGAGGCCGCGGAGGGGGAGAAAGGGAACCCCACCGGAAGTCACGCCCCTTAGGCTTGAACGAGCCAATGGGCAGCTGCGATACCGAGCGCGCGAGCTCTCGGAACCACTGAGACGTTTGTTTATTGAGACGTACCAGTTCCGGTGCCGAAAACCCACTTCCCGCCGCCCGGGGACGAGCGCGCCGTGGGTCTGCGCATGCGTGCGGGGCCTCCCGAGCGCCACCAGAAGTTTAGCGCTGGCGTCTTTCCCCCTTAGACCGACATCCGGGCTCTGGAGGGGTCTTCCGGGAGTTTCCGTGACCCCTGCGCGGGGCGGGCGTGAGGCCGAGCGCGTTCCGCCGTGCCGGGCCCCGCCAGCGCCGCCGCCCTCCACCCTCCCCCGGGCCTGAAAGCTGGGACTCCCGCGATCCTGAGCCTGGGGGCTGGAAAGCAGCTAGGTAAACCCGTCCCCGAGCCCGGCTCCGCGTCGGCCGCGGAGGCCGAGGCGACGCCAGGCCCGCACCGTGCGAGAACAGCCCGCCTGCAGCCCCCCGCCCGGGGTCGCGCTCCCCTGAGAGTCACCTCCAGGCCTGGGCAGCCGCAGGGCCCCCGACCCATGCGTGGCCAGCAGCCGTCCATCCTAGTCGGCCATGGTGAAGCCCGGCCCGCACGTCCACACCGGGGTCTCCGCCTCCTACCCCCTAACCCCCCAGGTCGTCTGGGTCACCCCCGACAACAGCCGGTGCCGCTTCTCACTCCCCCCTCGTGAGAAGGGGTCCGGCCGGCCCCTTTGTGGGCAATCAACCTTCTTTGTTCTCTGTTCCTGGAGGTCGGCACGGCTCTCTGGCGAAGTCTAATAACCCACCAAGTCCCACGGCACCTTTCCCTGTGTTCGCTCGGCTGGGGCCCCCGGCGAGCCTCCAACCCCCCACCCTCCGGCCGTTTTGGATGCTCTGCTTCTTTATCTCACTGTGTGACGCCTGCTGAGATTTCAGGAAACCCCGACTGAACTTGAACTTGGCCACCAAGCTCTACCACAGTTCTTAAGAACTTGCTTTTTACGTTTCCTCTTGCACTGACTTAACCCCCTTCCCCCCCCCCCCCCACTAATTATTTGTGAAATCTCTTTGACTCTCGCTTTCCTCCTCTTCGCCTGACCGTTCGCTTTTTAACTGGGCAAGGTGGTTGGTTGCTCCATAGGTATGTCATCATGAATTTCTTTCAGAGACAATTTTCCAGGGAAAAAAATAACAAACCCAAATAAGGCTTCTCCCATCGCTCACTATTTTTTTTTTTTTAAGTCAGTCGTGGGGCTTGAACTCTGGGCCTGGGCTCTGTCCCTGAACTCTTCAGCTCAAGACAAGCGCTCTACCGCTGGAGCCACAGCGCCACTTCCGGTTTTCTAGTGGTTTATTGGAGATAAGAGTCTCACGGAGTTTCCTGCCCGGGCTGGCTTTGAACCATGATCCTCAGATCTCAGCCTCCTGAGTAGCCAGGATGACAGGCGTGAACCACCAGCGCCCGGCTCCGTCACTCACTATTAAAACAACCCGTTATGTTTGCCCCCCCAACTCTCCTCAGCAGACAGACACAAGAGACCAGGCCCGAGGCTTGGTCTGTAGTGAGCTAGACCCTGGATTGGACATCCCACAAAGCCAGAATCCAAGACACCAGAAACCAGTTTAGCTGCTACCAGAAGAGGGCGCACATCTGACAACCTACAGTTGATTTCCAGCCTTTAGTTTAAGGGCCAGACTTTCCAACTGTGGGGTTTTGCTGTAGGTTAGAACTGCCACTGCAGAGGCACTGGAGAAACCCAATTCCTGGTGAAGTGACTCTGGTTTTCCCAGCCAGCCTTCTTTGATCTGCTCTCTAGCAGTCCTGGCATTGTCCAATTACCTGACAGCTATGATGAACACCTGGGTCATGAATACTTTTAACATCCATTGCTTTATTTAGTCTCCTCCCTGGAAGGCAAGCATTGGTACTCTCATTTGGGGCCTGAGGGGAAAAAAGTAACAACAAAAAACAAACCCCAAGGCACTGAGAGGTTAAATAATTTACTCCAGGTTAGAGCTAAGGCTACTAAGGACTAATGGTGAAGTCCACATGACCCCTTGCTGATCCATTTGCAGAAACTAGTTGTTATAAACCGAGAGTTATTTCTAGAAATTGGTTCCAATCCCTTTTCTCCAGATCCAAACATTAAAGTAGAACAGCAGGCTGGAAATGTGGCTTAGTGGTAGAGTGCTTGCCTAGCACGCATGAAGCCCTGGGTTCAATTCTTCAGTACCATGTAAACAGGAAAAGCTGGAAGTGGCGCTGTGGCTCAAGTGGTAGAGTGCTAGCCTTGAGCAAAAGAAGTTCAGGGATGGTGCCCAGGACTGAGTTCAAACCCCAGCACTGGCAAACACAAAACAACAACAACAGCAGCACAACACCAGTGGCTCACACCTGTAATCCTAGCTATTCAGGAGGCTGAGATTTGAGGATCGAGATTCAAAGACAACCTGGGCAGACAAATCCCAGAGACTCTTGTCTCCAGTTAACCAGCAAAGACTCAGAAGTGGTGATGTGGCTCAAGTGGTAGAGCACCAACTTTGAGTGAAAAAGCCAACCAAGAGACCCTGAGGTCAAGACCCAGTATCAACACAAAACAAAACACCCAACCCTGCAGAGCTGTGTGGGAGAGCAGGTCAGGACAGTGGTCCTTGGAGAGCCGTGACTCCCAACTGGCCCAGATGCTGTGCACAGATGAGAAGAGAGTTTGTAAGCCAACTCTAGAATAGGCCAAATGAATTTGGCTGTCAATTTCAGCAGCCTAAAAGTCCACAGGATGAAGGACAGAGGAGATTCTAAGTGGTAAACAGCAGAACAAAATGCAATGCTATCCAAAAGCCCTAAGGTGGCCAAAAAGAAGAAGAAAAAAAACCTCTAAGTTGTTTTGAAGGTAGAAGACATAAAGCCACTTTTGTCATTTCCCAGAAAGACACTGGAGGCAGAGGGGGGTCGGGGGGAGGAGCTTTGACACACGCTGCTTTAAATGCAGCTAAAAAAGGCAAGAAGCAAGCCATATAGTAATGAGGGTCAAAGCTGCCTTTGATAAGAAGGAACAGGGGAGGCCAAGGGAAAGGCCCAGAGCCTGTAGATAGATCGTGACCCATAGAAGAGAGTGTCTACTTTCCTGTACTGGGACTCACAGAAATTCACAAGATTATTCTGTCATAACAGATTTTTTTGTTTGTTTGTACTTGAAATTGTGGGAGAAAACAAGACAGGAGAACCATGATTTTGGGGGGTGTTGAAATGGTGAGAGAGGAAAAAAAAGACATTCAAATTGATGTTAAATATGTACCTTAAAAGATAGCATTCGGGGACAGTCCTTAGGCCGTTTAGCTCAACAGACAAAGATTTTAAGAATCAGAAACCTAAGCCAGGTACTTACTGCTCTTGCTGGTAATCCTAGCTACTTAAGAGGTGGAGACCTAAGGATCAAAGGCAGTAGGGGCAGACAAATCCCAGAGACTCTCATTCCAATTAACTAGCAAAAAAAAAAAAAAAAGTAGAAGGTGAGAAAGACCAGGCGGAGGAGGAGGAAGAGAATTAGAGATCTATTTAATACAGAATTGCAAACTGAGAAGATTGTCATCTGTGTTAGTGAGAATTTGGGGTACCTGGGGTCCCAAGGACGTGTATACCGGGAGGGGTTGCCTTTAAGGTATAAACACCGGAAGTGATTTTTCAGGAGGCAGTGACTTGAGCTGTGAGCTTCAGAATGTTCTAGAAAGAAGCAAGAGTGCTTCCCTTTTGGAAGTAGTCATTCATAGGTTTTGCTGAATGTGGTGGGTTTCACCACAAAGATCTAGACTTTTGCGAAGAGGAGACGCTCTGTTTTAACTCTGAATTTTATTGTCTTGGCACAGCACTGCTCACATGATTCGTGTTAGTATTCCTAAGAGAACACAGGTAAAGCAGTTATGTGTTAAGCAGTACCAGGAGCCTGACTGCAAGCACTAAATGTGTTTCAAATGTTATTCATCCATAACCAACAACTGCTGCGTGTGCGTTAAGATCCATCCCTCTGTTGCTGTTAAATAGCAGAATCCCCACTTTTAAGGACAAACACATCCAGATGGCCCGTTTCCTGTGGGGCTTTGAAAATCGGAGAAGTGGATGGAAATGTGAAGAGTCAGAGGATGAGTCACGTTATACATGTGTATTAGTTAGAGTATCTAGTTCAAGCCATAACCTGTTAATACAGTTATGGATGTATGCGGCGGAAAACATCATCCACACTATTGGTGCTCTGTGGTCGGAGCTGTTAGAGTTCTTCGCTCTCGTACAATCCGGATTGAGCTGCCAGACGCTGGAATTCTCCCTCTGGGTTAAAAGCTTGCTTCACATCTAAACCTTTTCCATTCAGGGCCAAATACTTGCTGAAAGTTGGCCGGACCCGCAACTGTTTCGGAGCCGGAAGAGTTTGGTTCGGACGGGCTGAAATAGATCAGACTAAAGTTAACTCACAAAAGCTGTCATTCACTAATGAGTTGTCCTTCTATAAACTTTATCAGGATGGAAAAAGATAAAAAAGCATTATAGAGGCAATCGGTCTGGTTTTATTAGGATGCTAGATTTCTGGTCTGGAGGCTTGAACTCGGACCTTGCGTTCTCATTTGACTTGTTTGGCTCAGGAGTGATGAGCTACCATGAGCCATGCCCCCACTTCTGGCTTTGTGCTGGCTCACTGGAGATAAGAGTCTCCAGGACTTTTTGCCTGGGCTGGCTTGATTCAACCTCATGAGTAGCTGGGATTACAGGTGTGAGCCCCGGTCCTTGCCCAGCTGCCTGTTTGTTTGTTTGTTTTTAATCTGGCCTTTAACCTGGTAATGTCACATACCTGTGACATCCAATCTGGTGTTACACGTGGTCACTCCGGCTTCATTGACTGCCGACACGGTGTACCAGCCTCCGTCTTTTTTAGTCACATCTTTGATCAGTAAAGTAACTCTCCCAGCATTATCGTGATACAAGCTGGGAAGGGAAAAGGGGAAAGTACAAGTAGCAGTTTCTGTGTGTCGGTTTGGATGAGGTCTCTGAGCAACAAAATCAGGCTAAGAGGAAGAAGCAGATGAGAAGTCCAGGGCTGGGTCTAGTTAGGGCCAAACAGCTACTATTTTTCTTGAATTGAACGTCTCACTTGATGATCAAAGTGCAACAGTTCAGAGCACTTGCCTAGGTGCTCACGAGACCCAAGTTTTAACCCCCAACATCACACACACACACACACACACACGCACGCACGCGCGCACACACACACACACACACACACACACATACCAAACCATCACCCCTCTTTATTCTTACTTATGTCATCTATTACCTTAAGCCATCTTTCTTCATTGTCCATTAAAAGATAAATCCCAGGTAACTTTATGCTTTAAATTTATGATGAATGAGGGGCTGGGAAGGTGGCTCAGTGGTAGAGCACTTGCCTTGCATGCCTGAGGCCCTGGGTTCCATTCCTCAGCACCACATAAGCAAAAAGAAAAAAGCCGGAAGTGGCGCTGTGGCTCAAGTGGTAGAGTGTTAGCCTTGAGCTGAAGAGCTGAGGGACAGCGCCCAGGCCCAGAGTTCAGGCCCCACAACCGGACCAAAAAAAAAAAAAATTTATGATGAATGAGCTTTTGAAGTCACTAGTGATTTAGTGAACTCTTTTATTATAGTTCTGTATGTATTTTATTTTTAATTTTAATATGTGTGTGTTGTGTGGATATTGGGGCTTGAACGCACAGCCTCGAACTCTCACTTGACATTTTCCACTCAAGGCTGGTGCTCAACCACTAACAACACACCTCTACTTCCAGACTTTAGCTTGTTAATTGGAGACAAGAGGCTCTTGGCTTTATCTGCCTGGGCTGGCTTTGAACCGTGAGCCTTAGATCTCAGCCTCCTGAGTAGCTGGATTTAAAGGTATGAGACACCAGCGCCCAGTATCTATATGTACTTTAAAAACTAGACAAGCCAGGCACCAGTGGCTCACACCTGTAATACCAACTACTCAGGAGGCTGAGATCTAAAGATTGTGGTTTGAAGCCAGCCCAGGCAGGAAAGTCTATGAGACTCTTATCTCTAGTAAACTACTCAGAAAAGATCAGAAGTGGGGCGTGGCCCAAGTGGTAGGTAGACTGCTAGCCTTTAGCCAAAGGGACAGCTCAGGGACAACGCTCAGATCCTGAGTTCAAGTCTCAGGACCAGCACACACACACACACACAAACTAGATAAATTAAGATCATAATTGCATGCCATTTACAATATCTGCTTAAGGTATAATGGGATCTATCCAAACAAAGTACAGATAAGAAATACCTATTCCTACCTTATTCGGTCTGTGTTGAACTGGACCATCTCATTGTTCCTCTTCCAGAAAAGCTTTGGTGGAGGTATGGCTGAGATCTGGCATTCCAGTTTTACTGTGTCCCCTTCAAAAACTTTTTTACTCTGTGGTTTGTAGATAAACATCGGTGCTCTTTTGTGTTCTTTTGCTATGAGTTTTAATAAAAAAAAAAAAATCAAGCATTTGTAATATTATAAAAATTATAGTAAGTTAAACTAAAAAATCATACAGCCAGGCGCTAGGGGCTCACACCTGTCATCCTAGCCACTCGGGAGGCTGAGAGCTAAAGATCGTGCTTTAAAGCCAGCCCAGGCAGGAGACTCATCTCAAAAAAAAAAAAAAGCCAGAAGTGGCACTATGGCTCAAGTGGAAGAGTGCTAGCCTTGAGCAAAAGGCTCGGGGACAGCGACCAGGCCCTGAGTTCAAGCCCTAAAACACTTTTAAGTTAAAATATTATAATAAACATTGCTTTTTTTTGTTTGGGCCTGAGTGCTGTCCCTGAGCCTTTTCGTAACGCCACGTCGGGTTTTCTGGTGGTTAACCAGACTTTCCTGCCAGGGTTGGCTTCGAACCGCGATCCTCAGGTCTCAGGTCCTGCGGGAGGCTCACCCAGGACGTCGAGCTGCACGGTGAAGGTGGCTTCCCCGGCTCGGTTCCTGGCCACACACACATAGGCGCCCGCATCCGACGCTCTGACTGCTTCAAAGATGAGGGAGTGAAAGCCCTTCTCAGACACAATCATTTTGTGCAGCTCATCCGACTGGACTGGTCTTCCGTTCAGATACCACGAGACGTCCGGAGCTGGCAGGCCGCTCACCTACGCACAAACACCCAACACGCAGCAGGATTTTAAAGCCTGTGTCCGCTCAGTGAATTCTAAGCATTCTTCAGTACCTACATGTGATGAAAATGCAGGCACCCCAACAGGTGTAAGTTTGAAACAAAAACAATGGAATTAAAACCCTTGACGTGAATACAGAGTATCTCAAACTACGTCTGTCGCTTTTACCCACAACCTCAGATTTCTAAAGAGCTTCATTTTTTTTTTCAACGCTGAGGTTTGAGCTGAGGGCCAAGTACTTGCAAGAGAAGTACCGAGCCACAGCCCCAGCCTTCTTTTTTTGTTGTTGTTGGTGGTGGTGGTTGTGGGCTTGAACTCAGGGCCTGGGCGCTGTCTCTGAGCCTCTCTTTGTGCTCAAGGCTAATGCTCTACCACTGGAGCCACAGCACCACTTCCAGTGTTTGAGTGGTTCATTGGGGACTTTTCTGCCTGGACTGGCTTCAAACCATGAACCTCAGCTCTCAGGCTCCTGAGTAGCTAGGATTATAGGCATGAGCCACCAGCACCCAGCTTTTTCAGCCTTCTTTAACATTTCTCTTAATTACCATATTTAAACCTGTATTTGTTGGTCTCCGCAAGAATATGGAAATCATACGACTTCTGGACAACTATGACTGAATGAAATGCCAGAGACAGAACTGTGAGACTTGCTGTCTAAAAAATAGTTTTTTGAAAGCAGAGGATTTTTGTACTTGGGTCTACAAATGGCCGTCCATTAATTCTTGTCATAGACAAGAAATCTGGAAAAAAAAAAAAAAGAACACGTTCTCAAAAAAAAAAAAAAAAAAAAGACAACACAACAGTCTCTTCTGAAAAGCTTGTAGCCAGCAGAACTCTTCTAGGCAAAGGTCAGCTGGGATGGAGACGAGACCCGTGCATGTTAGATACTTTATTATTACGGCATCTTCATAGGTATATGTATTTACTGGTATAAGTATTTATTAGGTTACACCTATGTAATCATATTAGGTATCCCTATGACTGCCTGTGATTTGTCTGAGTTTACAGACCCAGGTGAGTTTGGTTCCAGAATGTCTCTTCTTATCCAAAACCAAATGAGTATAGGACATTTGGGGTTTTTCCTCCCAAAACTTAGTATTGCCTTATTGATTCCCGCCCTCCCCCCCCCCCCCCCACACACACACTAGTTTAAGAACGCCTCTCTTACTTTGAAATCCATCCTACAGAACATTCCTTCTCCCATGGACATGTTTTCTGGCACTTGGATGAAACGGGGTGGGTAAAACTTCTCTTGGATGGCATCTTGATCGTTCGCATCTGCCCTTGAAGAGGATCTACTTCTACGAAAATAGTAGCAATAACAGCTGCACATAAATGCTGCCGTCGCTCTTCCCTTCACCCCAGTCCAGTTCTGCCGTCAAGTCTGAAAGCCCAGCCTGTCTCCAACTGTTGGATCCTATGCTATCCCGACAGTGGAGCCAGGCCTTAAGAATGCCTTTGTTGCCAGGCGCCGGTGGCTCACGCCTGTCATCCTAGCTACTCTGGAGGCTGAGATCTGAGGATCACAGCTTGAAGTCAGCTGGGCAGGAAAGTCTGTAAGATTCTTATCTCCAATTTTTAATCACAGAAATATCCAGAGAAGTGGTTCTGTGGGTTCAAGTGATAGAGTGCTAGCCTTGAGCAAAAGGAGCTCAAGGGACAGCCCCCAGGCTGGCAAAAAAAAAAAAAAAGCCTTTAGGGGTGGCATACTTGATATGGCTTTAGAAATGGTAGCAATTTAGAAACTTCTGGTTCAAATTATACATCTCTTTTTTTGGGGGGTCCGGTCGTGGGGCCTGAACTCTGGGCCTGGGCGCTGTCCCTCAGCTCTTCAGCTCAAGGCGAGCGCTCTACCACTTGAGCCACAGCGCCACTTCCGGCTTTTTTCTTTTTGCTTATGTGGTGCTGAGGAATCGAACCCAGGGCCTCAGGCATGCAAGGCAAGCGCTCTACCACTGAGCCACCTTCCCAGCCCCCAAACTATACATCTCTGACTCTGTCTCTCTGGCTCTCCCTTGTTCCTCCAACTGATGGAGAAATGATCTGTGCTTACTCCAGAGCCTACATTGGTCACCTTCAAGGATTATATAATTACAAGTGGGCTTCCCTGAAGGTGAGGAAGTTGTTTGATATGGAGACATAGTCCTGGCTTATTCCATTTTCAGAACTTCCCCTGAGGTAGTTCTGATCATGAACATTTGATTGAGGAGAATTAGAGATATGTCCTTTAGCTCTCCTATCATTACCACACCTTTGCTGGTATTCCTAATAAGTACTAGAGGTCATATTTACTAGTCAGTCTTCATCACTTTATGAGTTAAGTGCATGAGTTAGTCCTAATTTACAAATGAGGAGAGAAAGGCACAAACAAAGAGGTTAACTTGACCCATCTGATTTCCATAGCTAGAATGTTGCAGAGCCAGGATTCAACCCCAGGTAGGCTCAGATCCACTGACCCAGGTCAAAGCTCAACCTGGCCTTTGGCCATCATCCCAAACATTAAAACACCCACACTCCTGGTTTCGTTATTGTCATTTTTTGTTTTGTGGTACTGGGGATTGAACTCAGAACTCAGGACTGTGTGCTTGTTAGGCAGGTGCACTACCCACTGAGCCAAGCCTTCAGCCCACATTGTGTTTTGTTTTGTTTTGGTCGGTTGTGGGGCTTGAACTCAGGGTCTGGGCATTCTCTCTGAGTCTCTTTGTGCTCAAGCTGAGCCCTCTACCACTTCCAGTTTTTGAGTGGTTCATTGGAAGTAAGAGTCTCACAGGGATTTTCCTGCCCAGGCTGGCTTCAAACCAAGATCCTCAGATCTCACCTCCTAAGTAGCCAGCATGACAGATGTGAGCCACCAGCACCTGGCCACAATGTGTTTTTAAAGAGTAGATAGTATACTTCTGTCACTGATACTGATACACACACACACACATACACACACGCGCGCTCACACACACACACACACACACACACACACACACACACACACACACTACATTTTTCAGTTGAAGGTATTTTTAGGTAACAAGATACATATTTCTTTAAAAATTAAACAAGAATAATTTACCTTACTTGTGCTGCAGGGACTTGGAGTCGTGCATGCTCAGGGTTGTGCTGCTTGAGAGGAAAACAAACCGAGGTGTTAGCATGTGATTGTTTGAGAAGAGCCTTTCTATTTTACCTGCTTGCTTTTTAACAAATTGTTGTTGCAGCTCACGCCTGTCATCCTAGCTACTCAGGAGGCTGAGATCTGAAGATCGTGGTTCAAAGCTAGCCCAGGCAGGAATGTCCATAAGACTCTTATCTCCGATAAACCACTAGAAAACTGGAAGTGGTACTGTGGCTCAAGTGGTAGATCACTAGCCTTGAGCTGAAGAGCTGAGGGACAGCGCCCAGGCCCAGAGTTCAAGACCCAGGACAAAAAAACAATGTTGTTGCTTCTTTGTAAGGTCAGGGGCTGAATCTAGGGTCTCCTACGTGCTAGGCAAGCACTCTGCCACTGAGCTACATCCTCAGCCCTTTATTTTGGCTGCGTTTTTACAGTCCTGATTTTGTTTTCTCCTAGTTAGTGTTAACTGTAGCGAGAAGTGCGCAGGTTGGACAGGACTACTCAACAGGCGTTGCTCAGGAAAAGCAGGTAGACTTAGAATTGACTGCAGTTTGCTGGTCAGATCTTCGTTTTGTGACAAAGGATGATGTGCGTCCCCAGGTGTATTTGGAATGGGAACACAAGGTACAGATTGTCCTTTGGTAAAACAGGAATAGACGTGAAGTCACCGGCGTTGGCCTGGATACCCGGGGTATTACGTCTGCCGCCTAAAGTGGAGTCAGCAGCCGTAAACATGTATTAGACTGGAAAATACCTCTCCTTTTAGCTCATGGCACGCTCCCACAGAGATAGGGGAAGGGTGACTTAGACGGCCTTAAAAAGCAGCACTAATTACTTCCTATCTAATGACGATGTTTCAGCCATTATCTCATTGATACTGGCGCACAAGAAGCACAGATGAAGTGGAGAAATCAAATCATGAATGGGTAAACATTACAACAGAATTATATGACTAAATTTTTAGCACCTGATTTATGTATGTCACTGTTTTTCATCCCATGGGAGATAAAAAAATAAGTGGGAAACAAATACCTATGTAAGAAAACAAAAAATCTTGAGTACAAATAATTTACTTTGTGATCTCTTTAGTTAACATGACTTTGTATTTTTTTGTTTTTTGGGGGGGTCCGGTCATGGGGCCTGAACTCCGGGCCTGGGTACTGTCCCTCAGCTCTTCAGCTCAAGGCTAGCGCTCTACCACTTAACCCACAGCGCCACTTCTGCCTTTTTTTTTCTTTCTGCTTACATGGTGCTAAGAAATCGAACCCAGGGCCTCAGGCATGCAAGGCAAGCGCTCTACCACTGAGCTACCTTCCCAGCCCATGACTTTGTATTTTTAAACAAGTCTTATAACACCATAGCAATTTTGGGCTAGCCTGAATCTTATTTAAGTAAAAATATCAATTATCAATCCAGTGATGTAACACATCAATTTTTTTTTACTAACAATGAATAAAAACTAAAAGTATTCAAATTAAACAGGTTGGACATATTGTTTCATAGGAGATACTTTAGTTATAATTTGATGACATTTTGTATACTATACTCAAGCACAATGTTTGAGGTCTATAAAAAAAAGTAGAACCAATCTTTTTCTGATGTCATTATATTGTTGTTACTGCTATGTATTTCCCCCCCTGGTACTATAGTTTTTGTTTTATTTTATTTTTATTTATTTTTGTTGGTCATGGGGCTTGAACTCTGGGCCTAGGTGCTGTCCCTCAGCTCTTCAGCTCCTGGAGAGTGCTCTACCATTTGGGCCACAGCACCGCTTCCAGTTTTCTGGTGGTTCATGGGAGATCAGAGTCTCACAGATTTTCCTGCCCAGGCTGGCTTTGAACCGCGATCCTCAGATCTCAGCCTCCTGAGTAGCTAGGATGACAGGCGTGAGTCACCAGCACCCAGCTATAACTTTTATTTTAACGGTTTTAAAGAATACAGAGTGGCTGCCTAACAAGGTCCGTGACTTACAGCTCCCCAGAATATCTATTTGTTGTTGTCTTTTAATAGGAAGCCTTGTTTCCATACAAGGGTAGGACACAAGGAATTTTGTGTTACACTGGTATCACAAGATTATGTCTATGCACTGAAATGATGGATAGCTTATGAGAGGAAAAAATGATAGAATTGTGACTTCTGCCCTCAGCAAGATTCCCAACTCAACTTCTCTGAATTTAGCTCTGATCCTTAAATACTCAGATAAATCAAATAAAAGAGCAAAGAAAAAAAAAACACTAGAACTATCAGAATGGGCAGTAAAATTTCACACACCACACACACACACACACACACACACACACACACACACAAGCCTATCATCTCATTCCTATATCGCATGCAGAATGGAGACTACTGATATTTCTTTCTAATGGTAGCCTTTAGAAAAGCAGACTGCTAAAAATTACGAAGAAGCCAGGCGCCGGTGGCTCACACCTGTCATCCTAGACATCAGGAGGCTGAGATCTGAGGACCATAGTTCAAAGCCAGCCCAGGCAGGAAAGTCATTGAGACTCTTATCTCCAATGAACCACCAGAAAATCGGGAGTAGCACTATGGCTCAAGTGGCAGAGTGCCAGCCTTGAGATGAAGAGCTGAGGGACAGCGCCCAGGCCCAGAGTTCAAGCCCCACAACTGACCAAAACAAAAAGAAAAATTATGAAGAATAAAAGCACAGCAAGGTGGGCGCATGCTGGTCAGTGCCCGTGGCCCAGTTTCTGAGGAGGCTGAGATAGGGTGATCTCTAGCGTCTGGGCACTCCAGGCCAGCCTGAGCAATACAGAGGCTCCGAGCATCTCACAGGGAAAGGAGACAGTACTGCAGTTAGACACATTTCACTTTACCTGCGGTGAGTCCTGTGTGTCACTGTTTTGAACCTGAAACACAGCAGCTGCATTCTGTGGTCCAAGCAATCTGCGGGCCATCTTTTCCTCGTATGTCAGCCGCTGGGAAGAGGAGACAGCAGAGGCTTGCCATGAGACCTAAAGCTCCTAACTCCTACATAAACCTCCATCTACTGACCGATACGTGCTTTCCGTGTATTAACTTTCCTTCCTTTTTCTTTTTTGTTTGACCCCCTTCTATTTCATCATTAAGAAAGTCAGGCACTGTAATTCTAGCTACTCAGGAGGCTGAGATCTGAAGATCTCGGTTCTAAGGCCGGCCCAGGGAAGGAAAGTCCATGAGACTCTTATCTCCAATGAAGCACCAGAAAACCACAAGTGGCACTGTGGCTCAAGTCATAGAGAACTTGCCTTGAGCTGAAGAGATGAGGGACAGCGCCCAAGCCCAGAGTTCAAGCCCCACAACCAACAAAAGCAAGCAAATAAACAAATAAATGGCATAAGCACTTTTCTGTAACAGCTCTGCCAGGCCAGGGAAACTCTTCCTCCTTGTTCTGCGTTTTCTGATCCTCTCCAGTTTTTGTACAGTCTTTATTACTCTCACATTCAGAGATCACTCTTGCTAAATGAACCGGTTCAAAGCAGGGAATCTGCTGTGTCAAATGCACTTGGTTTAAAGATGTAGAATATTGTTTTAACTGTGCATAGCAAGAGCTGCATATTAATGACAACTACCTTCATTGTCCAGTGTCATATACCGAGATACATGAACAAGTGCAGTAGACAGTATTTCCCATCAGTTGTGACATATTATGAGAAGGGAAACGTTTAAAACAAGAGTTTCATTAAGCCGATTTTTTTTCTCATTCATTAGGTCATTCTTTTTCTTCATTAATTTCATTGTTTTACAACTAAAAGCAATTGTTAACTTCACACAGGGCAATATAGAATTATTTTTCTTTTTTTTGTCATTTGTGGGTCTGAACTCTGGGCCTGGGCACTGTCCCTCAGCTCTTCAGCTCAAGACTAATGCTCTACCACTTGAGCCACAGCACCACTTCTGGCTTTTTCTGCTTACGTGGTGCCGAGGAATCAAACCCAAGGCCTCATGCATGCAAGGCAAGCACTCTACCACTGAGCCACCTTCCCAGCCTCCCACCTATTTTTTTTTTAAAGGCAATCTTACTCCTTGCTGCTTACAGGGATATAGATCTGTAATAGCAAAATATTTTTTCCCCCTTTACTTGTGGTGCTAGAACCCAGCCATGATGCATGCTGGACAGATGGTCTACTAGTGAACTGCATTTCCACTGGGATTGGGTGTTCTTACTGCAACTGGATTTTTATAGTGTGTCTCTTGGGGACAAAATAGAAACCATGCCCACTTGATTTCCATTAGGAAGGAGCGGGTCTTTGCATTTCAGCTTTCTCTCCAAATCTTGAATCAAAGCTTCTTTTGAGCCTTGTATCTCATGGTCAGGAGTCCTTGGTGCAGGCTTAGAATGTGCAGGCTGGGCTGGCTTGGCATTTGCAGGTTGGCCAACAGAAGATTGTTGATAGCTTTTAAGAGAAAAAGAAAACATTTGAATTATTTATTTATTTGTTGCCTGTCATGGGGCTTGAACTCAGGGCCTGGGCACTGTTCCCTGAGCTTCTTTGTGCTCAAGGCTAGTGCTCTACCACTTGAGCCACAGCGCCACTTCCGGCTTTTTCCTGAGTATGTGGGGCTGAGGAATCAAACCCAGGGCTTCCTGCCTGCTAGGCAAGCACTCTACCACTATTTTTTTTTTTTTTAAGAAATAGAATTGAGCATTGTTAAGTCATTGAGTCTATGACTTTGAACTATAATGTTATTTCACTGTGTGTGTGTGTGTGTGTGTGTGTGTGTGTGTGTGTGTGTGTGTGTGTGTGTGTGTGTGTGTGTGTGTGTGTGTGTGTGTGTGTGTGTGTGTGTGTGTGTGTGTGTGCTGTCCGGAGCTTGAACTAAAGGCCTGAGCTCTCTTCCTGATCTTTTATGCTCAAGACTAGTGCTCTACCATTTGAACCATAGCTCCACTTTGGACTTTTTTTTTTTCAGGGGGGGCGGTGTTGAATTGGAAAGTGTCACAGACTTTTCTGCCCAGGCTGGTTTTGGACCATAGTCCTCAGATCTCAGCCTGCCCCACTTCAGCAGGACGTGGGGGAAGGCTTTAGGCATCAGGAGGCCATCCTTCCTCTAAGATCTTCCCTGAAGAACATTCAAGTGTGTCCTCTGCTCAATGGCAGCTGATGACTTCTTCTGAGCTGATAGATGATTTTCTTTTTTTTTTTTTTGGTAGTCATGGGGCTTGAACTCTGGGCCTGGGCGCTGTCCCTGAAGTCTTCAGCTCAGGGCCAATACTCTACCACTTGAGCTACAGAGCCACTTCCAGTTTTCTGGTGGTTCATTGGAGATAAGAGTTCCTCAGACTTTTCTGCCCGGGCTGGCTTTGAACCGCAATCCTCAGATCTCAGCCTCCTGAGTAGCTAGGATGACAGGTGTGAGTCACCAGCACCCAGCGGTAGCTAACCTTCTTAAGTTTGATTGATTGGTGGCTATTGAGCGGTGTCATGCTACCTGTGGTCTCCATGTTCTAGTGTGAAATGGTTGAAATGGGCAGAGGTATCTGTGAATACCACAGATCATGGCACACTCCTCCAGACTGATCACCCGCACTGACACACCACTGGTGTTCAATGAAACATCCTATTGATTTGAGTGGAATCTACAGTCTACACTCTCTCTGGCTTTCTGATGAATTTACACAGTTCCTGTGAAGTTTATGATGTAGAAAATCTCTCCAGCGTCTCTAAAATGAGTAACTCTTAAAGCACTGGCTGTTTCTTCTTGTTTAGATGATTTTTAAGGAAAGAAAAAGGAGGGCTGGGAATGTAGCTTAATGGTAGAGCGTGCCTGCCTAGCATGCATAAAGCCCGGGGTTGATTCCTCAGCACCACATACACAGAAGAAGCTGGCAGTGGCGCTGTGGCTCAGTGGTAGAGCGCTAGCCTTGCATGCTCAAGGCCCTGGGTTCGATTCCTCAGCACCACATAAGCAAAAAGAAAAAAGCCGGAAGTGGCGCTGTGGCTCAAGTGGTAGAGCGCTAGCCTTGAGCTGAAGAGCTGAGGGACAGCGCCCAGGCCCAGAGTTCAGGCCCCATGACCGGACCCCCCCCCCCCCAAAAAAAAAAGAAAGAAAAAGAAAAGAAAAAGATTCTGAACCATCCTTCAAAAAGACTTAGAAGTAAAATGGAATGGTAGTTCCTTTTAGTAGGGTTTTCACTTCTGTTGGCTTTGGGGATGAGCCCCATCATTCCAAGTCTAATGTCTAGGCACACTGGTGGGGGGGGGGGGGGTTAGATCAGCCAGCGTAGAACTTGGTTATAGGGGATGCGTCTGTGGAGCGGATGAATGCTCATTACTGTAATCAAGATACTCTGCACTCAGATGGGCATTGGTGGCTCATGCCTGTCATCCTAGCGACTCAGGAGGCTGAGATCTGGGGACCGTGGTTCAAACCAGCCTGGGCAGGAAAGTCCGTGAGACTCTTCTCTCCAATAAACCACTCAGAAAATGGGAAGTGGTGCTGTGGTTCAAGTGGTAGACCGCTTATTTTGAATGAAGAGCTGAGGGACAGTGCCCAGGCTCAGAGTTCAAGCCCCACGACCCACAAAAATAAACAAAACAAAAATTTTGCACTCAAGTTGGTGGTATACAATTCCCATCCCTCATTTGAGATCTCCCCGGATTTTCACAGTTGTCTATTTTAAGCCTTAATGAAAGTTCCATTTCTTCGGTTACATAGATCATCAAAATCAAGTGCTTAAATAGTAAGCCATCCCTCCCCTCCCCCAACACCACCAAGGTTGAATTCCTGAACCGAAGTGGCAAAATTCCTTTAGTCTTGTATCTCTTCCTTCTCTAGGATGTAGAATGATAATAGGCTATTGTGATTTTTTTCGATGCTAGCTGACCATCTTCATAAGTCACACACAGTTTGTTAAAGCAAGTTAGAATGACATGATTCTATTTCATACTTTCATGAGGTGTCTTGGAGATCCCAAAGCATTCTTAAAATCAAGCTCAAGAACCATCAGATTAAGATGTACCTCTAGGTGCTTTATTCACCAAGTCATTCTTATTTCCTATTTTCCTATTTGATAGCTGCTCGTATTTAGAAACGAGTAGTATACTTGTTTGCAGCTTGATGGGTCTCTTTTTTTTCTCTCCTGGGTGATGTCCATGATGAATTTTGTTACGGAGCAGAACACGGAATCACCACTCACATAAAGCACCTGCTGTATGCCACACGGAAGCTCCTGGGAGGGAATGATCAGAATTAAAAATGTCCCCTCCATTTCTGCATATGTGATTTGACCAAGTGAATAAAATGTTCGCTACAGGGGTCCCTACCAATGGACAGCTACTGTTTTAGACAGGACGAGCTGGAGGCTACTGTAACAATGACAGAGTCCTGCACCAATGTTCAAAGGGCTTTCCACCCTGTACGGCTGGACACAGCCTGCGTATCAAGTAGCTGTAGGAAGATTAGAAGAGTTATCTGTGGAGACTGAAAATGGAACTGCTAAAGCTGGTTCTTTGATCTCCAGATTGGGGACGTCCCAGGCTCTTTCTTAGTCTCTATTTTTGTCTTTTGGCCTTGCTTCTTGGTTCTGCATAGAGCTATGTATATGGCTGAGGCTCTGTGAATAGTCATTTAACAGCTTTCTTCTCTGAGCAGGGCTGGAGCAGGAGGGACTTAACTAAGAAAAACATGATAGTCAGAAAAGGTTATTTTGTATTTTTAAATATTCATATGAGAAATTTGGAAATAATAGAAAATGAGATGAATTTTAAAAAAATAAACCAATTGCCAGGCGCTGGTGGCTCACGCCTCTAATCCTAGCTACTCAGGAGGCTGAGATCTGAGGATCATAGTTCAAAGCCAGCCCAGGCAGGAAACTCCTTGAGACTCTTATCTCCAATAAACTACTAGAAAACTGGAAGTGGTGCTGTGGCTCAAGCGGTAGAGCACTCGCCTTGAGCTGAAGAGCGCAGGGACAGCGCCCAAGCCCAGAGTTCAAGCCCCACAACCGACCAAAAAATAAAATAAAATAAAAAAATAAAGCAATCATCTGAGTCTATGTAGCCCAGAAAGACTAAAATGTATGATCTGGGCATAATGGGAACTTGGAAGGGAAGAGAGAGAGAGCTGTTCATTCTCGAAGGTACCTTTTAAAATATGACATTAAGACTATGAAGGCGTCATTTTGAGTCAAAGCTGTTGACAGTGAGCCATTTCAAACAGGTTCAACCTAATATCTGGGATTCTAGCACATGCTTTTGAGTTGTCTGATATTTTTTAATGTTTAAAAAATAGGAAAAAGTTTTCTTTGCACATTGATGTTATCTGTTCAACTTGGCTTCCAGAGTTTTCACCAATGGGATTTTTAAAAAAATTTAACCTCTAGAAAAGACTAGGAGGAATTGACATGCTTTTTATTAAATGTATTAATAGGCCAGAACAAGACATATACCAACAATTTTTGAGATGCCTTTAATTCCCTGATGGTCTCTCTAGCCAAGAAATAGGAAAACTGATAGCCCCTGGTTTGCACAAGCACCAAGTATCCAGATCATACTTTTAAAAAAAGCACAACTACTGTGTACTTTTTCATATCAAGTTCTCTCCCAGGGCCTTCTCCGGGCTGTAGACATAGTGCATGCTTGCATAAGGCTGCAGGTATTTTTCCCCACTGGATTTAGATCTGCTAGCCAGCCTGAACTCATTACAGTCCCAAGTACTAAAGAAAATCTGAGTGTCATAAGCCTTCACCTATCCAAGATTTTTGTCTAATCCATGCATGTGACTGTCTGAATTCCAGTCTTTTTTCCAAAAAAACCAAAATTGATCATTCAAAACTCTTGTTAGTTAATTGGCTGCTCAGGTTTAGAGGGGACCGCGGCTAGGAAGACAGGACCAAGAAGAAATGGAATAATCTTTGCTTAGGTGAGAGAAACTTGATCTAAGGAAGGACAGACAGGAAGGAGGCATTCATCTTAGCTGAGCCCAGACCAGGGAAACTAAATTTACAGCAAGAGGAACTTATGCCAGATCTTGACATTAAAAAAAAAAAAGTTCATTGTGGGTTTTTTTGTTTGTTTTTTGTTGGTCATGGAGCTTGATCCTGGGCCTGGGCGCTGTCCCTCAGCTCTTCAGCTCAAGGCCAGTGCTCTACCATTTGAGCCACAGCACCACTTCCGGCTTTTTCTGCTTATGTGGTGCTGAGGAATCGAACCCAGGGCCTCCTGCAGGCAAGGCAAGTACTCTACCACTGAGCCACCTTCCCAGCTCAGAAGTCCCCTTTCTTGCCAGTACCTGGGGTTCACAGCATTCCAGGGGGGATTATGGAATAGGACTGTAAAGTCACACTATCTCTTTCTAGCCTAAGGAGCGACCTGCGGCCTACCACAGTGCTCTGCCGATGGCCACTCGCTGGGCGTGTGATTCACTTACTTCGAGTCCACGGTGGAAGGGGTTTGGCCACTACTGTAATCGGGCTGAGATGGCAAGATGGAGCTTAGGAAGCTGGCCGGGGACTGGTGATAGGTAGCTGTGACCCTTTGGCCTGGGTTGGAGCCAGCGGGCTGCTGAGGGGCCGGGTAACCGGAGGAGGACATGGTGACCTGAGAGCTCACGGTGGCTGAGGCAGAGAATCTTTGCTCGGTACATCTGCGGGGCTGGATGACGATGGAGGACTGTTTGGTCTGGCTTGAGATGCTGGACGTTTCTGGTGCAGGTGGCTGCAGCCTGGAGCCCCAGGGGCTCGGGGACTGGAGGAAGTGCTTGGGACGTTCGTAGTTAAACATGCTCAGTCAGTGCCAGGCGATGGTGGCCGGTCGCTGCGGTGACTTATTCCTGGCAGGGTGGGGTTCTGAACTTGAGGCTGGCTGAGATCAGAGGCCAGCAGCGCGCTCTGCCCCTCCTCGCTGGGACTTCGAGGGCGCTGTGCTCCCAGTGTGGGTGGGCTGGGCTGCTCTCCAAGAACAGAGTTCCTTCAAAAGCAATGAAACAAAACAGAACACTTAGCTGGGCACCCGTGGCTCACTCTTGTCATCCTAACTACTCAGGAGGCTGAGATCTGAGGATCGCGGTTCAAAGCCAGCCTGGGCAGGAAAGTCCATGAGACTCTGATCTCCAATGAACCACCAGAAAACTGGACGTGGTGCTGTGGCTCAAGTGGTAGAGCACTTGCCTTGAGCTGAAGAGCTGAGGGACAGCGCCCAGGCCCAGAGTTCAAGACCCATGACTGACAAAACAAAATAGAACACTTGTTATCATTTTTCTTTATGCCCTGTTGGCTTTTCTGTTTTAAGCTTATATGCTTTTTTTTTTTTTTTGCCCATCCCTGAGCTTCTTTTTGCTCAAGGCTAGCGCTCTACCACTTGAGCCACAGTGCTACCTCCGGCTTACTTCTGTGTATGTGGTGCTGAGGACTCAAACCCAGGGCTTCATGCATGCTAGGCAAACACCCTACCACTGAGCCACCTTCCCAGCCCAGCTTATATGCTTTTAAGGTTGCCTCTAGGTAGAACTTCGCTCGTTTCTTTTATCTCTGTCTTTGCACAAGTGACTCTTGCCCTGAGAATGGGTGAGAAGGGTAATAGCTCATCATTACCTACGCTTTGATTCATAGCACATGCGATCATGTTTGCTTCCTCCTGGAAGAGACCCTACCTAGGGGCTTCAAGACATAGGAGCACAAAATTGGATTTTTTTAAATTGTTGTAGTTTGGTCATGGGGCTTGAATCAGGGCCTGGGCGCTGTCCTTGAGTTCTTTTACTCAAGGCTAGTGCTCTACAACTTTGAGCCACAATACCACTTCAAAATCAGGATTTTTTTTTTTTTTTTAAGTGGGTTGTTTTGGAAAAGCAATTCTTTGACACTACTCAGGGCGGGTAACAATTTCATGATGTTATGATTAACTTGTACCCAGGTGCTGCAGGTGCATTAACCACAGAGACTTAATGAATGGACAGGAGTCAATAGCTGTGTTCATCTATAACAAGGGCCGCCAATCAACATGCTTTCTCCCCATCGCTTATCAAAATTGAAGACTAGCCCTCTGAGACACAGATTTATTCCTGTATTGATAGTCCTGACAGTATCTGACGGGCAGCATCTTGGTAAAGTAAGGGAGACCAGTGTACTTCCTTCATGAAATACATACACAACCAGAATGACGACATCTGCTCCCAACTCATTTGTCGATTTCACAAAGTAGACAGACACGGACAATTCATTGTCGACCGAGTGGATTCGAACATCTCCCAATTCACTCCCTCCTTTTCTCCCCTTGCTTCCAAACTGATTTTTTTTTTGTTTTGTTTTGTTTTTGGGGTCCGGTCGTGGAGCCTGAACTCTGGGCCTGGGCGCTGTCCCTCAGCTCTTCAGCTCAAGGCTAGCGCTCTACCACTTGAGCTATAGCGCCACTTCCGGCTTTTTTCTTTTTGCTTATGTGGTGCTGAGGGATCGAACCCAGGGCCTCGGGCATGCAAGGCACGCGCTCTACCACTAAGCCACCTTCCCAGCCCTCCAAACTGATTTTTTAGAGGAAACTTTCTAGTTACTGATCGTGATGTTCTCTTAATTATTTAGGGTTTTTACTCTTTATTATCTTTCCTAGTATAACACGTATCTTCGGCTAATTTTGAAGTTGCTTCAGATTCTGTTTATGGTTTTTTTTTTCTTTCCAAATGACAAGTAGGAAGTACAGGTGAAAATCATGTCTTAATGAAGCTAAATCTGTACCTCACTGTTTTCTTTCTTAACTCTGGTAGACCTCCTGCCTTCCTAGAGCATATCGACATATTCCTTTGCATTTGCTGTTGAAAGATTATATCTGCCTCTGATTTTTCCATTAGTATGGCACATCTAAGCAACATTATAAATAGACATTATGAAGAAAGACTAGATCTGGAAGTTATTGTAACACCAATCCTATTTTGCTCAAAATATCAGGTAATGTCATCCCAAATAATTTCATCCACATAATATTAATCAACATTGATGTAATGACAGAGCCAACCTTTTACTGAAAAAAAATAAGTCAAATTGTTATCATCAGATCAAAGGCTTATGGTTATGAGAGTTACTGACGGGAGGAAAATTCTGTTAGTGAAACTTTTCCAGACCAAATAACTTCATCAGCCTAAGCTTGGACATGCAGCTTAGAGTTAAATTAAAATGAGCAATTTTAGAAAAGCACGAAACTACAACTACACAGCCAAGAGCAATGCCGTATTGACAGGAGTGGGGGGAAACACTTACAAGTTATATCATCCTTAATTTCAAGTTTATGAACATAGACATGGATATCCAAAGTACATTATGGGGATCAATTCCATTTGGTCTTTAATTTGTTGGGGGGGGGGAATGAGGAGGGGGAAGATCCCTACAGGAGAGCTATAATTAGAACTCCTCAAATAAAGAGGCTTTATTTCAAGGCAAATAGTTTTGTAGCTGTGGGTTATGTAGTTATGATGACCTTCCTAGGCAAGCCACTTAATTCAGACTTCTTTGAAATAGCAAGGAATCAACTACCTAAGAAACAGCCAGTAGATGTTTTCCAAAAAGAGTTTCCTGTTTTTCTATAAATATATTCCCAGAATGTCAGCTGTGTTACCCATTTCAGTGTCGGCGCACACAGTTACTCATGACTGACGTTGTTAAAAGCCATTTAAAAACACGTCCTTCCAAATGTTTCATTTTGTCCACGGTCTGAATCACATTTCACACAGGTGCTTTCACAGGTAATTCCAAAATGCCCTTTCTTCATCTTTGGAATTATTTCCCCACAACTCAACTTTGTTTTCCAACGATGGTTAAGTCAGTTTTAAAGATTTCATAAATAAAACACCATTGAGCCTCCTATTTTAAACATCATTTGTAACTACTGGAACATTTCTAAAATAGCCAAGACTTACTGAAATGACGACTGTGGGTTTTCGGAAAGCCACAGGCCACTGTCACTACTTCGGTGAGATCAAATATCCCTTTTCACGGGGGCAAAAAAAAAAAAAACAACCAACACCGATGTTTTAAAAATAATTCTCTTTCCTTCTGTCCTTTGTAAGGAAAGCCCTGAGGTTTGGGTGAAGTACACAGATGGCTTTCTCTTTAAATCTTGGTACAACCGCATGGTGAGATTTTTGGACTGGCCATCTTTACCTGAAGATCGACTTTGTGCCCGCACCTCTGATTCTGGACAAAAAACAAAAACAGAACCCAAAACCATGGGCAGGAAGAAAGCAGGGACTTACCAGAAGGTGCCAGCTGGGTTCGACCCACTAGTGCCTGCGGGAAGGAAGGGCCATCTCCTTCCCTGAGCCTAGTCTCGTGGCTCTGGTGCTTAGCAATATAACTATCCCTGACTTTCATCCGCTGCCAAACAGTGACATCTGATGTGCTCGCCTGTCCATCCACCTATGCCGGCATGTCAAAGTAAGAGTCCACAATCTAAACAATATCTCAGATGTCACGGGGGATATTTAAGGAGAGGGGTTACATGAGCTCTGCTGGCGGGCCTCTTTATTTGAGACCTGAATTTTGTCTCAGAGTTTACTTCCCAGGCAAAGCTCCCGAGCAAGCAGCGCTTCGAGGACAGAAACGGGACATTTAGAGCTTTTCTCGCTAGTTGAGACTTCTCCCGTGGCGAGACCTGTGGCCGGCTGGCTCCAAATTGATTGGTATTGCATCGTTCTGAATCTGAAAGATTCCCCCCCACACCCCCTTCTCACTTGCCTAATAAGAGTGGGGATTGAGACTCCTTCAAGTAGTTAGTTCTCAGAGGGAGAAGGGGCATGGTGACCCATCACCAAGAAGGAAAAAATACGATTGTTTCTCTAGCAAGTTTCTTGAACCTGTCTCTGGCATGTGTTCCTCTGGCCTAGTACTTTTATTCTGGAAGACTTTTGAAATATGTGAGAAACAACCAAACAGACAAGCCATCTATATAAATAAGCCTGTCAACGTTCCCTGGGTCACTCCCTTAATCCCAAACCAGTTATAGTTTCCTTCCTCCATCTGTCAGGGAGGTCATTACAGGATTTATGTCTCCAAGGTGTGTGTGTGTGTGTGTGTGTGTGTGTGTGTGTGTGTGTGTGTGTGTGTGTGTGTGTGTGTGTGTGTGTGTGTGTGTGTGTGTGTGTAATAAAGAAGAAGGAGCCAGCCAATCAAATAGATACATCTCCATGAAATGGCTTCTATTTCCCTCTCTTAGAGAGAAGTCTCAGCTACTTGAGAGGCTGAGACAGGATAATCACTTGAGCCTAAGAGTTTGAGGCCAGCCTGGGAAACATAGCAAGATACTATCTAAAAAAAAGGAACAAAAGCTGGGCACTGATTGGCTCACACCTAACTCCTCAGGAGGCTGAGATCTGAGGATCACGGTTCAAAGCCAGCCTGGACAGCAAAGTCCCTGAGATTCTTCTCTCCAAATCGCTAGGCAAAAAGCTAGAAGTGGTGCTGTGGCTCAAGTGGTCGAGAGTGAGCCTTAAGCCCAGGACTGGCACAAAAAAGATAAAGAAATGAAAAGAAAGTTTCTTCTACATGTAGCTTGCTTTGGTATTCAGAGTAACTGGCACCTGAATGGGCAGCTGTTACCCCATAAGAAAAAACCATGCTCAACTTGGTGAGTAGGTGGATGTCTATCGAAGTCTTATTTCAGGAATCTCCCAAAATATTTCTCCACACCTACTCGCTGATATTTCACACTCCATTAATAGGGACAAAAATCAATCCAAATTACGGAGACTTTAAATACGCAAGTGCACAACAATAATAGCTAACACATCCAGAAGTCACCGCAAGCCACTATTTTAATTGTTTTCAATGCCGTCTGTCTGATGGACACTTGCTTCTATCTGATTAGGTCCCAGGAAGGGAAGACAAGATTTGCGATGTCTCGGTACTGCAAGTTTGAGATCTACCACACCAGACGTGGACAGGAGACAGGTAGGACCAACTGCTAAATTTCCAATTTTGTTCACTTCCAAATGTGCTACAGTTGAGGAAGATGTTGTGTGTGTGTGTGTGTGTGTGTGTGTGTGTGTGTGTGTGTGTGTGTGTGTGTGTGTGTGTGTGTGGTAGCTAAGATTACAGGCGTGAGCCACCAGTGCCTGGCCACTCTATCTTTATCCTAAGAATGACCACGAAGAAACTCTTATCACAAAATGCTCTAAATATCTGTATTGATGAAGCTGGGATTTCTATTCAGGGAAAAGATTTCAGTGCTGCTTCTGTTTCTCATCTCATTTCCTTTGAGTAAGTCTCTGTAACAGACCATAAATATACATCTAAGGTCAAAACTTCTGATTTCAGCCACAGTGAGGGGTAGGACTGAGAGCAAAGGAGCACCACGGAAGTCAGAGGGACTCTGGTCAGAACGTAAGCTCACGGAAGGCGGGAAGTTCACCATGCTCTGTCCAGCAAATCAAGAGTATTTGCTGAAATGTTGAAAGGCGTAACACTGATCAAACTATACTGCATTCATAAACTTCTTGGTTAAATGGCAATTCCCTTGTACAACTACTTACAGATAATTTTTTTTAAATACAAAAAAAAAGAGAGATTATGTCAAGTGAAAAACTCTTGGGAAATAAATTGTAACATGAACCGGACGCCAGTGGCTCACGCCTATAATGCTAGCTACGCAGGAGGCTGAGATCTACGGATCACAGTTCGAAGCCAGATTGGGCAGAAATTCTTTTTGGGTCCGGTCATGGGGCCTGAACTCTGGGCCTGGGCGCTGTCCCTCAGCTCTTCAGCTCAAGGCTAGCGCTCTACCACTTGAGCCACAGCGCCACTTCCAACTTTTTTTTTTTTCTTTTCGCTTATGTGGTGCTGGGGAATCGAACCCAGGGCCTCATGCATGCAAGGCAAGCACTCTACCACTGAGCCACCTTCCCAGCCCCTGGGCAGAAATTCTTATCTTCAGTAAACTACTCAGAAAAGATGGAAGTGGCACTGTGACTCAAGAGGTAGAATCCAGGCCCTGAGTTTAAGCCCCAGGATGGGCAAAAATAAATAAATACATACACAAATTTGTAACATGACTTGTTTTTGTAAATCACGAAATCACATTGGAACTTGACCACTGATCCTAATAGTTACTTTGATGATTCTTTTCAAAATAATCATTAATGTATTGAAAATTAGAGTTTGGGGTTTGTTGTTGTTTTAAGAGTATTTGTTGTTTTAAGAGTGTCTGATCTGCCCAGCCTTACCATTGTGGCTGTAACTCAGAAGGATTTCTGCTGTTCTGGGATCTCGCGTTCGCCGTGGCTCCCTGGGTGAGGGGCCAGCATGAGACTGACTACTGGAGGCATGTTCCGGATTTCTGTCTTTCGTGTAGATTTCTCCTTGAGTAAAAGAGGCCGGCTGTGGGGAAAACGCGTTCGTGGGAGACCTTGGAGAATCCTTTGGTTTCTCCACTTCTTTTCCTTCTGAAAAATAGAATTCATCACCCGTTCAGGTAAAAATAGAATCTTCCTCTTGACGCAGGGCTGAATTGGAGCGTGGAGATTTTTTTTTTTAAGAGTGATTACCTGGAGCAACAAAGAGTTTTGCTGTTGAGACCGCAGTCCCAGCTTCATTTTTTGCAATGCACTTGAACTTCCCAGAGTCCTCGGGAAAAGCTTCTGTGATAATTAAGGTGCAAACTTCCTCTGAAAAGGGAAGAAGTTCGACTCCCGTCAGCACATATGGGTGCCCTAAGTTAACACAAAGGCAGTGTTGTCAAATGTGAGGGAATAAAGGTGCTAGGAGTAGAATATTCCAGAGGTTAAAAAATACCCATGGGCTGAACCCTAGTAGCTTACGCCTAGTTACCCAGGAGGTTGAGATCTGAAGGCTTGAAGCCAGCCTCGGGTAGACAAATCCAAGTGACTTTTTTTTTTTATTTGTTGGTCATGGGGCTTGAACTCTGGGCCTGGGCGCTGTACCTCAGCTCTTCAGCTCGAGGTGAGCGCTCTACCACTTGAGCCACAGCACCACTTCTGGTTTTCTGGTGATTAATTAGAGATAAAAGTCTCAGACTTTCCTGCCCAGGCTGGCTTTGAACCGCGATCCTCAGATCTCAGCCTCCTGAGTAGCTAGGGTGCCAGGCGATAACCACCAACCTCAGGCTCCAAGAGACTCTTATCTCCAACTAACCAGCAAAAAGCTTCGAATGGTTGAGTGCCATCTTTGAGTGAAAAAGGTAAGCAAAAGCTCGATGCTCTGAGTTGAAGCCACAGTACAGGGCACACATGCATCCACGTGTGAGCGCATACACGCACACGCGAACAAAAACACAACCAAATCCAGCCATCCATCTGATGAGGTATTTTGTCATCCCAGGCAGCTCATGAGTATAAATATTTTTTTTAAAAAAAACCACAACCTAATACAATCTGGGAGAGTAGATTGACCTCCCTTACGACCCAGTCATACCACTTCTAGGCATCTACCCTGAACAACAGGAACCAATATACAAGGACACGTGCACCTCCATGTTTATTGCAGCACTGTTCGCAATAGCTAGGATATGGAAACAACCTAGGTGCCCCACCACAGATGAATGGATCCAAAAATTGTGGTATCTATACACAATGGAATATTATGCAGCCATTAGAAATGACAAAATAATGGCATTTGCAGGGAAATGGATGGAGCTAGAAGGAATCATGTTGAGCGAGGTAAGCCAAGAACGAAGAGACAAACGGTACATGGTCTCCCTCATAAGTGGATGCTAAATCCAAAAGGTTAGGTGATACGACAAAACTAACAGGACTTAAGAAACAAAGAACTCCCGCTCATCTGGTTGAACCACTACTAAATATCCTCATGCTGCTGATCACAAATATGGTATATAACATGTGAACACTGTTATATATTACAGACTGTGGTAGACAATTTGCTCCAGGGAAGTTAGAATGAACTTGTGACTTTGAAATTATGTAATCATTTAATCACAATCAAAAAAAAAAAAAAAGAACCTCGGGGAAGGGAGGGAGGGAGGGAGGGGATGGTAGGGGGAAAACAATGGAGGGGGTAACAATGTTCAAGAGGAAGTGTACTCATAACCTCACTCATGTAACTGTAACCCTCTGTATAGTAGCTTTACAATAAAAAAAAAAAAAAGAAAAAAAAAATACCCACAACCTAATACAATCTGGGAGAGTAAAGGGGAAATATTGATCAAGATGCCTTTCATTCATACATTGACCTGTTGAATGGAAATTCCTTTGTACAGCTCCTTAAAGACAGTGAACAAATAAATTATTTTAAAAACAACAACAGCCACTTGTCTTATCTGTCTGATGTGGCTGTTTTCTCTACTAGCTATCTCTTGAAACATGGGAGCTCATTATACTCCGAGACTTCTATATTTTGTAGCTTTAGCGCTTTGAATAAAAGACCTATAGAGGGGCCACTGGTAGTTCCCACCTCTCATCCTTGCTACTCAGGAGGCTGACATCTGAGGATCGTGGT